AGGATATTCACCTTCTGATAAACATGTTTGATGTTCAGATCGAAGTTTGTCTATCAGTAATATAAATCGATTTTCGTCTTTTTTATTGTGGACTACATATAATAGAGTACTACACGATCTATTCCCTCGAGTCGGGTAATATAGTCCCTATTTCATGTACTTTTCGATAAATAGAAGGACATTCATAATGTAAATAAGCGAATATTTTTTTTACCTTACCTTCTCTTGTATATCGCGTTTTATATCTTATATTTTCAACAAACACGAACTTTCAAATTGTCGACATTTTCACAAGCATTAATTAATGTTTTGACTACTTTCAGAGTCACGAGTAGCATTTCTTAATTAAACAAACTCGTTTTCGTTAATAAAAGTATTGGTAGCTCGTGAGATCTTCTACGGCATATTGCAACATACTTTAGCGACTATATTTAATAAAAACATTAAATGTTTTATTTTCTTACTTCCCGTGCATTTAAAGCATACAGGCCTAGTTGTATATGTTTTTATGTTTGTTTTATTATGGCATATAACGTTTATAAAGCCACACAACTCTTTTCGTATATATATATATATATATATATATATATATATATATATATATATATATATATATATATATATATATATATATATACGTGTTGGTGTTTATATATATATAAATATATATATATATATATATATATCTATATATATCTATATATATATATATATATATATATATATATATATATATATATATATATATATATATAAACACGTAATTAAGCAGCAGTCTGATTAATCTTTGGCATAGTAATTACACACTCTATTGACCATTCTGATCAATGTAAATCAACGAGTCACAAAAAATTTCCAGTAAAATTTAGCCATCGATTAATTAAACGTAGGGTGTAATTAATTAGAATTATCAGGATGAAAAGGTTCGATAATTAATCGCGTAATTACGCCCATGCCCCGTGCGCGCATGCCCGGTGTCATGCTCTTGTGGGGTCTCGTTGGTTATCACGTGACGAGAATTCGTTCTGCGACTGACACCGATATCTACAATTTTAAGAAATAGGGTCAACTAGCTTTATAACTGTATAGCTTTCACTTAATTACAATTTTATCTGCTTAGTTACAACCTCCTTTAATCAGTATGTTTAAGATATTGATCCATCATTATCCACTCTATACATCGATTTTAAAATTACCTTATATTTTAATGACAGACAGACTAGCGATTGATTGCCACTTTCATACAAACCTACATTTGTCCACAACCCACAAAATAAAATTCACAAATAGGAACATAATAAGGGTCGCTATAACCCCAGAAATAATGGTCGCTATAATACCAGAAATAACGGTCGCTATAACCCCAGCAACAACGGTCGCTATAACATCAGAAATAAAGGTCGCTATAACACCAAAAATAACGGTCGCTATAACCCCAGCAACAACGGTCGCTATAACCCCAGCTACAACAATCGCTTTAACCCCAATCCCAACAGTTGCCAGAACCCCTGCATCAATTGTTGGTCGCTCGCAAACCCGCGTTAGAACCCCTTTAAACCTCATTAAGCCCTACGACTCCCTCAAAAGATATGATCGAAAGAAAACAACTAAAATTATCAGGTAAGTAGGCCTTCGACGATGGGTCGCAATTGAAACATTCGCATTTTGAACATGCTTCAATCTTAAAACACTGAATCAATCTCTTAGACAACAGTACAAAATTACGTCACAGGTTGACCTCCATATTAGTCCCGCGTTTTTTTCCTTTATGTCGTCTGCTTCCCTTTCGAAACACCGACTACACAATCATGGACACAGGGGAGGTAATCAACAAGTATGTGGGCAGATTGACAACAAGGGAGAGAAGAAGTGAGAGCAGGGAGGTAACAAAGGGCAGGTACACACAACCAAACCGTTCAATACTTGACTAGCACTATTGTTCCGTGTATTCTGTGGTTACTTAAACAAATGGAGATCCAATATATGCAAGCTTTGTTATAATACTTTCATTTTGTTGTATTTTTAAGATAAAGAAAATAAAACACTAGCCTCGGTTTTTTCTTAACAGATCTCCAAACCTAATTTATTTATCATATATTATATTTTCTTTTTTTTTGTAACTTAAATTGCTTTATATACGTTTAACAATAACAAATATTAAAACCAGAGAGGTGGTTAAGTGACTTTGAAGGCACTTGAAACATTGTGAAATGGTTTTTTTTTTGTTACGGAGAAAAAACTGGTGTAAAAAAGGTAGAATTATCCCATAAATTAAACATTAAAAGTAGGCTACACTCTCGAAATTTAATTAAAAAGCCAGCAGTATAAGAAAAAAAGCTCTGAAAATAGTCAAGGAGACACATGGGTTTCTTCTCTGATGTTAGCTAAGACTAACACATTTTCTTCAATACTCACGCGCTTAGACTTTCTGCGATTATACTTTTGTCAAATCAAAACTTCACGCATACTGAGAAACATCTGAAACACTGCACATGCCCTTGTCGTGACAAATACTTGCTTGTCTTAAATACTAACTACACCATCGTTTTATACGACACAGTTTCGAATGTTCCTATGCTGACCATTAGTTTACAACAGCTTATAACATCGAATTCCTATTGACCATCGAGTAAAAAAAAAATGTCTTAACTTTACATTCTCATCCTTGTGCTGCATTCCTTGATTGTCAAAACAGAGTTTTTGTTTATTTCCTGACTTTTTTTTCGTTGGCTCCGAGAATATACGCTCTCTGCAATCACTGTATGATCTATCGATTTCTTGTGTGATTGATTTTGTCTTCAATCCTCTCCTCTCTTGTGGCTTCGCAAATTAACCAGATATTTCAGCCGGATTTCGATTGGATACAATCATTCTGCCCGGTATTTGTTTGATTAGTTTGTCACGGAGGGTAATTAGACCGCGTGGAATTATATCCATAACCCTCTTTGATATCAAATAGCTATTTATGGAGAAAAAAAATTAGCTAAAGCAGATCTTTTTTTTTAATATGAAAAATTCAAAGTAAAAAATATATTCTACAAAACGTAATAATGCCTTATTTTTAGATATTAATACTGCCTTCAGCTTGTTTTTATATTCACCGTCTTTACATGTAATGCAAAGGAGGTATTAATTCTTATGATTAAGGTGCATACTTTTTTTTTTAGACGTACAATGGCTATCAACATTCCCTAGTGAATAATTTCTCTTTTTATATCTAACTCCCCAGGGAATTAATAAAAAGCCGAACTCTTTCAACAGAAAGTTTTGTTCTTTATGCCTCTACCCAAAGTACCGGCACATTAACTTTTGATTTACATTTGCTCATTAACTTGCTTGAATAGAATCACCCCTCGCGAGCTGCCACTACCAAACGTATCATTTTTCTGCAATTTTACTTTCTTGTATACGAAGTATAGTAAGAGTGTTGTAATCGTTCAAAAAATCGAAATAGTGATTCTCACAAATCTTGACGTTGAACGCCTCCCTGAGTCGGAAAAACTAAGTTTTGCAATTCTGTCGGTATGTCTGTGTGTGTGTGTGTGTTTTTGTGTATGTGTCTGTCTGTGTGTGTCTATGAACACGATAACTTGAGTACCGTTAAAGCTAGGTTGATGAAATTTCACATATAAGTATCATATCAAATTAGTAGTTCTGTATCAACTTTTCAGCGACTTCTGGTAAACGGAAGTGGAACATATTCTACTTTCGGTTTTTCAAGAAAAAGAAAAAAAAACGTGTTCACAGACATACATACACACATACACACATACATACACATACAGAGACATACGGGCAAAGTTACAAAACTATGTTTTTCCAACTAGGGAGGTGTAATACGTCGAGATTTGTGAAAATATCGATTTCATATTTTTTGCACGTTTACAGTACTTTCTCTATACTGCGTATACGAGAAATAAAAAATTGATTTAAAATGACGTCTATATCCCGAGTTGCTATCCCCCGTAGTGTTATATAAGTATATCCGATAATGTAAAGGGCAGATCACTGCCGCTTTATTTTAATACATCTTCTAATGCCTTTTGTTTCCCTTGTTTATTTCACTTTTTTTGCCTTAAACATTTAATTTACCGTATCAGTTTGCCTTGCCATTGTGTATGATAAATTGCCCATTTTCTTATACAGCAGAACCTCTCGTCCTGGGCATTTAATATGTTCCACTTGTATACTAAAAGACAATGTCTGTCATAATACTACTAAAGCTCATCGGACTTCCGTTTGTATGGCAATATATATATATATATATATATATATATATATATATATATATATATATATATATATATATATCAGTGGCTTAGCGAGGTCGGGTTTCACCCGGTGCGGCACTTAATGGTGTCACCCCCCAGAGGCGTAGCGACCCAGCACCCACCCCCTCGAGTTTTCAATTTGCACCCCCCCCCCCCCTCAAACTTTCGATTTTCACCTCCCCTCAAGTTTTTCTCAATATATTTTGCTATTTTTGCCTTGGTGTCACCCCCTAAATGGTGTCACCCGGTGTGGTCCGCACCCCCCGCCCCCCTTCGCTACTCCCCTGATATATATATATATATATATATATATATATATATATATATATATATATATATATATATATATATATATATATATATATATATATATATTTGTGGCTGTGTGTGTGTGTGTGTGTGTGTGTGTGTGTGTGATTTATTTATTTATTGTTTCGGAGTCCCCAAAGGTGTACATAGTGAGAGTAATTTGCGTTACGTAGTGCGGATGAAAGAACTTTTACCAAAGGGAAACTACATCGTCTAGTCTAATTAAAAAAAAAGTGCTTCCAAATGTTTATTACCTGTAGCGCAAAATACATTGTCTTTATTTGGCGGTCGTACCGAAAATCAAATCACCTTTTGGTGCGAAACAATGAAATAATATGTGTACATTCATACTGATTAAAGCTTTTAATAGTTTCTGTCAAATATTTTAAAACTTTTGTTTTTTATTTTTCGCCAACAGGAAGAAAGTCAAGCTATGGAGAAAAAATCAGTAGATTTAGATGAGGAGAGCGAACTAGCAAAGCGACCATTCGATTCCATTTCCGGCAGTCATGGTTTGTCAGGATTTGCCAAACGACCATTCGACTCAATTTCCGGTAGCCACGGCTTATCAGGATTCGCCAAACGGCCATTCGACTCAATTTCCGGTAGCCATGGTTTGTCAGGATTCGCCAAACGACCATTCGACTCAATTTCCGGTAGCCACGGTTTGTCAGGATTCGCCAAACGACCATTCGACTCAATTTCCGGTAGCCACGGCTTATCAGGATTTGCCAAACGTCCATTCGACTCAATTTCCGGTAGCCATGGTTTGTCAGGATTCGCCAAACGACCATTCGACTCAATTTCCGGTAGCCATGGTTTGTCAGGATTCGCCAAACGACCATTCGACTCAATTTCCGGAAGCCATGGCTTGTCAGGATTCGCCAAACGACCATTCGACTCAATTTCCGGTAGCCATGGTTTGTCAGGATTCGCCAAACGACCATTCGACTCTATTTCCGGTAGCCATGGTCTTTCCGGCTTCGCCAAACGACCATTCGACTCAATTTCCGGTAGCCATGGTCTTTCCGGCTTCGCAAAACGACCATTCGATTCCATTTCCGGAAGTCATGGTCTGTCTGGATTCGCCAAGCGACCTTTCGACTCAATTTCCGGAAGTCACGGTTTGTCAGGATTCGCTAAAAGAGATGTGTCCGAGGAAGATGAAAGATCGTTCGCTTTGTCTGGCGAAGAAGTGGAGGATATTTTCGAGGATTAAAAATTCAACCAAACTATATTGTTATTTTCATCTGTTACAAAAGCAATGACCGAAGTCATGTTTCTTACTTAACAAAACTAGCTCTACTGAATCAATGGAAACTTTTTCACGTGAAACTTCATCTGTTGGCAAACATCTGAAGATCAAATACCTGGCGAACAGGACCTAAACTAAGACCTTTACACGAATTCTGTTTTTTAAGTCACATACACACTGTCATTTCTAGCAAAATAATTTTATTTTTTCCCCTTTTTGAGAAATTAATTGAAGAAGAAGCTGAGACACGCATGCATGGTCACGTGATTTCTAAATAAAGTATCAATTCTTCTTGTGTTTTGGCATTGGTATTTTTGCTTGGTGTGGCGTACGTGTATTAGGTCACAAGGCTATAGGCAATTTCAGTGGCGTCACTAGGTCGTGTGACCCGCTTTAATAACCCTCCCTGTATTATTATATAAGCTGACCACATTATCCCTTCATATACCGAGCTTAAGAAATATATGAATTCTAATTCATCTGCCCAATGTATCGCTAGATCAAAAGATAAATCTTTACTTTACTATTAAATTTGTTTAACCGAATAAAACAATGTTTTGAAAGTAAAGTTTACGACTCGTCGAGTTACTATCAAATGACGTCACTCAATGCCGACTGCCTTGTGTCGATATTTGGCAGTTTAGCCTCTTTGTTGTACTTAATATGAACAAAGATGGTCAGACTATTAAAATATAATCTTAATTTATACGAGTTCACATGAAACAACAATCACTTTGATGCTACAAAACTTAATGATGAAACTTATTGAAAAATTAAACAAAAACCATTCGTACTTCTTAAACAATGCATCAGTTAAATCAATTCAATGCTCCGCATATCTAATCATCTAGTTATGTTGTCCAGAGGTACACAGCTAGCTCAAACACGTGGGTCCACCACTACAATAGAATCTCGTTTCAATCTGATATACAGCTTCAACTGAAAGGGGGACAATCAGAGTTTCTTCCAGGCATCTCTTCGGGAGGGCGAAGAAAGTCTACCGCCTCTCCGAACTAAATGGAATTTATATAAACATTAGTGCCCCCCCCCCACCCCCCCCCCCCCCCCTAAGAAAAAAAGTCTGGAAGAAACACTTGGACCAATGTGTTGCTGTTTGCACTTCCTCTGAATCTTCCTGGGAACTAGGAGGTTAACCAAACTTGAGAAAACCAATCACAAAGCCTAAAACATATTGGAGAAAACAAAAAAGAAAAAGAATTAAAAGAATTTTAAAGTTCCATTAATTTATTTATATTTATATGACGTTACACATTTACGGTTTACAACATGAGAAACAGGTCTCAATAAACCACCCGCATATTTATCAAACAACTCAGATACATGGTGAAAAAAACAGGATCAGGACAACGGGAACTGGGCATAAGGACAACCAAAAACACATGCTACCCATCAACCCCCAGTTAACATTCTATTTTCAGAAGTTAATTCATACTAGGTAACATATCGTTGTTCCCTATTTTCTTATTGAATTTTTTTTAGTAAAAATCTAAATCCAAAACCAGAACTTCACGTGGTGGAAAAATGAGTTGAAATCACCAAATCTCTGACATCACAGTGTTTACAATAGAGAGACGGAACTACCATGTGGTCTAAATATAGCTATGACCCATTTACAGCTTTTTTTTTGTTAGCCTTGCTATACTATGGTGTAATAGCGAAATAAAATATTTCTTTATGAAGTTTCAATTTGCATGTTTGCATAACCGAATTTAAGACTGCTATACAAATTTAAAAAAGAATGAAATTAAGTACGTCGATAATAAATCAATATTTTTACAAATAATAAATACATTTAAGCAAAGAGATATCCTAATTGAACGCAAGTGAGAAATAATTACAGAAAAAATTCATAAAAAACGTTTTAATAACAAACTTTTATGTAATAATGCACTAAAAAGTAGAAAATAAATTATAGACTACTATTTAAATAAATATAAAGAAAAGCGTGGGTCACTTTAGTATCTATTGGATACCTTTACTAATGTTAAGGAAGACACCCACGCTTTTCTATATAGTTAATTAAATAGTAGTCTATAATTTATTTTCTACTTTTTAGTGCATTATTACATAAAAGCTTGTTATTAAAACGTTTTTTATGAATGTTTTTTTCAGTACTTTACATGTTTTATTTACAATAGAGTTACATGACTAAAAACCATTGCAAGCCTACTGAACGTGATGGCGCAGCTATTGAACGTACCGTGATGGCGCAGCTATTGAACGTGATGACGCGTGTGGCGTGGTTGGCTAGACATGCCTAATAATTTGGTCCAAATTTTAATTAATTCATAAAAAATTAATTAGGCATCCAATTAAGTCAAATTTAGTTTCAGATTGCATTGTCTTCATGTCTTGACCCACGTGCCATCTTTGAATCGTATCGGTCAAGTAGAACTGTCCGAATTTTCACTCCTGCGTTTCGGTCTAGACAGACTGAAGACAGACTGACGAGGAAGTGAGTTAAATAAAAGCTTGTAAAAAAAGCAACATATGAAAGTAATTGACCAGCTTTGGTTTTAGCTTAAACTACCTCTCTAGGTTACACATCGTCAAGATTCTCAGAATTAAAAAAATATAAAACAACACATTCACTAGTCTTACAGATATCCGGGAGAGCGTAATACTCATTGACAAATATTCAAATACTAGGAAATTAGAAAATCTAACACAATCGTTCTCCATTGATTCACAAGTCTTGTGTAATCTCTTCACTGTTGCCAAGAAATTCTTGTGTAATCAATACTAGTACAAAAATTATGTAATTTACACAACATACAAATATATTTAAAATAGTAAATTTCAACAGAAATAAAAAAAACGTTAAAATTTAAACAACAGTCCTGAATCACGTGTCATGTCACTCTATTGGACAATATTAATCCACGTGACGTTTTGGTCATTTCTTCCCCATTTCCGGTTTATTCGATGGTCTAAGTGCTGAATGAATTCTTCAAAAACTCAGTCGACTGGATCGTTCATCCGTGACTAATACATCAAATTGGAAAGGAAATGAACAGATGATTTTTGACGTGAGGGGCTAATGGTATTCTTGTGGGGAGACCTACTCTCAAGGCAAACACACCCAGCCTTATACAGGACCTGGGTCGGGATGGGGGTGGTAGGGGGTGGTGGCTACATGGGTGTATGACATCGATCAATGTCTACACGTTCCAGTCTACTTGATGCGTGTCTCGACTATGATCAGACATGTTTTTAGAAGATAGACAGTTCCCTTTATTGACATGTGAAAGAAAAAAAAGGAAAGTTTGGTGGTGTAGTCACGCACAAGATGGCGCGGCGCCAGGAATGGAGAAAGACAGGGGAGCCACCCGATTTTACAGGGGCACCCACTCTTAAAGGGGCACCCGATCTTATAGGGCACCCGCTCTTACAGAGGCACCCGCTTTTACAGGGGCACCCACTTCATGAACATTCGGGTTGTGACAGGAATATCTGATGTGCAGATAACACTTCTAATCAAGTTAATTATTGTTCTGAGTCATTCTCATTTCATCGGTTGGGCAGTTCCTCCCCCCCCCCCCCCAAGAAGCACGTCCCCAAACAACCCCCTCGCCCCAGACAAAAAATATATTATTTACATAGATAATATAAACTTAAACCAGTGCCCCCTCCCATTCCGAACATTTGAGGTGTTACCCCGGGGAACATGTCTGAAAGAAACACTGCCCCTATGGATATCAAGTATACATATCAAGTATACTCACAGTGGCGTAACTATCTTACTTTAAACCATGTTTGGAAAACCATCTATCTCCCAACGTATAGTTTTGTGTTTAAATAGAAAGTTAAGTGAACTTGCTGTGAATACAGCATAAGTTTTATAAACCCTACCCACCACTCACCCTCCTTTATACTCATTAAAGAATTTAGCAAAATTATGCACACGTTTGATTTGAATTACTCCAAATTCTTGTAAGGAAGGCAACTCTCGTATGATACTGCTCGATACAAAACATCGTTTATTCCCCTTAGGCGAGTAGTAATTTTTTCCAAGTGAACAAAGGGCGGTATCTATTGATGTGTACGCGAACATGTCACCCATTCATCTCCTTAATTGCCTGCCCCTAGTTAGCAGTATCTGAATCAATCGACACAGGTGTGACGTATATTGTAAACTGCTACTTAATGAGTTGGTTGTTAGATAGGTATTTATAATGACAACATTGGTCACAAATTTTTAATGTACTACAAATTAGAAAGATGTTAAAATTACCTTTCAGTAACTGGAGGTCCATGGTAGTTAAAGTAGAGTTCACTTGTTTCTGTGACCTCGGCATATGATGAGATAGTGTAGTCAGCGCTTTGTCCATCTGGTTGTACTTTCCATTTAGTGAGTCAAGTACTCATAACCACTGGGTGGACTCATGGACGTCCTACAGAATTGAGCCTGGGACTTTAGGCAGCAGTCGTACGCTTTAGCGTCCAACTACACCGTCACATTAAGAATAAAGGTAGAAATGTACTATGGTGATCTTAAAACGTCAGTTCCTTAGCTAGGAAAGGATGTGGAACTACTACAGAGACAGGAAAGCTTAAAGTACCAGCTGATAAAGAGAAGTTTAGCAGTGTTTCTTTCAGACTTTTTTCTCGGGGGGGGGGGGGGGGGGGGGGCACTGGTAAAAGTATATATTTTCTTCGTGGAGGGGATGGGCGGTATACTTACTTTAGGAAGAAACTCTGACGTTTCTATTGCCCGATTTATTCGGAGAGGAGTGTTTTAGTGCAACTATATTTGACATCATGTGCCCAACGTTTGCAAGTAGAACTAGTATTATAATAGCAAAAACTATTAAAAATCGCGTGCGTGATAAAATTCTCTTCGACACCAATAAAGAGTGTATCATTATTACAAGCTTTTATTACAAGCTTTTATTTAACTGACTATCTCTGTCTGTCATCTGAAATAGTACTCAAGTTATAGGCTTTTGAAAATTTCAAAGTAGAAAAAGTTCCATTTTAGGTTATCGGAAATCGCTCAAAAGTTGAAACGGATCTACGATTTTGATATAATACGTATATATGAAATTTCATCAATCTAGCTGTAATGGTACTCAAGTTATCTTGTTTACACACACAGACAGACAGACAGACAGACAGACAGACAGACAGACACACATACACACACACAGACATACGGAAAAGATTGCGAAACTATGTTTTTCGACTCAGGGAGCTATACAAAAATCTAGATTTTTTTGTGTGCACGATCACAAGACTTTCTCTATACTTCCTATATATGAGAAAGTAAAAAATGGAATAAATCAAAGACTACTTGTCCACGACTAAAAGCAAAGGTTTGGTGGTCTGATATAATGTTAGGTAATGAGCTTAGTCAGAAAATATAACAAAAGTAAGCTGATTAATTGATCTAAGTACAGCTTTGAGGAAAATGTAATTATTTCTTAGTACATAATCTAGTCGGAAAAACATGTATTAGAGGCTGGGGATTGCAAAGCTTTAGACAAGGAAACATTGACGGAAAAAAATATTGGTGGTGATTTGATCTGATAGTCAGAAGCCACCGTACCATCAGGCAAGTTGCCGTGCTAGACCAATGAGAGGGTCGATCACCCAGCCTCGTTGTGAGCGCGCGCCCACGGTGGGGCAGAAGATATAAAACAGGCGCGCCGGGACGCAGACAAACTGTCGTCACTTCTCCAAGTTCGTGTTTAACGCTAGGAACAAGACCATCCCAGCAGACAGCAAGCGGACAGAACATCTCAGAACAGAACCCAAGTTGTCTAGAACAAGATACAGCCATGAGCCCAATAATGTTGACAGTTTTTTCCCTGCTACTTATTCTGGCTGTAGCAGATGGCCGACGAGTAAGTTCTTGGTTCGCTGTCTACATTTTGTTTGTTTTCTTCTTAACTTTTTTCCCCAATACATTTCTTTTCGACCGTATAGAAACTGACAGTTCAGCAGAAAAAAAAGTCTTAACTTTACATTATCATCCTCGTATATTTCATTCATTGTCAAAACAGAGTTTATGCTAATTTCCGGGCATTTTTTCTTTGACTTAGAGGTGAATATATGTTCTCTGCAATCACTGTACAATCTATCAAGTTCTCGTTTGATTGATTTAGTCTTCAATCCTCCTTTCTCTTGTGGCTTCGCAAATTAGCCAGATATTTCAGCTGGGTTTCGATTGGATACAATCATTCTGCCCGGCATTTGGTTGCTTTAATTGTAACGGAGGGTAATTAAACTGCGCGGACGTATATCCATATACCTCTTTGATATCAAATAGCTATTTATGGACAGAAAGCATTAGCTAAAGCAGGTTTTTTTTCAAATCTAAAAACTTGTAAGTGAAAAATATAATTTGCATAACTTAATAATGCTCTATTTGTGATATTAAAAATGTCTTCGTCATGTTTTTATAAATACTGCCTTTGCATTTAATGCATATCAGGTATTAAATATTATGATGACATTGAATGCTTTTTTTTCAAAACAATTACGTTGCAAAATATTTAAGTCTAATATTTTAAATTTTTGCTTTTCATTTTTTTTTTTACACCAGGAAGTGAGTCAAGGTGTGGACGAAAAATCAAAAGACGATTATTTGGACGAAAAATCAAAAGACGATTATTTGGACGAAAAATCAAAAGACGATTATTTGGACGAAAAATCAAAAGACGATTATTTGGACGAAAAATCAAAAGACGATTATTTGGATGAAAAATCAGAAGACGATTACAGTTCAGACTACTCAGATTCCGCTAGCGATGGTTTAACAGGATTTGCCAAACGACCTTTCGACTTAATTTTGCAGTATTGTCTGTATGTCTGTGTATGCCTGTATGTTTCTAATTTTGAGTAATTTCCGGTGACCGGAAAAAACAGTATTTCCAATTATTTTTTTTAAAACGCATGTTAGTTTATAAAGTACTTATGTTCCGCACTTTTATACACGCATTGTTTGCAGTTCATTTGCTGTGCCATTCTTTTTTTTCTACGTACTTCTATAGAGTCCTTGCAAAACGTGACCTTAATCACGTGATACCTACGTCCGCCGCCACGGTGGTGAACACTCGCAAGTAAACAATCAGCTGTTTCGCAGCTTCGGGCGCGTTTCAAAATGTGTTCACTATATATTGAGAGCCTCGCATCCACAGAACTTAAACAATACGTAAAAAACTTTCAGGAATTGAAGATCGTTAAATTCGTGTTGACATAACATTCAGGAGTATAGATAATTTAAATATAGAACTAGTTAGTATACATTCTAGATTCTCTAGTTAAGTTTAAGATTTAGTAGCAATAGATCTTGTAGATCTACGCAACAGTAACAAACGTGATACCACTTAACCCGCACACAACCCCCAATAAAACTGCTTATCTTAACCACATTATTCCTTCATATGCTTACTTCACAGGTGAGCTCTACACCTACCCAACTCTACTTCACCTGCCCTGTGTCCCGCCAAGTTCTGATAGGCAGCTTTATCATTCACATCTAGAACATTTTTCTTTATTGTCGTGATGTGTCTCGAACTCGTATCACCCGCATGGTAACTATTACACTACCATCTTAGCTATGTGTGTACTTATAAATTAGTGCAGAATTAGTGCTATAATATACTGCAAAGTAAGAAACTTCAGTTAAGCGAATAGGTCCTATTATTTCAAATTAAATTATATCCCAAACTAGCCAATTCCATACCTAAACAAACAAGGATTTATATAAAATAATTAAGGCCTGAAATAGTTTAGTGTAGAAACTCATAGATTCTAGATCTAGATTTAACTAAATCTATATGTAGAATCTAAGGCTTAAGTCTGGTTTTTTTCGTATAGATCTAGAACCTGGATAGATAAATCCCATGTATTATCGAAATAGATGATCATTGAAGCAAAAAAAGCAAAGAATTATTTCAAATATTTAAGGACTAACATAGTTTAATAATGAAACTCAATATTTTAAACTATTTAATTTTGGTTTGACCTATACTCTAGAATTTAGATCAAGGATTGACTTTCCCTTTGTCAACAGCTGATCCGTAGATCAAGAGAATCAGAAGATACCCGGCATTGCCCACCCTAACAAGTACCAACTAAAATCAAAACACAAAAACAAGCAAACATAACACAAACACAAATACAAACATAAAAAAGGAAACAAAAAAGCAACCAAAAGCAAACGAAAACAAACTAAATCCAAACGCAAACACCAACCCAACCACAAATAAAACCCAACACAAACACAATGAAAACACAAGCGCAAACATAAATGCAAAGTGCCCACAGTCTAGCCCATGGCGCCAAATCGCACCATGCTGATGCGTCGGCGGAACCGCCTGTTTCAGATAAGTAAACGAATATAGTACTCCAATTTGTTCAGTCTTTTGCATTCACTTAAACGAACGTAGGTGCCATAGGGTACACGGAAAGTCCCGGGACACCAAATAGCACCTTATCTGGGCGCCGGAGGACGCCCTGATTTGATTGACTTAAAGACTACAGTAACCTTTCTTATCCATAGTCTATCGCATTGCTTAAAACGCAAGTATGCACCGTAGCGCTCACAGGATAGCCCACGGCGCCAAACCGAAGCCTGCCGAGGCGCCGGCGAACGCGCCTGTTTCAATTTAGTGAACATTTACAATACCCCAAGCTTATCCGCAAACGGAAAGAAGTAAATATAGAGGACATTTAGGATCTGCCTTCTTAACTGTTATTGAATTTAAAAAATATTTGCGGTGCAAAGCGACGCCATCTGATGGAAATTTTGAAGCTATGAAACATAAATATAGATCTAGCTCTTAAAAGAAATTGTTTCTTCGATCTTGCCTTTACAATCGATAGTGTAGTAGAACGTTAAACTGCAAAATGTACTGTTTTAAAACGTCTGCGCAAAAAAAAAAAAAAAAAAAAAAAAACAAAGGCAGATAATTCCCATTCCCGAATAAAGATGTCTTTTTTTTTACGTCAGCTGTCTTTGATTAAAAATAATAATTAGTAAACAGCACGTTCAGTGTATAAAATAAATAATAGGCAGTATTTAAATGACCTACCACATTCCACTTGATCAATCTAGGCTAATTATGTAATTTTTTTCCCAACACCAAAACAAAGTAATAAAAAGTAACCCCCCCCCCCCCCCCCCCCCCCCCCCCGATGTGAAATTTTTATTTAATAAATGGAAGCAATTGTGTTTTCGTAATATATCAAGGGACGTAAGGTGTGCTAAGGAACTAAATGTAAATAATTTTTTGACACAATTAGAATTTTTGTGAATGGTGATACATTTTATTTTAATTTGTTTGATGATCATGCGGACAATTATTATTGTAAGTTTAAAAAATGAAAATTGTTTTACAACACCTTCCCTATTATTTTTTTTAAAATAATGAATTTAGACATTGAGTAATTTAGATGTATAACACTATGACGATATTCTTTTGGAATCCTTGGTCACATACATACAGAAGTGACCATTATATATTAAATATATGTTTATTTAAACATACATATACAGCCTTGTGCCCCTGTACTTTCACAATTTATTTGGCTAAACAGAGAAAGGATTAAAGGAAAGTCAGTCCTAGAGATAGGAGCTGGAACTGCCTTACCAGGCATTGTGGCTGCCAAATGTGGTGCTAATGTCATTCTCAGTGACAGCAACAGTTACCCACAGTGCCTTGATATTTGCAGAGAAAGTGCTCAGCTAAATGGTGTACCAAATGTTGCTGTAGTAGGAATCACATGGGGTGAAATCACTTCAGTTTTAACTGACCTTCCTAATATAGATGTTATACTTTCTTCAGATTGTTTTTATGATTCAAAAGATTTTGAAGATGTAATTATGACACTGTCATACTTGCTACACAAAAACCCTACTGCTGAAGTTTGGTGTACTTACCAAGAAAGGAGTTCAGATAGAAGTATTGAATATTTACTGGACAAATGGCAGCTGATGGGAGAAGAAGTTGACACCCCTGATATGGACTCACTAGAGACAAGTTTCCAAGGTCACACAAAGCATACAATTCATTTATTTATCATAAGGAAAAAACAAGATCTGCCACCACTTGTATCATAAAATGGATTGTCTAAAAAGTATACCTTGGATTTTCAGCTTCTTACTGTTGACTGATATTTGAATAACATTTATAAACATTAAAAAAAAAAAAAAAAAAAAAAAAAAAAAAAAAAAAAAAAAAAAAAAAAAAAAAAAAAAAAAAAAAAAAAAAAATTTAAACATACATATGAAGAAACAAGATGGCGCATGTAAACTACCCCTAATTCGAAAGACATGCAAACTGGACTGTTTTGATCATCATCAAATGACGATTGGAATTAAAGGGTCCAAGCACTGAAGCAGGGCAGTGCTGTCTCATTGATGGGAAACAACAAGAAGAAAGCCAACAACAGAAATTCAGTGAGAGAAAAGCACTGCCCAGCAGTCATCTGTTATTTACAATGGCACAAATTAAAACTTATGCACGGCTGAGACCTTCCAAAAAAGCTTACCCTGGCTATGAAATTGGCAAAAATGTGCTGACAGTACAGATCCCAGATAATAAAGATTTTCTTCTCCAAGGACCCCAGCAGCCCATTCGCAGCAACCTTAGCTATGACATAGTCTTAACCGGTATCTTCAGGCCTGAAGTCACACAAGGGGCAGTCTTTGATGGTGTTGCCAAAGATATTATTCAACATTTTTAAATGGCTATAATGGAACAATTTTTGCTAACGGTGAAACTGGAACGGGCAAAACTTATACTGTAGAGGGTAACTCCTCTCGGTACAACACCAGAGGCCTAGCTACACGAGCCTTGATCATGATATATCAACAACTAGAAAATCGAACAGATGAACATATATCAGTGTATTTATCCTATCTAGAAATATACCAAGAAGTTGCCTATGACTTGCTAAATCCAGCAGCAAAATCATCTTTACCTGTAGCACCATTTGCCAAGGTTACAGTGGTTGAAGGGCCCAGAGGCTCATGTATTTTGAGAGGTCTCTCTCTGCATCTTGCCGCCAATGAGGAAATCGCACAAATGCTCTTATTGCAAGGACAAGCCAATCGTAAAGTGGCTGAAACACCGGTAAACCAACGGTCGTCAAGATCACATGCTGTGTTTACTGTGTACTTGCAAGTGAGGAAGCATGATTCGGAAGTTCTTGTTAAGTAAGTTCAGCATTCACTTGTTGCGTTCATTTTTTATTTTAAATTGTCATGTTTTTAAATTGCAAAGCTTTAACATTCTGCTAGCCAAGTTATTTTAGCTAACATAATAGCAGATCACATTTCATATTAGTCAAAATGCTACTTCTTAGCTAAAACGTAATGTCTTTTTAAGAAATAAAATTTCCAGACCATAAATTTAAAATGTTAAAATGATGTAGCTGATATACTAATATCTTATTCAATAAAATATTGTTAAAAATTAAAAAAAAAAAAAAAAAAAAAAAACCAAAAAAAAAACCCAAAAAAAACAACATACATATGTATTACACCAAATATATTAAGGATATATCTGTTCATGTTTTTCAATTATTTACATAATGTATTAGGTTGCACATCTTTCTATAGGCCATTATGTCTTTGAAAAACCACCTTATCTCTATCTAAAGGACGTTTTTATCATCCAAAACAGCTAAACTGCAAGACATGTAAACTTGTAAACTATCACACAAGATGACATTTTTCATCAAGCTCGACTCAATAGTTCTATTAAAGAGGGGTGGGATGGTGGTCTTGATCAATAAAATATTGTATTTCGTTTCTGCGCTAAATAATTAACAGACGATAATAATCAAGAGGCGGCTAAAATGTTTTTATTTCAAGTATGGTAGACATCATTCTATATCTCAGGTGTCTGTAATTAATTCAGGGAATTTTTAGGTGTATGTGTGAGTGCGAGAGAGTGTTTGTGTTCGTATGTAAAGGGTGTAGTGTCAGTGTAAGGGTGTTTGTGTGTAAGAATGTATGCGTGTGTGTTAGAGAGTTTATGTATATTTGTTAGTTTGTTTGTGCGGGTGTGTCTTCCTCGGTGTGAATGTTTGCAGCTATGAATATACGATGTTGTGAAAGATAATGTGTGTGTGTGTGTATGAGTGTGTGTGCAGACTTGCGTGGGTGGGTGAGATTGTTTCTATAGATGTGAACATTTGTGTGATAGTGCGCATGAGTGATAATGACTACCCGTTATCCTGTGGGTCTCGGGGGGTCATCCATAAATGACATCACGCTTGTCACATATCACAAAAAAACCAGACCCCACATTAAAAACACCTATTTTGGCTGAGCATGGGTCTTATCGTAATATCCTTTCATATGCTAAGGTCACAAAAACAGGACAACTCTACATCACCTGCACAGTGTCCCGCCAACTCAGACATTTTTTTTTGTCTTTTTCTTCTTCTTCTTCGTTCTTAATTATTAGTGTTTTAGGTGATCGAGATTTATCTGCCAGTGGGTTTGAACTCGAGACTTTGTTCGAATTTATCAACCATGAGCTTTTTGCCTCCAACACAGTTAAGCGGTACGTGTCAACTGGTTATGCGCCATTGAGGACATTGACTCCGATTTCAGCCTGCTTTTCTTTTTGGATTTGCTTCCATAGCCTTTGTCCAAGAACCAACTACAAGGCAACAGTTGTTTAATTTTGGAGTTGTTTCTCCTAGAAGAGTGGCTGTCCCCAGCTAACGAGCCTCATCTGCCCGAGTTTTTGTCTTTTAAAAACACAGATTTCGGCCGAGCTTGGGTCAGACCACACTTTTCCTTCATATTCCGAGGACACAGAAACAGATGAACTCTACTTCACCTACCCTGTCCCCCGCGAAATCCCGATAGGCTTCATAAATCATATATTCCATCTTAATTTCGATTGGATACAATCATTCATCCAGTATATTTTGTATTGGAGGATAATTAGACTGCGCGGAATTATATCCATAGCCCTCTTTGATATCAAATAGCTGTTATGGGCAATAAAAGATAGCTAAAGCAATTTGTTTTTAAAAAATATAAACAATACAAAGTGAAAAAATATATTCTACATAACGTAATAATGCCCCATTTGTGATATTAAAAATGTTTTCAGCATGATTTTATACTTACCGCATTTTTATGTAATGCAAATGAGGTATTAAGTATTAGGATGACTGTGAATATTTATTTTTTCTAAACAGCAATTGCGTACAATGGCGTTTGAACGTACCTTAATGTATATTGTATCTTTTTATATCTAACTCACTAGGGAATTCATAAAAAGTAGAACTCTTACAGCACAAAGTTCAGTTTTTCAAGCTTCTGCTCAAACTACCGGAACATTAACATATGCTTTACATCTCCTAATTAACTTGCTATAACTCTTTCTAGGCGAGCTGCCACTACCAAACGTATCACATCTCCCAATGCGTTTCGGTCGCCTAGTCTATTTAAAAACAGTCTCTGGTATCTAGGTTTGTCAGGATTTGCCAAACGACCATTTGATTCCATTTCCAGAAGCAATGATCTGTCTGGATTTGTGAAGCGACCAATCGACCCAATTTCCGGTAGCCATGGTTTGCAAGGATTTGCTAGGAATCTGAGGTGACAAATCACACCCTGCAGAGACGCCGGTGGACGCGCCTGATTTGATATAGTAAACAATAATTGTGTATAGCGTATAGAACGAACGTAGGCGCCATAGTGTTCACATGGGAGCCTGGGGCGCTATAGGTCAAGCAACAGCCTGGGCGCTGGCGACTGCACATGTTGAAGCTTTAAATCTGAATTTAGTAGTATCACTTATCCATTATGCAGAACGCCTAAACAACGGATATTAAGTGCTAAGATAGCCTCTCTGGAACTCTGGGTGCCAAACTGTGTCATGACGAAAAATGACAGTGAAGGCTTGTTTGAGTGTTTCGTTTTATGTTCTTTTTGTATTTATATTATTAATTTTAATAATATTTCCTTTTTATAGAATACTTCATAAAAAAGTTATTAATTAAGAGAAGTTATTGCTTTTTATTTGTTTAGTGAAAATTTATTAAAAGGAGCTTATGAGCACTCATATTTGACTGTTTAAAAAAGGGAAATAAGTAATGGAAGTGGTTTTAACGTATGCCTATCTTTCACACTACTCCTTATGTGTATATTTGTTTACGCAACAGCATGTGTTAGCTACTGAATAACATCACTACTGTACAAAAAGATTAACGGTTCAGGTGGGTTGATGTGTGGTTGGTTGCATTGTCAAGTGTTGTGTAGATGAGCAGTGTTGGCCATACAGCCCACAGCCCACATACACCACGAAAAAATAAAATACCCCCCCCCCCCTTACCCTTACGCTCTACACCCAATGAAACACCAGGTTACGATCGAGCGTGCCATGGCATACATTAGACCTATATAAACTGACCAGCAATACTAAGACAATAGCTTCACTAATTAGCCCTGTCGCAGTGTGTGTGAGTGTGTGTTTGTGTTCGTGTTTGTGCGTGTGTGTGTGTGTGTGTGCGTGTGTGTGTGTACGTGTGTGCGTGTGGTATGCTTTCGAGCGATTGTGTGTGTGTGTGTGTGGACGCGTGTGTGTTTGTGTGTGTGTAAACTCTTTTGAAAGAAACCTTCAGTCGGCCACTTGTAACTCCACGTAATCCCGTTGGTCTACCGGTCACTATTGAAACCTCAATGGAGGAGGAAAAGATTGTATTAATTTCAAGCCAAACTGTGGCTGGACAGCCGGGCACAGCAAAACAGCCAGGTACAGCTAAACAGCCTTATCGTCGGCTGTTTCTGAAGCCCTCTCTCAGGTAAAGTTGTAACATTGTTGTACTTTGACAGAAAAGGGAAACAGCCGGTGACTACAACAGTTGGAGACTGAGTGACGTGAAAGGTCAAAAGTCACGTCTCTACAGAGTAGTGTTAGGTCAGGAGGGGTGGGAGATGGGGGAGGGAGGGGCTGAAAGGGGGTGGGGGTGGGGCGTCGAAGATAATTAGTTATAGGTGTAAGCCTGGATTTGGGACGTAACCAATTTAGGACTAAAGTTACTGACTCGAGATTTTGTTTTTTTCCGCTAGCCTACTTTAACATAGCTTGTATTTGGTACACATTCAGTTATAAGAAGATTAAATTGTGAAACAATATTTCTGAATTCAGGTAAGTTTTTTTTTATCTAGAAAACACACACACACACACAGACACACACACAAACACACACACACACACACAAACACACACGCAAACACACACACACACACACACACACACATATATATATATATATATATATATATATATATATATATATATATATATATATATATATATATATATATATATATATATATATATATATATATATATATGCCTATATGTATGATAGGAGTTCACCCGATTTTGAAATGTTACCTTTCTATCAGGGTAATGGCTGTTGTGTTGCTAGTGCTTCTCACCTGTGTCACCCTGTTACCTGTCCTGTTACAGGCTGCAGGTATCACACCTGTGAGCCACGAGTCAGGTAATTCATGTTTGCCTGTTAAAAAGTTAGGCAGGTATTTTTTTTTACCTCAAGCTTTCACGCAAAATATGGAATTCGTTATGTATATCTAGATGATACACCTTGATTACAAAAATAAGGATTTTAACGTCATTAACACACATACACACACACACACACACTCTCTCTATCTCACACGCACTCTCATATGCACGCACACACATAATCATACATACCCATACACGAAACAAGAACTGAAATGAATTTAATGCATTTTAAAGTAGGCTTATTCTATTAAAACCTCATAACATAAAACGCAAAAAAAGACAGAAATCGTTTTGGTTTTAATTGTCTTTGTTCTTTCTGATAGTAATATTTTCCTCTAACCAACTGTTACTACGTTTTACTACGTTTGTAGTATAACGGGTGTAATGGTCTCATTAATCTGATTGTTGCATGTTTGTAAGACAACTCTATTTACCTGTTACCCCCCTCCCACAGAACCAGCCTTCTGGCACGATATAGCCCAGCGGGAGATGGAGGACTCCTTGAGACCCCGACCCCAGGGTGTGGCGAAGAATATCATCTTTTTCCTGGGGGACGGGATGGGGCCCACGTCTGTGACTGCTGCCCGCATCCTGCAGGGGCAGCTGAAGGGGAGGAGGGGGGAGGAGGAGAAGCTGAGCTTCGACAAGTTCCCCTACACGGGCCTGTCGCGGGTGAGTACGCTGTCTGATTGCCACCTGGGGGTTGGGGTCGGTGGGTCGGAGACAGATTTAGTCTGGAGTGTGTGGAGGGGGGAGGGGGGCAGGTGATGGAAGAACAAGCAGAGTTCCCATATACGGGGCTGTGATGACGAGCAGTGTGGTTAATAATTGGGGTGGTAAGCTGGTAGATGGGGGGGGGGGGGGGGGGGGGGTGGGTCCTACTTATCCTTTCAGTATCTCTATCTATCAACGACAGCTACTCCATACCTATCTGTCAGTATCTCTATCTATCAACGACTACTATTGCATACCTATCTGTCAATATATCTATCTATCAACAACAAATATTCCATACCTATCTGTCAATATATCTATCTATCAACAACAAATATTCCATACCTATCTGTCAATATATCTATCTATCAACAACAAATATTCCATACCTATCTGTCAATATATCTATCTATCAACAACAAATATTCCATACCTATCTGTCAATATATCTATCTATCAACAACAAATATTCCATACTTATCTGTCAGTATCTCTATCAACGACAAAAAATGGACCTTTATTTGAGTGGCTGCCGGTCACGTGACCAGGTTATTTACTATCAGTTTCCCTGCACTGCCGATTAAGACTTACAGTGAATGAATCTGTTCTGTGTTGCTTTTTTTTTTGGGTACACAAACGACTCAGTATTGAATCATTAGTCTCCAATTTAAAACCCATAGCAAAATCGTGTAAAGGTCCATTCTACACCCATAGCTGAATCCACCTCCTCCCACCACAGACCTACATCATCGACAAACAATTCTACACCTATAGCTGAATCCACCTCCTCCCACCTCCTCCCACCACAGACCTACAGCGTCGACCACCAAATCACAGACTCAGCTGCTTCCGGCACCGCCTACCTGACAGGTGTAAAGACCAACTCTGGTCTGCTGGGTCTCAGTGCCGCGGCCGTCAGGAAACAGTGCAACTCTACAGCTGGGGCCAGCGTCGACTCCATCTTGAGATGGTCTCTACAAGAAGGTTAGACAACTCTCATATAATTACCCGGGTTAATTTTTAATTTTTAAATATTACCTTTAACTGCTCATCGTTGTTGATTTGCAACAACCAAAATGTTCCTCGTTAGAGCCTATAGTAGTTAAATTTATATTAATGAACTATCTCCCTAGTTCTCATAACGTTATAGTATTTTCAAAGACCACAATTTTTAAAGTTTATACAACCACATCGCCCGTCCATGCAATAGAATACTCAAACAACACGAAACAATTACATGATAAAAAAAATAAAAGGAAAACATGTAAACAATACCCCCCCCCCCCCCTTGCGCATTCGTTAATTTTAAATAACGGGAGCGAGATTTTTAAAAAAAATCTGCTCAAGATTTTCTAATTCGGACTTTGGCCGGTCCACCATGGCCAGTCCGCGGATTGGCCGGCCAAAGGCCGAAATCAAGTAAAGATTCGGGCTTTTACCGTAACATATAAATTGTTCTATGCCACACATTACTCCATATAAATACCATAAGCAGCACACTCTTGCTTCGATACAGTGTGAACAATTAGAGTGTACTCTTTGGAGCATAGAAAACTCGTAAGGTACAAAACACAAAACTGCTAGGTTGTTTTTTTTCTGTGCATCTAATGTATGTTCAAATCAGTGTAGCTATGACGCATGCGCCTTATGTCTTGCTCTGGTTGTGTCCATTCTATTAACATAATTATGTTATGTTGTGTGGCCTCACCTACACAGGTAAGTCCGCTGGAATCGTGACGACAGCACGTGTGACCCACGCCTCACCTGGTGCCAGCTATGCTCACTCAGCTGATCGAGACTGGGAATCAGACAGGTAATTAGGAATCAGACAGGTAATTAGGAATCAGACAGGTAATTAGGAATCAGACAGGTAATTAGGAATCAGACATGTAATTAGGAATCAGACAGGTAATTAGGAATCAGACAGGTAATTAGGAATCAGACAGGTAATTAGGAATCAGACAGGTAATTAGGAATCAGACAGATAAATAGGAATCAGACAGGTAATTAGGAATCAGACAGGTAATTAGGAATCAGACAGGTAATTAGGAATCAGACAGGTAATTAGGAATCAGACAGGTAATTAGGAATCAGACAGGTAATTAGGAATCAGACAGGTTATTAGGAATCAGACAGGTAAATAGGAATCAGACAGGTAATTAGAAATCAGACAGGTAATTAGGAATCAGACAGGTAATTAGGAATCAGACAGGTAATTAGTAATCAGAAAGGTAATTAGGAATCAGACAGGTAATTAGGAATCAGACAGGTAATTAGCCTTAATTTGCTTTCATCTAGTCATATTGTGTTTATTTCACGGGGAGTTCTATCGGGCAACTAGTCCTAATTAATTTTGTCTAGTCGTTTTGTGCGTTTAATTGACTGGGAGTCTAGCAGGTATTTTTGGTGAGGGGTGGTCGATTGGTAGAGCGTGTGACTGCTAGCCCAAAGGTCACGAGTCCGGGTCACTGTTCGGATTTGTTAGACGTCCCTGAGTCCACACTAATGAGTACCTGATTTAAGTTGGGGCAAGTAAAGACGGCTAGGAAAATGCTGACCACAGTATCCCTTCATATGCCAAGAAACATATTAACTCTACTTCATCTGCCCAATAGATCAATAAGTCTAAAAAGGAACTTTAAAAACAAATTCAAGCTGTTATTTATTTGTAATTAGATATTGTATAGTCAAATGTTTATCTAATAAACTGGGGTTCTAACTGGTAATTAGTCTTAATTATATTTGTCATTTTTGTCTAGTCGTAATGTGTGTTTAATTGACTATGCGTGCGTCTAAGATGCAATTAGTTATAACAACTATTTTTTGTGTTCGTGATGTGTGTTTAACTGTAAACATGAGCTTACACATTTGACCACACACTATGTTACCAATCCCCACCGCATCCAATACTTATCTATTGTTACCACTACAACACCACACATGACCCCCCCCCATCTCTTGTCACTATACATGCAATATAGGTTACATGTTATTTCAATCAATTTATTTTATCAAGAGCACAAACTACCCCTCAACACATATATAGTGAGTACTTTATGAACGATGCTCAAAGTGGTAAAACTTCAATAAATCTAAGCCCAGCAACATAGATGTTGTTAAAGGCATTGTTCATAAATAATGTAAATCAATTACCAGTATCTTTATCACCCTTAAGATTGGTGTCACCCTGACCGTGGTGTCAGCCCTGAAAATGGTGTCACCAGCAACGGTCCTGTTAGTGTTTAAATGTCACTTGAAATCACCCTTGTAATTTTGAAATCACCCTTGTAATTTTGAAATCACCCTTGTAATTTTGAAATCACCCTTGTAATTTTGAAATCACCCTTGTAATTCTGTATTTATTGTTTGTTATTGTTTGGGCAGACATATACCGGCAGACCAGAAAAACTGTGAAGACATTGCCCTTCAGCTTATATCAAGAAACAGCGACATACACGTCAGTTCAGTACTACCATAAGTCCATAGACATTTCTAAAAACAATACTCTATTAAATATAACTCATTTTCATGAGCTTTTATTTAAATACCATAAAATGTATATTGATGCTAATAAATCTGGTAATTTAATTAATTAAGAAAGTAAAAAATAACTAATTAATAAATGATTAATAATCACCACTCCATGAACTAACCCCCACCCCCTCAGGTTGTCTTAGGGGGAGGTCGGGCCGCGTTTTACCCCGAAGACTTTGAAGACCCCGACCCGAACCCGTCTTTCAACACGTCAAAAGACAGCAGAACCGATGGACGGAACTTAATACAGGTTACTAAACACTTTTTACTGACGGAAAACCTTTTTGCTGTTGAATTTCCTGGTGTTCATATGTGATGTAGAAAAATAATTGTCTTGAAAATTATACGATCTATATTAGAAGCGTATTTTATACCATGTATATTATTGGATTATTCCAACCACTTACAACACACTCTTCCTTATCCTACCCCACCACCCACATACACACTTCTTAATTTCCCCCAACCATCTAACACACACTTCCCTATCCCCATTTTACCCTTTCCACCCGCTTCACCCGCACACACAATTACTTATTTTACCCCCACCACCACACACAATTTCCTATTTTACCCCCACCACCCCCACACACAATTTTCTATTTTACCTCCCCCACACCCACACCAACCGCCTATGTATGTCTGCAGGAGTGGAAGAGCTACATGACGTCACAAGGTCTGAAACACAAATTTGTCTTTAACAAGACAGGTTTTAATGACGTCACAGCAGCTAACACAGATTTTCTTTTAGGTAAGTGGCCGTCCATCAATAGCTTCACGGCTGATACAGATTTTCTTTTAGGTAAGTGGCCGTCTATCTATAGCTTCACGGCTGATACAGATTTTCTTTTAGGTAAGTGGCCGTCTATCTATAGCTTCACGGCTGATACAGATTTTCTTTTAGGTAAGTGGCCGTCTATCTATAGCTTCACGGCTGATACAGATTTTCTTTTAGGTAAGTGGCCGTCTATCTATAGCTTCACGGCTGATACAGATTTTCTTTTAGGTAAGTGGCCGTCTATCTATAGCTTCACAGCTGATACAGATTTTCTTTTAGGTAAGTGGCCGTCTATCTATAGCTTCACAGCTGATACAGATTTTCTTTTAGGTAAGTGGCCGTCTATCTATAGCTTCACAGCTGATACAGATTTTCTTTTAGGTAAGTGGCCGTCTATCTATAGCTTCACAGCTGATACAGATTTTCTTTTAGGTAAGTGGCCGTCTATCTATAGCTTCACAGCTGATACAGATTTTCTTTTAGGTAAGTGGCCGTCCATCAATAGCTTCACGGCTGATACATATTTTCTTTAAGTGGCCGTCAATCTATAGCTTCACAGCTGATACAGATTTTCTTTTAGGTAAGTGGCCGTCTATCTATAGCTTCACAGCTGATACAGATTATCTTTTAGGTAAGTGGCCGTCTATCTATAGCTTCACAGCTGATACAGATTTTCTTTTAGGTAAGTGGCCGTCCATCAATAGCTTCACGGCTGATACATATTTTCTTTAAGTGGCCGTCAATCTATAGCTTCACAGCTGATACAGATTTTCTTTTAGGTAAGTGGCCGTCCATCAATAGCTTCACGGCTGATACAGATTTTCTTTTAGGTAAGTGGCCGTCCATCAATAGTTTCACAGCTGATACAGATTTTCTTTAAGTGGCCGTCCATCAATAGCTTCACAGCTGATACAGATTTTCTTTTAGGTAAGTGGCCGTCCATCAATAGCTTCACGGCTGATACAGATATTCTTTTAGGTAAGTGGCCGTCCATCAATAGTTTCACAGCTGATACAGATTTTCTTTAAGTGGCCGTCCATCAATAGCTTCACAGCTGATACAGATTTTCTTTTAGGTAAGTGGCCGTCCATCAATAGTTTCACTGCTGATACAGATTTTCTTTAAGTGGCCGTCCATCAATAGCTTCACAGCTGATACAGATTTTTTTTTAGGTAAGTGGCCGTCCATCAATAGCTTCACGGCTGATACAGATTTTCTTTAAGTGGCCGTCCATCAATAGTTTCACAGCTGATACAGATTTTCTTTAAGTGGCCGTCCATCAATAGCTTCACGACTGATACAGATTTTCTTTAAGTGGCCGTCCATCAATAGTTTCACAGCTGATACAGATTTTCTTTAAGTGGCCGTCCATCAATAGCTTCACAGCTGATACAGATTTTCTTTAAGGTAAGTGGCCGTCCATCAATAGCTTCACGGCTGATACAGATTTTCTTTTAGGTAAGTGGCCGTCCATCAATAGTTTCACAGCTGATACAGATTTTCTTTTAGGTAAGTGGCCGTCCATCAATAGCTTCAAGGCTGATACAGATTTTCTTTTAGGTAAGTGGCCGTCCATCAATAGTTTCACAGCTGATACAGATTTTCTTTAAGTGGCCGTCCATCAATAGCTTCACAGCTGATACAGATTTTCTTTTAGGTAAGTGGCCGTCCATCAATAGTTTCACAGCTGATACAGATTTTCTTTAAGTGGCCGTCCATCAATAGCTTCACAGCTGATACAGATTTTCTTTTAGGTAAGTGGCCGTCCATCAATAGCTTCACGGCTGATACAGATTTTCTTTAAGTGGCCGTCCATCAATAGTTTCACAGCTGATACAGATTTTCTTTAAGTGGCCGTCCATCAATAGCTTCACAGCTGATACAGATTTTCTTTTAGGTAAGTGGCCGTCCATCAATAGTTTCACAGCTGATACAGATTTTCTTTAAGTGGCCGTCCATCAATAGTTTCACAGCTGATACAGATTTTCTTTAAGTGGCCGTCCATCAATAGCTTCACGGCTGATACAGATTTTCTTTAAGTGGCCGTCCATCAATAGTTTCACAGCTGATACAGATTTTCTTTAAGTGGCCGTCCATCAATAGCTTCACAGCTGATACAGATTTTCTTTAAGTGGCCTTTCATCAATAGCTTCACGGCTGATACAGATTTTCTTTAAGTGGCCGTCCATCAATAGCTTCACAGCTGATACTGATTTTCTTTAAGGTAAGTGGCCGTCCATCAATAGCTTCACGGCTGATACAGATTTTCTTTAAGTGGCCGTCCATCAATAGTTTCACGGCTGATACAGATTTTCTTTAAGTGGCCGTCCATCAATAGCTTCACGGCTGATACAGATTTTCTTTAAGTGGCCGTCCATCAATAGTTTCACAGCTGATACAGATTTTCTTTTAGGTAAGTGGCCGTCCATCAATAGCTTTACGGCTGATACAGATTTTCTTTAAGTGGCCGTCCATCAATAGCTTCACGGCTGATACAGATTTTCTTTAAGTGGCCGTCCATCAATAGTTTCACAGCTGATACAGATTTTCTTTAAGTGGCCGTCCATCAATAGCTTCACGGCTGATACAGATTTTCTTTAAGTGGCCGTCCATCAATAGTTTCACAGCTGATACAGATTTTCTTTAAGTGGCCGTCCATCAATAGCTTCACGGCTGATACAGATTTTCTTTAAGTGGCCGTCCATCAATAGCTTTACGGCTGATACAGATTTTCTTTAAGTGGCCGTCCATCAATAGTTTCACAGCTGATACAGATTTTCTTTTAGGTAAGTGGCCGTCCATCAATAGTTTCACAGCTGATACAGATTTTCTTTAAGTGGCCGTCCATCAATAGCTTCACGGCTGATACAGATTTTCTTTTAGGTAAGTGGCCGTCCATCAATAGCTTCACAGCTGATACAGATTTTCTTTTAGGTAAGTGGCCGTCCATCAATAGTTTCACAGCTGATACAGATTTTCTTTAAGTGGCCGTCCATCAATAGCTTCACGGCTGATACAGATTTTCTTTAAGTGGCCGTCCATCAATAGTTTCACGGCTGATACAGATTTTCTTTAAGTGGCCGTCCATCAATAGCTTCACGGCTGATACAGATTTTCTTTAAGTGGCCGTCCATCAATAGCTTCACGGCTGATACAGATTTTCTTTAAGTGGCCGTCCATCAATAGTTTCACAGCTGATACAGATTTTCTTTAAGTGGCCGTCCATCAATAGCTTCACGGCTGATACAGATTTTCTTTTAGGTAAGTGGCCGTCCATCAATAGCTTCACAGCTGATACAGATTTTCTTTTAGGTAAGTGGCCGTCCATCAATAGTTTCACAGCTGATACAGATTTTCTTTAAGTGGCCGTCCATCAATAGCTTCACGGCTGATACAGATTTTCTTTAAGTGGCCGTCCATCAATAGTTTCACGGCTGATACAGATTTTCTTTAAGTGGCCGTCCATCAATAGCTTCACGGCTGATGCAGATTTTCTTTAAGTGGCCGTCCATCAATATCTTCACGGCTGATACAGATTTTCTTTTAGGTAAGTGGCCGTCCATCAATAGTTTCACAGCTGATACAGATTTTCTTTAAGTGGCCGTCCATCAATAGCTTCACGGCTGATACAGATTTTCTTTAAGTGGCCGTCCATCAATAGCTTCACGGCTGATACAGATTTTCTTTAAGTGGCCGTCCATCAATAGTTTCACAGCTGATACAGATTTTCTTTTAGGTAAGTGGCCGTCCATCAATAGCTTCACGGCTGATACAGATTTTCTTTAAGTGGCCGTCCATCAATAGCTTCACAGCTGATACAGATTTTCTTTAAGTGGCCGTCCATCAATAGCTTCATAGCTGACACAGATGTTCTGTTAGGTAAGTGGCCGTCCATCAATAGCTTCACGGCTGATACAGATTTTCTTTAAGTGGCCGTCCATCAATAGTTTCACGGCTGATACAGATTTTCTTTAAGTGGCCGTCCATCAATAGCTTCACGGCTGATACAGATTTTCTTTAAGTGGCCGTCCATCAATATCTTCACGGCTGATACAGATTTTCTTTTAGGTAAGTGGCCGTCCATCAATAGCTTCACGGATGATACAGATTTTCTTTAAGTGGCCGTCCATCAATAGCTTCACGGCTGATACAGATTTTCTTTAAGTGGCCGTCCATCAATAGTTTCACAGCTGATACAGATTTTCTTTAAGTGGCCGTACATCAATAGCTTCACGGCTGATACAGATTTTCTTTAAGTGGCCGTCCATCAATAGCTTCACGGCTGATACAGATTTTCTTTAAGTGGCCGTCCATCAATAGCTTCACGGCTGATACAGATTTTCTTTAAGTGGCCGTCCATCAATAGTTTCACGGCTGATACAGATTTTCTTTAAGTGGCCGTCCATCAATAGCTTCACGGCTGATGCAGATTTTCTTTAAGTGGCCGTCCATCAATATCTTCACGGCTGATACAGATTTTCTTTTAGGTAAGTGGCCGTCCATCAATAGTTTCACAGCTGATACAGATTTTCTTTAAGTGGCCGTCCATCAATAGCTTCACGGCTGATACAGATTTTCTTTAAGTGGCCGTCCATCAATAGTTTCACGGCTGATACAGATTTTCTTTAAGTGGCCGTCCATCAATAGCTTCACGGCTGATACAGATTTGCTTTAAGTGGCCGTCCATCAATATCTTCACGGCTGATACAGATTTTCTTTTAGGTAAGTGGCCGTCCATCAATAGTTTCACAGCTGATACAGATTTTCTTTAAGTGGCCGTCCATCAATAGCTTCACGGCTGATACAGATTTTCTTTAAGTGGCCGTCCATCAATAGTTTCACAGCTGATACAGATTTTCTTTAAGTGGCCGTCCATCACTAGTTTCACAGCTGATACAGATTTTCTTTTAGGTAAGTGGCCGTCCATCAATAGCTTCACGGCTGATACAGATTTTCTTTAAGTGGCCGTCCATCAATAGCTTCACAGCTGATACAGATTTTCTTTAAGTGGCCGTCCATCAATAGCTTCATAGCTGACACAGATGTTCTGTTAGGTAAGTGGCCGTCCATCAATAGCTTCACGGCTGATACAGATTTTCTAGTACTTACATAGTTGTTCACTAAACTAGCTGTCATAGAGGCTTTAACAGACTTTTCCAGCGTAGTGTACATTCTCATTTAGATGATGCCAGACTAGTTAGCAGAGGCGTAGCGACCCTTCCCGGCGCCCGGGGAGAAACTTTCGATTTTACCCCCCCCCCCCCCCCCCCCCATCAAACTTTTGATTTGCACCCCCCTCAAACTTTTGATTACTTTTTCCAACCCATTTTGGCGCCCCCTAAGGTTGGCGCCCGGGGACATTTGTCCCCCCCTGCCACCCCCTCCCATCGCTGCGCCTCTGCTAGCTAGAGGTAAGCGGAGTGGAACTGAGGTCTGAATAAACACGCTCTAAAGAAGTATTTGGTTAGAATTAAACAGGATCTAGTAGGACGGAGTGGTCTAGCGGTAGAGACCTGGACTGCTAACCCGTAAGTCTCGAGTTCGAATCCAGGTTCAAGTTAGTAGACCGTCCCTGAGTCCACCCAACTCTGATGGGTACCTAACTCACGTTAGGGAAATTAAAGGCGGCTGGGCATAGTGCTGACCACACTATCTCTTCATATGCCGAGGTCACAGAAACAAGTGAAATCTACTTCACTTGCCCCATAGACCGTCAGGTTTGAAAGGGAAACAAAAAAAAAAACATTAGGATCTGATGAATAGACATTCGAAAAAAATGTGTATAGCATTCTGTTTTCCAATCTTGATTTTTTTTTCTAAAAATGTACTTTTACCCCCCCCCCCCCTCCCACTTATTGGATGAGAGACCATTGTCAGACACTGGGTACACTAATTATACCCCCCCCCCCCCATCTTTTCCTGTTTGTTCCAGGCCTGTTTTCTCAAGACCACATGAGCTATGAGTTGAACAGGGACGCAACCAAAGAGCCATCACTCTCAGAGATGACAGAAAAAGCTATTTCAATTCTTCGGAAAAACCCAAAAGGATTTTTCTTATTTGTAGAAGGTACAATGTGCACTGGATTCATACACTTGCAAATAGACTGTTTTACTTACTGCCGTTGTTATTGTTTTAGAAGACCGTACTGCTCATATACCTCAAATTTAGGTAGCCAAATTAATTATGCTAATTACATAACATATATTTAGGTAAAAAGATTGATCTCTCACACTACATGTCATGTATTAAGGTGATTAGATTGTCCTCTGCCAATACATATTTTGTTGTTGGGTAATTTTACATTTGCGGTCAGATTGGCTCGTCCATTGCATATTTGACATTCAAGCAATTACAGATTTTCCTCATGCTGGATGGAGAGACTGACCAGTTCAATTACATTTTTTCATGTAATTGAACGAATCGATACGGCAATTACATATTTTGTGGATAAAATGACCCCGCCCATTACATATCTTACATGCAGGTGGACGTATCGACCATGGCCACCACGCATCTCTGGCCGTCCACGCCCTCCACGAAACGGTCGCCTTCGCCCAGGCCGTCCAGACGGCCACGACGTTGACTGACCAGCTGGACACGCTGACCGTCGTCACGGCTGACCACTCACACGTCATGAGCATCGCGGGGTACGCCACGCGAGGTAACCCGATCCTAGGTGAGTACATCATGATTCGTTGTGTGCTCACAGGTGAGCCGATCCTAGGTGAGTACATCATGATTCGTTGTGTGCTGATAGGTGACCCGATCCTAGGTGAGTACACCAGGATCGGGTCAAACTTTGACTTGATAACTGCCTCTATTTCTCATATACGTCTGACACTTGAACTAATTCTACCTGTAATGTAACAGATTCTATAACTTTTTACCATCTGACAGGTTTAAGTGACAGCGACCAGAAGGTCCCTAGTCTTGCGACCCTGGACAAAAAGCCCTACACGACCCTTTTGTACGGCACTGGACCTGGGTACCGGGAGACCCGGCCCAACATCACGTTAGAAAACACAGGTGTGGTGAGCTCACCTTTTTACCTGGCAGCTCATACCTATGTATATATGTCATATGTCATATGTCAGCCAGTCAGCTGTTCCAATAACTAATGTTCCACATACTTTATTGTACTTCACCAAAAACTAGTTTACTGCCTCAATGTCCAATGTAACATATACTTTATCCTAACTACCAGCTACCATGAGATACATAAGGCAGTCAGCTGTCCTTATGCCCAATCTAACATATACTTTATCCTAACTACCAGCTGACAAGAGATACATAAGTCAGTCAGCTGTTCGTATGTCCAATCTAGCATATACTTTATCCTAACCAGCTGACAAGAGGTACATCAGTCAATCAGCTGTTCCAATGTCCAAAGAGACTCACGGGGGCGAAGACGTTGGAATATTCGCACAAGGTGAAAACAAAATCTCTCTATACTTCTTCTTTTAAAAGTTTTTAATCTGTTATGTTATAGTAGGATTAAAATTATTTATTATACTTTAAGTAGCATACAATTGTTTATATATGGTTCGGAATAAACATATTCCTGCAAAGTTATTGATGGGACCGTGTGGTGTATTAGTAGAGCTAATTGTAGGTACCTCAAAAGGCTTGAATTTAAGTCCTGGATATTAGAAACTTACATTTGAAAGTAAAAAAAGGACACCATGCTCATCAAGCAATATATTGCAAAAAAGATTCACAAAAAGACATGAAATCTACTTTACCTGCACACATGAACCGACTGGATTGGTAATTTAGTTTTGTGTGTTTTGATATTACTGACAACCGCCATGCACACAACTTTTAACGAATGAACTTATCCCACCCCCCCTCCCCAGGTCCCCAGTCGTTCCTGTACACAGGCGTCCACGAGCAGAACTACATCCCTATGGTCATGGCCTACGCCTCATGTGTCGGGCCCTACGCCGAGGGGGGAAAACCCTGCGCGAGACACGCCGCTGTCAAAGACGATACACAGGTTGGTTGATTTTCTTCATTCAGATTTTCTTTCAGGCATCACTTCGGAGGGGGCTGGGGGTGGGGGTGGTGGGGGGGGGGGGGGCGAACAAAATGGAATTTATTTAGAAAATATATACTTTTAACAGTTTCCGCCATCCCCCCCCCCCCCCGTAAATTATTTTAGTCCGCCCACCTCCCGAACATTTCAATAACCCCCCGCCACCCGGAGAAAAAAGTCTGGAAGAAACACTGCCTTCATTAATTTTAGTGTGTTAATAAACCTAAGTTATACAAAAGAACTTGAAAGAGGAGGAATTTATTAACCCTTTGAAAATTTAAGTAATTCTAATATTATCAGTGTATTTCAAGAATTCTTGCATCAAGAATACTGATATCTAACCTAATTAGAATGAAAGCCATTGGAGATGATTAATTAAAGATTTCTGGAGATTTTAGTTAATTATTTTTTACAAACACAAGGTTTAGGGTCACACATTGTTATAAAAGCAAGGAAATTTACATAGCCAATTTTAATAAGCATAAATCTTAAATTTAAAAATTTAGTAATGGATTATTATACTTTTCTTATTCCAGAAGAATTCTAGGAGTTCTGCAGGGTTCATTCAAGCCAATGTAGCAGTTTTGGTATTCTTGTTTACATTATGTTCATTTTCCCAGCATTCAAGCATTATAACAGTTCATTTATAAGTTACATGTTTAATAAATCTAAAAAAAAAAAAAAAAAAAAAAAAAAAAAAAAAAAACTGTTTTAATAATAAAACGTTGTTTTCATGAATTTTTCATTATTCTGAAAAAAAAAATGTCTAATATGATATTGGTTTTTTTTTATATTGATACATTTACAGAAGATGTTGAAATTTATTTTAATAAAATTGAATGTAGATTTTGTAGGAGAATATCGCCGGTATAGCGAGAAAACATTTAGTTATGTGAATTGTTTGTATGTGGTATTATCCAATTAACTCAGCGTGCATTGTGAATATTATTTTTTTAAAATTAATTTATAGTGAGAATATTGTGTGTATAGGTGGTGTGGGCTAATAATGCGTGTTGTTTGTGCGTGTTGGTGATGTGTGTTGGTGGTGGGTGTTGGTGGTTTGTGTTGATGGTGTGTGTTGGTGGTGTGTGTTGGTTGTGAGTGTTTGGTGGTGAGCAGATTAAAAGAGGAAGTGACTGAGTTGAGGTGAATTGCATGTTACGACGTGCAAGTTACGACGTGCAAGTTACGACGTACAAGTTACGATGCTCATGTTACGACGTGCAAGTTACGATGCTCATGTTACGACGTGCAAGTTACGATTTGGGTACCTGACTCACATTAAGGAAAGTAAAAGAGGCCGTGCAAAGAGCTGACCTTCATAAACCGAGGTAACTGTGAAATCCAATTTACCTGCCTTTATGAGCACTGAAAAAGATTTCATAACTGTCGGTCTTTTATTATTATAGACACAACTAGAGATTATAGCAAATATTTTGGGAAGAAATGCGTAAAGTATTGAATATACAGAAGTGCGTAAAGGATTGCGTATACAGAAGTGCGTAAAGAAGTGCGTACATACGTGCGTAAGGAAGAGCGTGAAGTGACGTATTATAAAGCTGCTAAAAGCTATCACAGGGAAAACCAGGGTCTAGTCCTTCCCCCTCCTTTCCCACCCCAGACGCTTTATTAAACCTGTCGCATATATTATTTTAGATTTTATGTTATTCTGTCCTAAACGAACAGGAAAGCTGCTCGAGGGGGGGGGGGGGGGGGGGGTCGAATTATTAAATAATTATTAATTTCAGGACAATTATCAGTGTATGTCTATCGATTTGTACTATGAGTAAAGAGGAAAATATTTTCTAAATGTAGCGAGTCGAACCAAGGCGGACGGCTAAGTGTATGTGTTCAATTGTGGGTGTGTTTGTATGTGGTGGAGACTGTGTGTATGTGTGTTTGCGCCTTACTTTCTTTCCTAAATTTCAAAACTATATAATTTTTGAGTATATACCGTTCGACCAAGCCGTTTCATCTGTTTTTATGTATCATCATTTCAACATTTCTATTCAACAATCTATTCATAAAACACAATCGACTTTCTAGCCTATTACTTGCGGGTGGTCGTGTAGTTCCATTCTACAATCTATATATCTAACACAATCGCCTTTTTAGCAATTCGCTAGCGGGTCGTCGTATAATTTGATTGACATTGATTCCATCTTGGCTCACATGAGGTATATGTCTATACAATGTTTATAAGACATAACACTGGAACCCTATGGAGACAATGTAGATAACACGACACATTATGATGTTTTTAATAATATACCAACCAGTTTAGACAATACAGAAAACTATAATAATAATTAATAATAAATAATATTTTGTAATTATGTACCTGTCTATCAGTTAATTAAATCAGTTAATTAAATCAATTAATTAAATCACGGGTCGAACACGTGACCGGAACATTATACTTAAGTAGATGACACTCTAGAGCATAGAATAGTCCTGTACACATCTTTTGTACACAAGTCTTGCACACACCATTTGCACGCAGTAGTCGTGTACTTACGATTTGTACATACTAGTCTTGTATCCACGATTTGTACACAAGTCTTGTACACACTATTTTTACACAACATTAGCGTGTTCATGCTTCAAGCAGAGTCAAAGATGATCGCATTTCTAGTCCTAGTGTCCGGATTTGTGGGTCTCTCAGTGGCCGAATCGGCTGGGTCTTATGAAAAAGGTAACACATTTTATTTATTGTTAAGCCCTCTGTGTTAAGCATAGACTAATAATGTTACACTGTTAAACCTACTCTGTTAAACATACACTGTTAAAACTACACTGTCAAACCTACTGCTCCATCTCAACTGTTAAAATCTTTAACCTAGTCTGTTAAGTCTGTGTTAAGCACACTAATACTGTTACACTGTTAAACCTACTCACTCAAACGTGCACTGTTAAACCTACTGTTCCATCTCAACTGTTAAAATGTTTAACCTAGTCTATTAAGCCTATTCAATTAAATCTACATAGTTAAACCTACGACTGTTAATTCTACTCTGTGAAACGTACACAGTAATACATAATTATATTGTAAAACCAACTCTGTTAAACCTTCAACTGTTACGCCTACATGTGCCTCTCATTCTTTTGTTATAGTAGTAGAACATTAGTACCATGTTGTATTTTCGGTGACAGGTGCTAAACGCAAAACTGCGAAACCGCGAAACGCAAAACTGCGCACAAAAAGTGCTGTAAGGCATTTTTAAAAAAATTAAATCGAGCATGTATAGACATTAAAATACATTGACTACATGTACACTGTAGAATAATAAAATATATTTCCATGAAATATGACAAAATTAAATTAAATTAGTATAATTACTTTGAATTTGCGCATTTTTCTGTTTCCGCAGTTTTCCGATTGCGCATTTATCTGGGAACCGTATTTTTCTATACTTACTAGTGGGTGTTAAATAAACCGGGAATGACCTCCCCAAAACTTTCTCGAATATTCTTATATAACACTCTACGGGGGATGGCAACTGGTAAGCGAGATATAGACATAATTAATAGTTTTTATTTAACCTCATTGTCTCTGTCTTCAGTTGTCAGTCTGTCTGTCTAGATCGAAACGCCCGAGCGAAATTACGGGCACTTCTAACTGACAGATCGGGTTCAGAGTTGGCACGTGGATCAAGCCATGAAGACATTAAATTTGACTTAATTGGATGACTAATTAACTTTTTATGAATTGATTAAAATTGTGTCCAAATTAGTAGGCTGTCTCATCCAACTATTCCGCACTATTATACACGCGTCATTCAGTTCCTTAGGCGCGCAATGGTTTTTAGTCATGCAACTCTATTGTAAATAAAAAAAAAATAAAGTATTAAAAAATAAACCGGGATCGATCTCCCTTAAACTTTCTCGAATATTCTTAATATAACACAACGTGGGATGGCAACTCAGGATATAGACGCTATTGTTATCCATTTTTAATTACTTAAACTTATAAAAATAGAATAGAATCTCGTAGAAAAAAAGAATTGCGCACCAAGTGAATGGCAAACAATATGTGTATAATAGTGCGGAATGTTATTAATACTTTATAAATTCATTTTCGTTTTTTTTGTTTTTTTTTTTGAGAAATCGGAAAAAGCATAAATTACCACTTCAGTCAACGAAAATTACTGAAAATTTGAAAGAAGGCAGAAAATTAGATCTTTTACTTTTTTTTTTAAATGTAGTTTATCTATCTGAAACAGTGCTCAAAGTATAGGCTTTTGAAAAACTAAAAGTATAATAAGTTATTGAAAATCGCTGAAAAGGTGATACAGAATTACAAATTAGATATAACACTTATATGTGAAATTTCATCAACCTAGCTGTAATGGTATTCAAGTTATTGTGTTTACAGATATATATATATATATATATATATACACACACACACACACACACACACACACACACACACACACGGACAGAATTGCAAAACCCAGTTTTTCTGACTCGATTACGCGTACAACGCGGAAATTTTGATACATCTGGATATATATTTTTTGTCCAATTAAAATAAGTCCCTTATACTTCGTTTGTGATGAAGGAGGACTGAGGCGGAAAACCACGAAAACTGTCAAAATTTTTTGCGATTTTTTGTGCACGGTTACAATACTTCCTCAAAACACTTTTACTTTCTCTGTGTACGAGAAAGAACGAAATTTTGTAGATTTTTAGTGTTTGTTTATGGATAGCGAAGGATATTGATAGATGTTGTTGACGTGATGATAATCGAAGTCTGTTGGATGTTACTTAGATTTTGATGGATGTTACTTAGATTTTGATGGATGTTACTTAGATTTTGATGGATGTTACTTAGATTTTGATGGATGTTGATTGATTTTGATATATTTTTTATTGGTTTTACTGAATGATTATAGGTTGGTTGATGTTAATGGATATTGATGAAAGTTGAATGATATTTCTTAGATGTTGATGGATGTTGAAGAATGTTGATCGGTTTTGATGGATGTTGATGGATGATAAATGCTGGTGAATATTGATAGGTGATAATAGATATGTATTTATGTTTCAATGTATGTTGAAAAATGTTGTTATAAAATTTAAATGGATTTTGATCGATGTTGATGGATGTTGAGAGATTAGTGGATTGTGTCGATGTAGTATTGTCTTTTACGGCTCCAACATCAAGCAAGTAGGGTATCTGTCTCATGTAAAGTGTATTAGTAAAGTCCATATGTGTGTGGGAGGTCTATGTGTGTGGCGTGTGAAGGGTCTATGTGTGTGTGGGAGGGGTCTATGTGTGTGGGAGCTCAATGTGTGGAGGTCTATGTGTGTGTGGGAGGGTTCTATGTGTGTGTGTGGGAGGTCGACGTGTGTGGCGTGTGAGAGGTCTATGTGTGTGTGAGCTCAATGCGTGGAGGTCTATGTGTGTGTGGGAGGTCTGTGCGTGGAGGTCTATGTGTGTGTGGGAGCGGTCTATGTGTGTGTGTGGGAGGTCGACGTGTGTGGCGTGTGAGAGGTCCATGTGTGTGTGAGCTCAATGCGTGGAGGTCTATGTGTGTGTGGGTGGTCTGTGCGTGGAGGTCTATGTGTGTGTGGGAGGGGTCTATGTGTGTGTGTGGGAGGTCGACGTGTGTGGCGTGTAAGAGGTCTATGTGTGTGGGAGCTCAATGTGTGGAGGTCTATGTGTGTGTGGGAGGTCTGTGCGTGGAAGATCTTGTGTGTGAGCTAGTGAAATAGCAGAAATTCATCATTAACCACACATTTTTAAACCAAACATGTAAAGCCTTTCCGTTTAAAATCAGAAGACGTCCATCGTTCAATAATCAGCTAATTCGGTTCAAGGCACCACATGGAATTAACTCAACTTATCCCTCAGATTACTTTGTAATCACAATACAGTTACACCTATCTTTTAAACTAACTCAGGTATCTCTTCTGCTCTACTTAGACCCTGAATATTGGCACCGCATCGCCGATCTGGATTTGAAATACAGACTATCACCACGACAGAAGGGCGTGGCCAAAAACGTCATTTTGTTTCTGGGGGACGGGATGGGAATCTCTACGGTGACGGCAGCGAGGATCCTGGCAGGGCAGATGGCGGGGAAAAACGGGGAGGAGAACCAGCTCAGCTTCGACAAGTTCCCATACACGGGTCTGTCAAAGGTAGGTCCCTACACGGGTCTGTCAAAGGTAAGGTCCCTACACGGGTCTGTCAAAGGTAAGGTCCCTACACGGGTCTGTCAAAGGTAAGGTCCCTACACGGGTCTGTCAAAGGTAGGTCCCTACACGGGTCTGTCAAAGGTAAGGTCCCTACACGGGTCTGTCAAAGGTAAGGTCCCTACACGGGTCTGTCAAAGGTAAGGTCCCTACACGGGTCTGTCAAAGGTAAGGTCCCTACACGGGTCTGTCAAAGGTAAGGTCCCTACACGGGTCTGTCAAAGGTAAGGTCCCTACACGGGTTTGTCATAGGTAGGTCCCTACACGGGTCTGTCAAAGGTAAGGTCCCTACACGGGTCTGTCAAAGGTAAGGTCCCTACACGGGTTTGTCATAGGTAGGTCCCTACACGGGTCTGTCAAAGGTAAGGTCCCTACACGGGTTTGTCATAGGTAGGTCCCTACACGGGTTTGTCAAAGGTAAGGTCCCTACACGGGTCTGTCAAAGGTAAGGTCCCTACACGGGTTTGTCATAGGTAGGTCCCTACACGGGTTTGTCAAAGGTAAGGTCCCTACACGGGTCTGTCAAAGGTAAGGTCCCTACACGGGTTTGTCATAGGTAGGTCCCTACACGGGTTTGTCAAAGGTAAGGTCCCTACACGGGTCTGTCAAAGGTAAGGTCCCTACACGGGTTTGTCATAGGTAGGTCCCTACACGGGTCTGTCAAAGGTAAGGTCCCTACACGGGTCTGTCAAAAGTAAGGTCCCTACACGGGTTTGTCATAGGTAGGTCCCTACACGGGTCTGTCAAAGGTAAGGTCCCTACACGGGTCTGTCAAAGGTAAGGTCCCTACACGGGTTTGTCATAGGTAGGTCCCTACACGGGTTTGTCAAAGGTAAGGTCCCTACACGGGTCTGTCAAAGGTAAGGTCCCTACACGGGTTTGTCATAGGTAGGTCCCTACACGGGTTTGTCAAAGGTAAGGTCCCTACACGGGTCTGTCAAAGGTAAGGTCCCTACACGGGTTTGTCATAGGTAGGTCCCTACACGGGTTTGTCAAAGGTAAGGTCCCTACACGGGTCTGTCAAAGGTAAGGTCCCTACACGGGTTTGTCATAGGTAGGTCCCTACACGGGTTTGTCAAAGGTAAGGTCCCTACACGGGTCTGTCAAAGGTAAGGTCCCTACACGGGTTTGTCATAGGTAGGTCCCTACACGGGTTTGTCAAAGGTAAGGTCCCTACACGGGTCTGTCAAAGGTAAGGTCCCTACACGGGTTTGTCATAGGTAGGTCCCTACACGGGTTTGTCAAAGGTAAGGTCCCTACACGGGTCTGTCAAAGGTAAGGTCCCTACACGGGTCTGTCAAAGGTAAGGTCCCTACACGGGTTTGTCAAAGGTAAGGTCCCTACATGGGTCTGTCAAAGGTAAGGTCCCTACATGGGTCTGTCAAAGGTAAGGTCCCTACACGGGTCTGTCAAAGGTAGGTCCTTACATGGGTCTGTCGAATTTAAGGTCCCTACACGGTTCTGTCAAAGGTAAGACGTTACCAAACTAGGGTAAGGTTTACCTACACGGGTCTGTCTAAGGTAATGTCTATATATGCTCGCGAAGGTTTCTAATGGCTTCCCGACCTCCACCAAGCTCTGATGTGTAGGTCTGCGTTTGTCTAAGGCGTAAGTCAGCTATTACAGGCCGGTGTAAGGGAAACTTCTTACCTTTGACAGACCCGTGTAGGTAAACCTTACCCTAGACAGACCCATGTAGGTGAACCTACTGACCCACTCACCTGTCTCTCCTGACCTAGTAACCTACTGACCCACTCACCTGTCTCCCCTGATCAACTGACCTCTTGACCCACTCATCTGTCTCCCCTGACCTAGTAACCTACTGACCCACTCACCTGTCCACCTGCTACTATTTTCCCCTGACCTAGTGACTAACTAACCTGTCCACCTGCTATCTGTCACCCCTGACCTACTGACCCACTCACCTGTCCACCTGCTACTATTTTCCCCTGACCTAGTGACTAACTAACCTGTCCACCTGCTATCTGTCACCCCTGACCTACTGACCCACTCACCTGACCACCTGTTAACTGTATATATATATATATATATATATATATATATATATATATATATATATATATATATATATATATATATATATATATATATATATATATATATATATATATATATATATAATATTGATAGTGTTCTGCAACATCTACTAGAGACTTTCCGTGGCTTGGCAGCTTGTGTATCCTGATTACCACAAGAGCCATAGGGCTGGAAAGTAGGTCACCAACCAGTTCTACGGCTCAATAAAATCTGCATGAGCTATAGAACTGGTTGGTGACCTACTTACCAGCCCTATACCAGCGGGATTGTCAACTCCTGGCAGGTTCAACCCAGCTGGGAGGATGAAGGGTTAACAGTCCAGAATAGTTTGATATCATGACTCCCAAGCTGGGAGGATGAAGGGTTAACAGTCCAGAATAGTTTGATATCATGACTCCCAAGCTGTGAGGATGAAGGGTTAACAGTCCAGAATAGTTTGATATCATGACTCCCAAGCTGTGAGGATGAAGGGTTAACAGTCCAGAATAGTTTGATATCATGACTCCCAAGCTGTGAGGATGAAGGGTTAACAGTCCAGAATAGTTTGATATCGTGACTCCCAAGCTGGGAGGATGAAGGGTTAACAGTCCAGAATAGTTTGATATCATGACTCCCAGATCTTCATAACAAAATATCATGGTATTTCAGACATACAGCGTCAACTACCAAACCACTGACTCCGCGGCGTCAGCCACCGCCTACATGACGGGAGTCAAGACAAACAATGGAGTCTTAGGTCTCAGCGCGGCGGCCTCAAAGGGAAACTGTAGCTCGTCCAAAGATGCCCATGTGGACTCGATCCTACGCTGGTCACTCAATGCAGGTCAGTGGTCATTTGATCTCTTTGTCGTGAAATGTTATATACTGTGGTACCTCGAGAAGTATAGTTCATTCGTTCTGTAATATTGCTCGTACGTCAAACATTTCTCTCCATTAGAATCTATTGAAATGCTTTTTACCCGCTTCAGTCACAAAACAAGACACATGCGTTTATACATGATAAATATTGTTTAATATAGTTTTGTGACGTAGCCTAACCAAGGATATGCGTGTGGGGTGGGTGGGTGGGAGGGGGGTGTTCTGCATGTGCACCTAATTAGTCTACTGGCGCTAATGAGTTGAGTTAACGTTTAGGTAATGACGTACAATAAGCCCGTGCATGTAGACCATGCCTTCCTGTCTTAATTTCTTGAACTGTTGTTTGACCAGGCAAGTCAGCTGGTGTAGTGACCACCACCAGAGTCACTCACGCCAGCCCCGCGGCCTCGTACTCACACACACCTCACAGGGACTGGGAGTCAGAGAGGTGAGTGGGTCAGTAGGTCACTAGGTCAGGGGTGACAGGTAAAAGGTGGACAGATGAGTGGGTCAGTAGGTTAAGGGAGACAGGTGAGTGGGTCAGTAGGTCACTAGGTCAGGGGTGACAGGTAAGTGGGTCAGTAGATCAGAGGAGACAGATAGCAGGTGGACAGGTGAGTGGGTCACTAGGTCAGGTGGACAGGTGAGTGGGTCAGTAGGTCACTAGGTCAGGGGTGACAGGTGAGTGGGTCAGTAGGTCAGAGGTGACAGATAGCAGGTGGACAGGTGAGTGGGTCACTAGGTCAGGTGGACAGGTGAGTGGGTCAGTAGGTCAGGTGGACAGGTGAGTGGGTCAGTAGGACAGGTGGACAGGTGAGTGGGTCACTAGGTCAGGTGGACAGGTGAGTGGGTCAGTAGGTCGGGTGGACAGGTGAGTGGATCAGTAGGTCAGCGGTGACAGATAGCAGGTGGACAGGTGAGTGGGTCACTAGGTCAGGTGGACAGGTGAGTGGGTCAGTAGGTCAGCGGTGACAGATAGCAGGTGGACAGGTGAGTGGGTCACTAGGTCAGGTGGACAGGTGAGTGGGTCAGTAGGTCAGGTGGACAGGTGAGTGGGTCAGTAGGTCAGCGGTGACAGATAGCAGGTGGACAGGTGAGTGGGTCACTAGGTCAGGTGGACAGGTGAGTGGGTCAGTAGGTCAGCGGTGACAGATGGCAGGTGGACAGGTGAGTGGGTCACTAGGTCAGCGGTGACAGATAGCAGGTTGGCAGGTGAGTGGGTCAGTAGTCAGGGGAGAATAGTAGCAGGTTGTCAGGTGATTGTGTCAAGGTAGATTTAGGTAGCAGGCTTGGATGTACACAGGTGAGTGATTAACTAGGGCAGAGAAGAAAGGTAAGAAGTAGCATTATTTTAAAAAAAAACCTTGCTATTTTTAAAAAAATAATTTACCTAGCTAATTTTAAAAAAAAAACTAATTTACCTAGCTAATTTAAAAAAAAAAACAAATAAATTTACCTAGCTAATTAAAAAATAATTTACCTAGCTAATTTAAAAACAAACAAACTTTGAAACTATGAGTAGGCCTATTTTTAAAACAAGTTAGTTTTTTTTTTTGTAAAATTTATTGCCATTACAGTATGTTTTTCTCTGCATTCTCAACCTTGCAAAAACAATAGCAAAAGTAAAGAATGTAAGGACATAGCTATACAACTGATCACCGAAAACAGCGACATCAACGTGAGTAGATTTACACCTTGATTAGATTTACAACATGATTAGTCTTACCCCTCTGTAAAATAACACATAATTCAAACATTTAATAATAACCAACGAATTTACTTTAAAACCACTTTTAAGAGCATTACCATAAGTTTGAAAATATAGACTAAAATCTGTTTTTTTTTAAATTGTAGGTCTTAATTTGAAATAGTAATTACTAGCAATCTACGGGGCGCTGGCGTTGCGCCTGTTGAAGTTTTAACGCTGATTATAGTAGTATCCCTTAGCCGCTATGCAGGACGCACGATATCAAAATTTAATTATCTCTTTAAAAGAAACCTTCCCTGGAGTATTCTCATCAACTCTTCAAAGTTTTATAGCACTCGGATGAAAGATGTCGAACCGCATCTGTCTTTCATTTTTTAATATATTGTATATAGTGGAAAATCGCAAACTCCCGTGGCGCCGCCGTTGCGAAATAAAAAAAATCTTTTTTTTCAGAACCTTTCCCTGCAGTGTTCCTATCAACTCCCCAAAGTTTCATGGCGATAGGATGAACGGTGTCAAACCGCAATCGACTTTTATTTTTATATACCGTATATAGAGAAAAAAAAAACATCGCGCACTACCGGGGCGCCACTCCTGCGAATTTGAAATTTTTTTTTTCGCAGAAACCGCCTTAGGAATATTCTCAACAACTTCCCAAAGTTTCACGGCGATAGGCTGAAAGGTGTAGTAACGCACCGATACACAGACACACGTACATTGCTTTATATACATATATGTATATATATATGTATATATATATATATATATATATATATATATATATATATATATATATATATATATATATATATATATATATATATATATATATATATATATATATATATATATATATATATAGCTTAGTAACTTACGCACCTCATTAAAAACAGTCCATGTTTGAATCTATGTTTGTCATCAGGTTATCATGGGTGGAGGTAAAGATAATTTTGCCAACAGAAAAGACAAGAGAAATCTAATTAAGGTAGACAGGATTGCTGGTATCTTATTAATTATAGCTGCAGGTAGGATGTTAAGATATATAAGTTGATGCTCGATATTTGCAGGTTTCATGTAAATACCGAAATTTAAAATAAATCACACAGTTCACTAAATCACAACATATCTACAAAGCTCAATTGCTGAGAAATCGTTCAACAGTTATTCTTTTAATCAGTTAAGCACGCAAGGTTTATCTCAGTGGTACTTTGTATGAATGCCGATATTTTTGCTGGCACCCAGAGAACCAAAGTCACTTAACCTTCTACACAACTTCCTCTGGGCAGAGAAATATATTTTCGTCTGTTTCCCACTTGACCCCTTCCACACTAATGTTTTTTTCAGGAATGGGAGCAAAGAATGAAAAAGAAAAACAACTCCTATAAGTACGTCAACAACACAGCTGGTTTAAAAAGTGTGGATTTTGACAAGACGAATTATCTTCTGGGTATGTACAGCTTGTAGTAGTTGCTGCTTAGCAACGCAATTAGGTATAGACCAACACATGTCGTTGAGGTCAGGGTGCATAAGATCAGTTTGCATTAATCTAAAAAGAAGTCACACCTCAGCTTACATGTTTTTGTCTTTTAAAAACATCGATTTATTTCTATAATATTTTCTGAGCTCAAACCTCACTTGAATAATAAATGAATAAATTATTATAGCTAACATCAAACTAATAATAAATTAGAATCAATAGCGTGTTGTGAATTCCCTCATTCGGTGAAGGTATACTTACTATTCTGCTGTTATTAAACCATGCTGTTGCGTAGACAATTTAAGCTACTTAAACGTACGGTTAAAGATAGGCTACTTGACCACACACCTCCTTCCTCCCGCTCACAACACACCCGCTGTTACTCGACCAGTCGCTTCCCATTTACTCACGTTCACTGCGTACAACTAACAAAAAGGACGCTGACTAGCAACACCCTAGTAAGGTGTACACATGCAGACACACCACTCCTAACCACAAATGTATACACTGCTCATACAATGCACATCGTCATACATGTCTGTAATGCTGAATTCCCCAAAGATAAAATATCTCTTTATATACACCGCAATAGTTTCTCCTGAAATATGTTACCACTAATTAATTGCTTTAGTTAATCGTCACACATTGTTACACCTATGGTGGATATTAAATACTAAAGAAAATTTAAACGGTGTGTATTCTAGGATTGTTCAGTCCCAGTCACATGCAGATTGAAAAAGACAGAGATCCGAAGAAAGAGCCGTCAATTGTCGATATGACAGAGAAGGCGATTCAAATCTTGCAGAAAAACAAGAAAGGGTTTTTTCTCTTTGTTGAAGGTAGGCTTTGTTTTAGTAGCATGTAGCACTGTCGGGTGACGACTTAAGCAATAGCTGCTTTTCTTTTATGGGGATTTTTTTTTTAATTTACTGCGGCTGCTTTTCTAACGCTTTGAAATTTCCTATACGGTAACTTTTTACTTTCTCATATTCGAAGTATAGATGAAGTATTGTAATCGTGCGTAAAAAATAGAGACTTTTGCAAATCTCGGCGTTTTTACACCTCCCTGAATCGGAAAAATATAGTTTTGCAATCTCGTCCGTATGTGTGTGTGTGTGTGTATTTGTGTGTATGTGTGTGTCTTTGAACACGATAACATATATAAGTATTAGATCGAATTTGTAGTTCTGTATCAACTTTTCAGCGATTTCCGATAACCGAAAGTGGAACTTATACTACTTTCAATTTTTCAAAAGCCTATAGCTTGAGTACTGTTTCAGATAGATAAATGAAATTTCACAAGTAAGTAACAGATCTAATTAGTAATAAAGTAGTAATTTACACTATTTCGGATTTCTCAAAAAACGCATGTAAATTTATAAACGAGGCCTACTGATCATATTCCGCACTATTATACACATATTTTTTGGCGTTTACTTGGTGCGCAATATCTTTTTCTAACGAGATTCTATTCTATTTTAAAAAGTTTAAGTAATTAAAATGGACATTAAAAAAATTATAAAAACGTTTTAATAACAAGCTTTTATTATTTAATAAAGCACTAAAAATGAGAAAAGAAAATTATACACTACTATTTAAATAACTATAAACGAAAAGCGTGGGTCACTTTAGTATCTATTGGATACCTTTAATATAATACTATTTAAGGAGAGACCCAAGCTTTTCTTAATGGTTATTTAAATAGTAGTGTATAATTTATTTTCTCCTTTTTAGTGCATTATTACATTAAAGCTTGTTATTAAAATGTTTTTTATGAATTATTTTTTTCAGTACTTTAAATTTGATAAAATGTACATTACGGTTGTATGACTAATAACAACTTCGCACCTAATGAACGTGATGACGCGTGTATAATAGTGCGGAATAGTTTGATGAGACAGCCTACTAATTTGGACAAAATTTTAATTAATTCATAAAAAATAATTAGGCAATCAATTAAGTCAAATTTAATGTCACGTTGCATTGTCTTCATGTCTTGACCAACCTGCAAATGTTGAAACAAATCTGTCAGTTAGAAGTGTCTGAAATTTCGCTCGGGCGTTTCGTTCTAGGCTGCCGACAGACTGACGACAGGGGAAGTAAGTTGAATAATAGCTTGTAAAAATCATGTCTATATTCCGAGTTGCCATCCCCCGTAGTGTTATATAAGATTATTCGAGAGAAAGTTTAGGTGAGATCACTTCCGGTTTATTAGTTTTGATTACTTTAAAATATGGCTTGATTTCTGTCCTACCGTTTTTCATGCATCGGCCTACTTTACTCTTATATCTACTTTTGTGTAATGTCCACATTTCTGTCGTAACTATTATTTCCTATTTCTTAAAGTTTCGCCACCCTGACATGTCCATGTACAACTTTCACAGGTGGTCGAATCGACCACGGCCATCACTGGTCCAAGCCGGCAGTGGCACTGCATGAAACTGTGACCTTCTCCAAGGCGGTGGACATAGCTCTTCAAATGACCAACGCCTCGGAAACCCTGATTGTTGTCACAGCTGACCACTCCCACGTCATGACCATGGGTGGATCTGCAGCAAGAAATAACCCCATCCTAGGTAACTGTTGACAGTTTTTGAGGTACATTTTATGCTAACTCTTTACTCTAGTTCTAACTCAAGCTTTAAACTTAAACCTAAACCTTAACCTCAACCTTATAATCGATAACAACTGAACATCAACTTCAAACGTCAATCATTTAGCGTCAAACGTAAAAATGTAAAATTCAAATCTCAAACTGAAAAACCCCAACCCACACCCCATCCCATCCCATCCCAGCGTAAACGTGAACGTGAACGTAAACGTCAACGTGAACGTCAACGTGAACGTGAACGTGAACGTGGAGTGAACGTCAACGTCAGCGTCAGCGTCAGCATCACCCTAACCCTAACCCTAACCCTAACCCTAATCCTAATCATAATCATAATCGTAAACATAATGTCACAAGTTTGTCACTTGGGTGTCACTTGTTTTTACATTCTTGTCATAAGCTCATCATACAAATGTCACACATTTGTAACATTCGTTAATTGTATATCATATACTCATCACAATTTTATCTCAAGTTTATCCCATGTATGTATTGTACTGCTTACAGCTTACGGTATGTACTCAAAATGTTTACAGGGCTCAGTGCTGACGAGAGCCATAAGCCAAACGATGATACATTAGATGGTAAACCGTACACCACAATCCTTTACGCTAATGGACCAGGGCACATAGACCCCAGACCAGACATCACTAACGTTGATACTAGTAAGTTCTTGTCGTACTGACCACTGGTCACTGATGCTGATACAGCAGGCTAATAAAGATGATGCAAATAATTTCATTACATTGATCACTAGCCACGTTACCACTCTTGGTAATACAGTAAGATAATTAATTAATACAGTGGTGCATTATGCTTGAATGGGGAACGGGGTAGAAAACGCACATAGGCCTATATATATATATATATATATATATATATATATATATATATATATATATATATATATATATATATATATATATATATATGTATATATATATATATATATATATATATATATATATTATATATATATATATATGTGTGTGTGTGCGTGTGTGTGTGTATGTGTGTACGTACGTTTGTACGTGCAAGCGTGCGTGCGTGCGAGCTTCTCTGTTTTATGTGTGTTGTGTGTGTGTATTTGTACTTGCATGCGTGCGAGCTTCTCTGTGTGTGTGTGTGTGTGTTGTGTGAATCAGTAGAAATTAAACACTTTTCCTGATGTGGACAAACAACATAGTCCGTGCTATCACGTCTGTTTGTCTTACAGATAGCACCAAATATGTCAGCCAGTCTGTTTTCTTCATTGATCCAGAGACGCATGGCGGGGAGGATGTTGGCATATTTGCCACAGGTATTTACATTGAAGGAGTTTTGATTATTTTTTTTAATTATCCGTTCTAGTTATGTTTTGTCCTGGCTAGAAAATGTTAATTATTTAATTTAGAAGCGTAATTATCATTTTACACATTAAAAGTAAATATCCTGTAAAATATGAAGGCAGTATTTTGCATTACTTGATATTAATTTTAACCTATAAAAATGTTTTAAAAACAATTTTAAACTGGAAATAAATTGTAACACCAACTAATGATTAAAATATATAATATTCTTGCTCTTTAATTTTTATAAGCTTTTGTATCGCATTTATCTTGTGTGATACCCTTGTTACCTTTCTAAGTTATTTTTTTACGAATTATATATTTTACCAAAATATTTTTTTTTCTTGTTAGAAATGTTAGTCATTATTATATCAGCCTATACATGTTTTATGTAATCCAGTCTATCACTGTGTTATGTGATCCATTGTATTTTTAAATTAAATTAAATTAATTCGTGTATTATATAATACAGTGTATTTTTATGTAATCTAGTGTATACTTTTTATGTAATCTAATGCATTCATTTGTTATGTGATCCAGTGCATTTGTTTTATTTAATCCAGTTAATTTATTTTTTATACAGTGTGTTTACACATTCTGTATTCGAGTGCATACGTTGCATGTAATCTAGTATATCAAACTATTATATTATTCCGTATAATAATTTTTTCTCCCACCCCTCCCCAGGTCCTCAGTCCTTCCTGTACACAGGCGTCCACGAGCAGAACTACATCCCTATGGTCATGGCCTACGCCTCATGTGTCGGGCCCTACGCCGAGGGGAAAAAGCCATGCGCCAAATATGAACAACCATAACCGGCTTGAACATCGACCTCTGTTCAACGACTTGGACAACTCTTATTAAAATGTAAAATATCCTATTGATTTGGTTCCATTTTTTTTAGCGAGCAAACTAGTTCTGATTCCGATAATGTGATTGGCATTGTTGTACCACCAGTCAGCCGCTTGAAAATACGTGTGTTAGGCAAAACTGTACGACGTCTAAAGAAAATTGACAGAAAATAAAAACAACAGAAAAGACTACCTACTGAAGTCTTTACATTTTCTCTCTGAACATTTATGCCTTGTTTAAGGCGATGAAATATCACTTCATGGTTACAGAAGAGAATCTGCATTATGAGTAGAGCTGTAAAATACGTTATAGGTAGAGAATAATATTCTTTTTGACCAAACTGTTAATGAAAAATTAATTTAAAGACGTTAATTAATGTATTGATATAATCATTGGTAGATTAACTACAGTAATTATAAAATTTCAGAACAATGACTTTACTTATAGTGACGTCACATGATTTATTTACTTTTTATAACAATAATGGCGGCTTCAATCGAAGCTTTTTTAGCCCATTCAAAAGTTTTACTCGTTATAAAGCTACTTTTCTGTCGGCTATAGCTTTAACCATACGTCCGTTTGTTATTTTAATTAGGTTCCAACACTATTATCAATTTTCAACAGTTCTTCTAATTTGAGTGTACAATAAATTTCTCTAGATCTAGAGATCAGCTGTCGGTCGAAGAAAAAGTCAATCCTAGATCTTAAATCTAGGTCTAACCAAAATTAATTAGGGCCTAGATGAAATGAAAACCATTATAAAATCACAACAAATTATTGAGTCTCTTTGCCTACACCTTTGTTTTTTTAGCTTCACGGATCTTCTAATTCAAGAATACAAGAGATTTATCTTTCTAGGTTCTACATCTAGAACTACGTAAAGACTAGCTAGACTTAAGCCAAGCAAGTCTTAGAATCTAGATCTAGAAAACTCTATCTAGATAACTCTATGTAGATATAGATCTATATCATAATGAGTTTCTATACTAAACTATTTCAGAACTTCATTATATATAAAGCAATGTATGTCTGAGTGTGTGTGTGTATCTGTCTGTCTTTATGCATTACTACACCTCTCATCACATCGCCGTGAAATTTTGGGAAGTTGTTGAGCATATTCCTGGGGAGGTTTTTGCGAAAAAAAAATTTCAAATTCGCAGGGGTGGCGCCCGGACAGGGCGCGATTTGTTTTTTTTCTCTATATACGGTATATAAAAATAAAAGTCGATTTCGCTTTCACGTCGTGCATCCGAGCACTGTCAATCTTTGAGGAGTTGATTAGAACACTCCAGGAAAAGGTTCTGCAAAAAATTCTTTTTTAATTTCGTAAGGACGGCGCCACGGGGAGTGTGCGATTCTGCTCTATATACGGTATATTAAAAAAAAATGAAAGTCAGATGCAGCTCGACACCTTTCATCCGAGTGCTATAAAACTTTAAAGAGTTGATGAGAATACTCATGGGAAGGTTTCTGTTAACAAAATAATTAAAATTTGATATGAGCGGCGCCCGAGAGGGTGCGATTTTCGCCAATACACAATTTGGCGCCCAGAGTTTCAGAGCGGCTAGTTAAAACTTGGCATCCGTTAATCGTAGTCTTGGATTGTGGGTAAGGGATACTATTATATTGAAACTTTAACAGGCGAAACCGCTGGCGTCCCGTAGACTGCACGACCCGAAGCGCCAAGGGTTCCCCTGCGAGCACTATGGCGCCTCTGCCGTAGTGTAATCGGGGGCTCCGTAGAGCGCCCCTCTAATTCCCTGACACATGGGCTGTCACCGAAGGGTGTTCTACCTTTTTTCTGTGAGTGATTAAAGTACACTCAAGGTTTGCATGCGGTAGTGTAGGTAAACCCGTGTCCCTATACTTATGATCCAAGCGTTTACATTTAAATAACTCAGTTTTAGAAAACAAGGTCTCACGCGTCTAAGAACATAGGATTGGTAAAGCATTGATGAAACACTTCTTATATATTTCGTCAGACTTTCTTCTATCCCCGGCAACGCGCGGTGACGGGTACGCTAGTTTTATATAAATATGTGTTTGTTTAGCTATGGAATTGGCTCATTTAATTTAGGATAAAATTTAATCTGAAATAATACTAGGGCCTATTTGCGTAAATTAAGTTTCTTACCCAGAATAAATGTATAAATACAGCAGTACTTGTCTGGTATGGAGATAGCTAAGGTGTCAGTGAAATAGGTTACCATGTGGGTGGCGCCGGTTTGAGACACATCGTTCAGAGGCGTAGCGACCCTTCCCGGCCCCCGGGGACAAACTTTCAATTTGGCGACCCCCTCGGGAACAAACCTTCAATTTTCAATTTGTCCCCCCATCAAACTTTCCAACTTTCCATTTGCACCCCCCCCCCCCATATATTTTTTATATTTATAATGCAAAACTGCACCTAAAATGAGATTTTAATTTGTTTTTCCAACCCATTTTGGCGCCCCCTAAGGTCGGCGCTCGGGGACATATGTACCCCCCCTGCCCCCCCCCCCCCCCCCCCTTCGCTGCGCCTCGGCATCGTGTCAATGTAAAAATACATTTTCAGTTTTTTTTTCGTAAGATTTGAATAATAAAATTGACTATCGGACCTTGGCGGGATACACGGCAGGTGAAGTAGAGTTCACCTGTTTCATTGTCCTCAGCATAAGAAAGGATAGTGTGGTCAGAGCCATACTCGGCTAAAATTGTTTTTTTTTAAAACGATAAAAACATGTCTGAGACTTGGCGGGACACTGGACAGGTGAAATAGAGTTGGGTAGGTGTAGAGTTCACCTGTGACCTCAGCATATGAAGTGATAGTGTGATCTGACCCATTCTCTGCGGAAATCGGTGTTTTAAAAGACAAAAACATGTCTGAGTTGTCGGGACACTGAGCAGGTGAAGAAGAGTTGACCTGTGTTTTTTTTTTACCTCAGCCTATGAAGGAATAGTGTGGTCAGACCCATACTCAGCCGAAAACGTCTGATGTGTGACTTCTTTTTGAATATGGGATCTGGGTTTTTTGTGATAATAAGTGACAGACGTTATGTTATTTATGGATGACCCCCCCCCCCTCCAACCCACAGTTTTCCAAAGGATATCGGGTAGTCTAGTACTATGCTAATAATGACTGGGAACAAGAGACTTCAACCCCATCTTAATATATCTCTTTCTCTGTTCGCTTGTCCCGAGCCTGTGGTATCAGTATCTTCAGAGATATATGTAGAACTTAAAGATAGGGACATTTGTTTAAAATAATATGTTGGATGCTTTAAAAGTATAAACACAATTTTATTTAAAGAAAAAAATAAAAATAAAGCAATATTCGAATGCAGAAAAGCATTTATAATTATGCAACCGGAACAGTGTTTATGATTTTGACAAGAACCCCCAAAAAAAAATATGACGTCACATGCCTCATGTTTAAACTACGGTAAATACACAACACTAATGGCGTTATCTTCCAATTTTAAAATATGAAGAAATGAACTATTTCATTCACATTTGATTTAGATCTATGGATCTACTTATCAACAGGTACGCTATGAAATGTATACAGTTTTATCGGCCTAAACCAGGGGTCGCAACCTGCGGCTCGCTAGCCACATGCGGCTCTTTTGACCTCCAGATGCGGCTCTCCAGCTCCTTGCACAAATATTAATAGTTCTATAATTTAATTTTTACCGGACGGTGGGGTACGACTTTACCCTGCGTTCAGTGGGATAGAAGATAAGCCTGGTGAGAACCAAAGAATAGAAGCGAACGATGCAAGTTATTCAAACCGATATCCAAGCCAGTTAGTCGGCGTTTGTCGTGTTGAGGCCTGACTGGCTAATGGGAGACACCTCCTGAGCCGGTGATATTCGTAAAGAAAAAAATAAAAGAAAAATTAACAGCTTCTAAAGTAAATTGAGATAATCCTAGAATAATGTTTTTTGATTACTAATTTTACTATTCTGGCGAAACATGTCTATGTTTTTTATATGAATAAATAATATTTCATATTTAAAGCTATTTATTTTAAATAACAAATCAACTTTATTTACCTAATCCTAATCAAATTCCGAATATTGAACTAAAAATGCAGTGGCTCTTTAAAAACTGGGAAAGTTTGTAAATTGTAACTTTTGGCTCTTGCGTATCTAAAGGTTGCCGACCCCTGGCCTAAACGAATACAAATTACTTTTACAAACAACTTAAATACCATTGAACAGCCGGGTTTTTGATGAAATAATTTGTCTCTTTATCAGTGCGTGTATTTAATATGGTGTTGTGTTAACTAACATTGTATATAATTTGTTTTTACTTTTTCTAATAGGTCTTGGCAGTGGTGGAACTAGAAAAAAGGCTCCCCCGCAAATAAAAATTTGGGGCCCCCCCTATATGTGTATATATATATATATATATATATATATATATATATATATATATATATATATATATATATATATATATATATATATATATATATATATATATATATATATATATATATATATATATATATATATATATATATATATATATATATATATATATGTATATAAGTAGCATGCTTCTCTAATTTTTAAAAAGTCTATTACCTGAGTATTTTAATCTATTTCATTGCAATGTATAACCACTCTGAGATAACGAACCAGACAACAATAAGTCCGAACTCATTTCGGACCCGCAATAATCCCTGTTTTACAAGTGTTTTTATTTCTTTTTTCTCTTTTTTTTCTTCTTTTTTTTTGCCTCAGACACGTAATTTATAGCGTCAGTTGTGTGTTCGCTTTAGTATTACAGTTTTCATCATCGGCTTGTGAGGACTGATACAGATTTACAATAGTAATATTTCTTTCTAACTTGTAGCCTGCTTTCATTGATGGTTTACTTATACATAAATCTAATACAAAACGTCTAAATATAAAGAAAAAATTAAAAAAAAATAAAAAATAAAAAAAAAAACAACCTGAAACTTACAAGTGCTTTTTTTTTTTTTTTTTTTAAGTGTTAACATATTTTCACTTTTATTACACATCATTGCTTACAATTTAAAAAAAAAACCTGTTAGCATGATGGATATAATTACAAACAACACAGCATGTTGTAACTTTATAAAAAGAAAACAAAACAAAAATTTTAAATGGCTAGAATGTTTGGTTGCCAAGATAGTGTAATGAGGATCATTTTAATTACAAAATGTGCCTTATCTCTCAAGGTACATAACCTCTCACAGCACTCAAGTCAACGATCACATGCTGCATATTTCTTCAATAGTTAAGTTTTTGCAATTATTGAATTGAAATGCCATTGCAGCTTGCTGCTGTTTAAAATGCACTAGATAACTGCAATCAGTAATGTCAGAATACAATTATTATTCACACACAAGTTTCATAAGATGCACAATAAAAACAAATTCAACTTGTAGCCTCCCTTGAATTACATCTGCATTATGTACACATTACAACTTTGCTCAGCTGCTTTTAACTTCCTTTGACTTTTGTTGTTCTAATAGTTTTCTACTTTCTATCTGAACTGTCTTTTTTTTTTTTTTTTTTTTTTTTAAATACTTTTATTTGCAATTTAAAACAAGTACATCAACATCAAATTCTTACATAATTTCGAACATCAAATGAAAACGAAATAGTAATACAATATAATACAATATATTACAATAGTAATATTTCTTTCTTACTTGTAGCCTGCTTTCATTCATTTAAGATGGTTTACATATACATAGATGTAATACAAAACGTCTAAATATAAAGAAAAATTAAAAATTAAAAACTAACCTGAAACTGAAAATGCAAATGTGTAATTAAAATTAAATGATGATTCAAGGGATTTTTTTTCTCGGCGTGGTGGGCTGAGGGGACGAGGGGGGGGGGAGGGGGGGGGGGGGGGAATTTGTTTTTTTTTTAAGTAGAGCTGAAATGAATTTGGGATTACAGAGAATTAAAATGATAAAAATTTTAAGCAATCGGAAAAGTTATGTTATTACAATGAGACACGTAAAAGCAAACACTCTTCCCTTTCAAACATCTATATCTATACAGTCCTCAATTAGTTTTTTTTTTCCTTTTTATTTTTGTTTTGTTTTATTAATTCAATTGTTTTAAACCTTTAAATCAGTAATAATTATTTATTTGATAGATTTTACACAGCATCAAAGACATGAACAATGAACATCAATTGCATATATAATAATCAAATGGAGAAAATAAAATGGCATAAGAACTAGACTAAAATAAGGTGTGCAAACTAGGTTTCTCTTGACTGCTTAGTTTACTGTGCTTTGTCCTTAGCTGCCCATGGACAGAAATAGAAACGACCTTGGGAGAAGTGTCTCTGCAGTACACATACTGATCCATCATTCCAAAACTTTCCATGACATAAAATTGACCCTTGGCAAAGAGGTCACGCTACCCTGAAAAATCCGCCAGTCCGGTTGAGTGGGGGGAAGTGTGTGTGTGTGTGGGGGGGGGGGGGGTGAGGTGTGTATCTCTTTCTACCATTCAGGTTGTCCACTTTTAAAAACCTGGGAAACAGAAGACTGTTCTAATGTTAATTTACTTGAGGGCTGATCGAGTGATGTTTAGTTTGAGACTGTCGATATTAATTATGCATCTAGTTTATTTGCTTCTTCTGTAGTTCAAATGTTAGTTAAATCTACTTCACCTGTCTGATGACCTTAAGAGTCTAAAGAGTTAGTTACTTTATTTTTTACTGTTTAACATTTAAAAACTAAGTGTTAGAATATTCATTGTCTAAATCCCTCCAATGTAACAAGTAAGAATGAAGAGGAATGAGATTTAATAACAATAGCCACCAATAGAGATTAAAGCAAATATGTTGGGTATAACGCGTTAAGAAGAGCGTAAAGAAGAGTGTAAAGAAGAGCGTAAAGAAAAACTATAAATTAAAAGTTCAGCTATTCCGTCTGCCCGCAACGCGCTAGAGAAAACGCAAGGAAAATAAAAACTTTCACATTAAAACGAAAAACAAAACTTCCCATGACCGTGGCGTCACAAGGAACAAGTAGGAAATTTTCCAAACAAAAAGAAAATGCCAAAAACATAATGACGTAATCGATACTCGATAATTAAGGCACTAACCTTACCGCCTATATTATTTGTCTAATCTGAAAAGTGGTCTGCATGTAGAGTTTCTTTCAGGCATCTCTTTGGGTAGGGGCGAAGAACGTCTACCGCTCCCACCCTCCGCCCCGAACGATATAAAATTTATATAAAAATATATACTTTTATCAGTGACAGCCCCTTCTCCCCTGAGAATTCAATCCGCCCCCCCCCCCCCCCGGAAAAAAAAGTTTGAAAAACGGTTTAGCGTCCAAAAGTAGGAAAAAGGTCTATATTGTAGTAGTAGGGTCTACCTTAGGTCTGTTAGACCTATAAATGCGACCAATATTTTGGGGGCGGCACTGGAAATTTTCGGAGGGAGATGGACTAAATAAATTTTCCAGTCGAGGAGGATGGACACTGGTAAAAGTATATTTTCTACATACATTCTATTTCTTTATAGAATAACGCAAATAGCAGATGTACAGACGCTAAAGTGGACAGACTTTGTGATAAATAAACCGGGAGTGATCTCCCCTAAACTTTCTCGAATATTCTTATAAAACTTGGAATATAGACATGATTCTTAATTACTTAAACTTTTAAAAAAAGAATAGAATCTCGCAATATTATAAGTACTTTATAAATTTACATGCGTTTTTTGAGAAATCGGAAATAGCGTAAATAACTACTTCCGGTCAATGGAAATTACTCAAAATTTGACAGAAGGCAGAGAATTAGATCTTTTACTTACGTGAAATTTCATTGATCTATCTGAAATAGTACTCAAGTTATAGGCTTTTGAAAAATTCAAAGTAGACAGATTACCACTTCCGGTTATCGGAAAGCGCTCAAAAGTTGATCAGGATCTACGATTTTGAAAAAATACTTATATTTGAAATTTCATCAACCTAGCTGTAACGGTACTCAAGTTATCGTGTTTACACACAGACAAACAGACAGACACACAGACATACGGACAAGATTGCAAAATCATGTTTTTCGTTTCAGTGAGGTGTAAAACGTCGAGATTTGTTAAAATCTCGACTTTTTTTTTTCACGTTTACAATACTTTCTCTATACTTCGCATATACAAGTTGCGATGAGTTATTAAAAATGTGATATTTAGGGTTTATAACATGACCGTTTTTAGTTTCAGTAATGTGTTTGCTGTTGTTTTTTGTGTTGCGGAACTTGTTTTAAATTTTAATTCAGTAATCACCGAAAAAGGCGCCACTATTTTTAAAATGGTCGTAGGGGGAGAGGTAGCTCCCCCTAATCCTCTCCCCTGTGTACGCTACTAATTGGATGACATTCAGCCATAAGCTGATTGGATAGCTGCTGGCGGGATGTCGAATTTATTAAATAATTATTGCTTTTAGGACAATTTACCAGCTGGGTAGGCCTATCTCTATAGTTTGTACAATGCAAAAAGAGAAAAATGTTTTCTAAATGTCGCGAGCCAAACCAAGTTTCAAATTTAGGCCTATGTGTTCAGTTATGGGTGTTGTATGTGGAGTGTATGTGATGTGTATGTGGTATGTATGTTGTGTGTATGTGGTGTGTATGTGGTGTGTATGTGGTGTGTATGTGGTGTGTATGTGGTGTGTATGTGGTGTGTATGTGGTGTCTAAGAAACTGTGACTGTCTTAGTTCCTTTCCTAAATTTCAAATTTATAACACACACACACACACATATATATATATATATATATATATATATATATATATATATATATATATATATATATATATATATATATATATATATATACGAAGAAGGTGGCCAAGTGGCAGATAAAGAGTATCGTTTAGATTGACCGGCGCAGAGAACTTTGGAGGTCTGTTGGTTTTTAATGTCGTTTTTAATGTTCGACAAAAAAATAAAGTATTGTAATCTAGGACCCTGCAGGTTACACAGCTCTGTCATATTTGGGCGCTGAGAGAAAGGGTTGAACGCAACTCAAAAAAAATAACGTCACATAACTGTCACGATTTTCAGTGGCGGCTGGAAAGAAACAAACAAAAACACACATTGAATGAACGTCCACTAAGTTGCATGTATATATATATATATATATATATATATATATATATATATATATATATATATATATATATATATATATATATTCCCAGCCTACCCCTTGAGGGTCGTCATATAATTTGATTGACATTGATTCCATCTTGGATCACATGAGGTATATATCTATACAATGTTTATAAGACACAACACTGGAACCCTGTGGAGCCAATACTGATAATTTGGCAAATGATTGGTGTTTGTAATTTTATATTACCCTATTTAGACAATAACGATAACTATAATAATAAATAATATTTTGTAATTATGTACCTGTCTATCAGTTAATTAAATCAGTTAATTAAATCAGTTAATTAAATCACGAGTCGAACACGTGACCAGAACATTATACTTAAGTAGATTACACTCTAGATCATAGAAAAGTCCTGTACACATCTTTTGTACACAAGTCTTGCACACACTATTTGCACGCAATAGTCGTGTACTTACGATTTGTACATACTAGTCTTGTATCCACGATTTGTACACAAGTCTTGCACACACTATTTGTACACAATTTTAGCGTGAGCATGCTTCAAGCAGAGTTGACGATGATCGCTTTTCTAGTCCTAGTGTCCGGATTTGTGGGTCTCTCAGTGGCCGAATCGGCTGAGTCTTATGAAAAAGGTAACACATTTTATTTATTGTTAAACCTTCTCTGTTAAACCTACAATGTTAAGCCTGCTCTGTTAAACCTACTCTGTTAAACCTACTCTGTTAAACCTACTCTGTAAAACCAACTCTGTTAAACCTACTCTGTTAAAACCTACTCTGTCAAACCAACTCTGTAAAACCTACTCTGTTAAACCAACTCTGAGAGGGTTGATAGATTATGTTGATTAATATTAATTGATTTTGCTGAATACTAGTGTATTGATTGAAGTTGATGGTTATTGATGGGTTTTAAACGATGTTGATTTGACACTAATGGACGTTGAATGGTGTTGAATACTGTTGATAAATGCTGGTGGGTATTGATGTTTACTGATATTTTATTAATTTATGGATTTAAAAGAATGACGATAAATGTTATAAAATTTAAATGGATTTTGATCGATGTTGATGGATGTTGCTAGATTGATGGATTGTGTCGATGTAGTATTGTCTTTTATAGCTCCAACATCAGGCAAGTAGGGTATCTGTCTCATATAAAGTGTAAAGTCCATATGTGTGTGGGAGGTCTATGTGGGTGGCGTGTGAGGGGTCTATGTGCGTGTGTGGGAGGTCTATGAGTGCGGCGTGTGAGGGGTCTATGTGTGTGTGAAAGGGTTCTATGTGTGTGTGTGGGAAGTCAACGTGTGTGGCGTGTGAGGGGTCTATGTGTGTGTGTTGGAGATCAATGAGTGGGGGTCTATGTGTGTGTGTGTGGAAGCTGAATGTGTGGGGGTCTATGTGTGTGTGTGTGGGAGCTCAATGTGTGGGGGTCTATGTGTGTGTGTGTGGGAGCTCAATGTGTGGGGGTCTGTGTGTGTGTGTGGGAGCTCAATGTGTGGGGGTCTATGTGTGTGTGTGGGGGAGCTCAATGTGTGGGGGTCTATGTGTGTGTGTGTGGAAGCTGAATGTGTGGGGGTCTATGTGTGTGTGTGTGGGAGCTCAATGTGTGGGGGTCTATGTGTGTGTGTTGGAGATCAATGAGTGGGGGTCTATGTGTGTGTGTGTGGAAGCTGAATGTGTGGGGGTCTATGTGTGTGTGTGTGGGAGCTCAATGTGTGGGGGTCTATGTGTTTGTGTGGGAGGGTTCTATGTGTGTGTGTGGGAAGTCAACGTGTGTTGCGTGTGAGGGGTCTATGTGTGTGTGTGGGAGCTCAATGTGTGGGGGTCTATGTGTGTGTTGAAGATCAATGTGTGGGAGTGTATATGTGTGGGAGCTCAATGTGTGGGGGTCTATGTGTGTGGGAGCTCAATGTGTGGGGGTCTGTGTGTGTGAGCTCAATGTGTGGGGCTCTATCTGTGTGGGAGCTCAATGTGTGTGGGGTCTATGTGTGTGTGAGCTCAATGTGTGGGGGTCTATGTGTGTGTGAGCTCAATGTGTGGGGGTATATGTGTGTAGGAGCTCAATGTGTGGGGTCTTTGTGTATGGGAGCTCAATGTGTGGGGGTCTATGTGTATGGGAGCTAAATGTGTTGGGCTCTATGTGTGTGGGAGCTCAATGTGTGGGGGTCTATGTGTGTGTGAGCTCAATGTGTGGGGGTCTATGTGTGTGGGAGCTCAATGTGTGGGGTCTATGTGTATGGGAGCTCAATGTGTGGGGGTCTATGTGTGTGGGAGCTCAATGTGTGGGGGTCTATGTGTGTGTGAGCTCAATGTGTGGGGGTATATGTGTGTGGGAGCTCAATGTTTGGGGGTCTATGTGTGTGTGAGCTCAATGTGTGGGGGTCTATGTGTGTGTGAGCTCAATGTGTGGGGGTCTATGTGTGTGGGAGCTCAATGTGTGGGGGTCTATGTGTGTGGGAGCTCAATTGTGGGGGTCTATGTGTGTAGGAGCTCAATGTTTTGAGGTCTATGTGTGGGGGGGAGGTCTGTGCGTGGAAGACCTTTTGTGTGAGCTAGTGAAATAGGAAAAATGCATCACTAACCACAAATCTTTAAAACAAACATGTAAAGCCTTTCCATTTAAAATCAGAAGACGTCCATCGTTCAATAATCAGCTAATTCGGTTCAAGGCACCACACGGAATTAACTTATCCCTCAGATTACTTTGTAATCACAATACAGCTACACCTATCTTTTAAACTAACTCAGGTATCTGTTCTGCTCTACTTAGACCCTAAATATTGGCACCGCATCGTCGATCAGGATTTGTTAGACAGACTATCACCACGACAGAAGGGCGTGGCCAAAAACGTCATTTTATTTCTGGGGGACGGGATGGGAATCTCTACGGTTACGGCTTCAAGGATCCTGGCAGGGCAGATGGCGGGGAACAACGGTGAGCAGTACAAGCTCAGCTTCGACAAGTTCCCCTACATGGGTTTGTCAAAGGTAAGGTCCCTACATGGGTCTGTCAAAGGTAAGGTCCCTACACGGGTCTGTCAAAGGTAAGGTCCCTACATGGGTCTGTCAAAGGTAAGGTCCCGTACACGGGTCTGTCAAAGGTAGGTCCCTACACGGGTCTGTCAAAGGTAAGGTCCCTACATGGGTCTGTCAAAGGTAAGGTCCCGTACACGGGTCTGTCAAAGATAGGTTCCCTCACCCGGATTTGTCAAAGATAGGTTCCCTCACCCGGATTTGTCAAAGATAGGTTCCCTCACCCGGATTTGTCAAAGATAGGTTCCCTCACCCGGATTTGTCAAAGATAGGTTCCCTCACCCGGATTTGTCAAAGTGAGAAGTTCTCATACATCGGCCTGTAAAAAGCATGAAGATATGTCAAAGTAAAGAAACACCCCTACGCCAATCTGTCAAGGGTAAAACAAGTTGCCCTACACCGTGTGGGCCAGTGAGGAAGTGGAACCGGCCAAGAACCGATTATAGATGGACGGGGTAGTCAGGAACTCATTACAGATGGAGGGGGCAGTCCGTAACCCTTGCCAACTGGAATAATTATATATTATTGGGAAGGTACTGCTAATCTATTATAGCCTTCCCGTGGTTTTCATTACGGAGGCCTCTTACCCTGTCGGGACAAAGGGCTAACCTAACATTAAAATCAATACTTTAACTCTATAATTAAAGGGAATAAAAAAAAAATTTCGCCATATAAAAAAGTACTTTTATTAATCTGAATGTTGCATAGGCTAATAACCTTAGAAATGATTCGTTCCGTTTGTTGTTTAAAGAGGTTTGATAACTTAAGTCTCAGATGTTTGATATCATGTCTCCAAGCTCTGTTAAACAAGACTCATGGTATTTCAGACGTACAGCGTCAACTACCAAACCACTGACTCCGCGGCGTCAGCCACAGCGTGCCTGACGGGAGTCAAGACAAACAATGGAGTCTTGGGCCTCAGCGCGGCGGCCTCAAAGGGAAACTGTAGCTCGTCCAAAAATGCACAAGTTGACTCGATCCTGCGCTGGTCACTCAATGCAGGTCAGAGATCATTCAATGTATTTTCGCCACGCTTTCCTGACTTTTCCTACGTCTTCACGCTGACCATTATAATAAAACCTGTACAAGGAGGTGTGTTACTTCCTCCCTCCCACAATGTTTCGGAAAGCGTTAAGTTAATGCTATTAAATAGATACATGGAGTCAACGTTTTCGCGGATGTTTCTTTTCCACGATTTGTTAAACCCGCTTATCCAATTACTCGTATCTCAGATTTCCCTCGTATGTTAAAGCAAATTTAATCTCACTAGAAACATCGAATCTAAAAAATCTCGAATGTCAGGTACCACTATATATGTATATATATATATATATATATATATATATATATATATATATATATATATATATATATATATATATATATATATATATATATATATATATATATATATATATGTGTGTGTGTGTGTGTGTGTGTGTTTGTGTTTGTCTAGTACAGCAGACAGGGCAAGGAGTTTTAGCATGTGCACCTAATTAGTCTACTGGCGCTGATGAGTTGAGTTAACGTTACGGTATTGACGAACAAAAAGCCCGAGCATGTAGACCAAGCCTTCCTGTCTTAATTTCTTGAACTGTTGTTTGACCAGGCAAGTCAGCTGGTGTAGTGACCACCACCAGAGTCACTCACGCCAGCCCCGCGGCCTCGTACTCACACACACCTCACAGGGACTGGGAGTCAGAGAGGTGAGTCGGTCACTAGGTCACTGGGTTAGGGGTGACAGGTGAGTGGGTCAGTAGGTCAGGGGTAACAGGTAGCAGGTGGACAGGTGAGTAGGTCACTAGGTCAGGGGAGAATAGTAGCAGGTTGGCAGGTGATTGTGTCAAGTTAGATTTAGGTAGCAGGTGGACAGGTGAGTAGGTCACTAGGTCAGCGGTGATAGGTAGCAGGTGGACAGGTGAGTGGGTCAATATGTCAGGGAGACCGATAACGGTTTTGGAGGTGGACAGTTGAGAGGGTTACTAGGTCATTTGTAACAATTAGCTAAAGTATTTAAAAAAATAAAGGTTATCACTTACATTTTTTTACTTAGTTTGAAATATATGTTTATTTTAAAAAAATATTTGTAAACCGTATCATCATTTCATTCCTTTCCATTTTCTATCTTGTATAACAATAGCCAAAGTAAAGAATGTGAGGACATAGCATTACAACTGATCACCAGAAACTACGACATCAACGTGAGTAGATTTACAACATGTGCAGCATTTCGCCTCTAAACTAACGGTTTTGAGTTTAAATTAATTACAGAATAGCCAACAAATTTACTTTAAAACGACTATTAACACATTAAAACCATATACTCCAAATTATTCTTTGATTTTTATATTGTAGATCATAATATGACATTAGAAACGTATTGCTCAATAAAAACAGTTCACCTGCCCTTGTAATAGGTCATCATGGGTGGAGGCCGAACCAAGTTTTATCCTCCAGGCTCGGACAGCACCTCAAATGGCACCAGAGAAGACCGCAGGAATCTTGTTCAGGTAGTCATAATGTACAGGTAGCTTGTCTATTATGCCAGCAGATACGTTCATTTCCAATAGCAGCTGGTATGATGCTACAGTATATACGTTGATATTCAATAGTTGCTGATATAATGTTCAGGTATATACGTTGATATTCAATAGTTGCTGATATAATGTTCAGGTATATACGTTGATGTTCAATAGTTGCTGATATAATGTTCAGGTATATACGTTGATGTTCAATAGTTGCTGATATAATGTTCAGGTATATACGTTGATATTCAATAGTTGCTGATATAATGTTCAGGTATATACGTTGATATTCAATAGTTGCTGATATAATGTTCAGGTATATACGTTGATATTCAATAGTTGCATATATAATGTTCAGGTATATACGTTGATGTTCAATGTTCAGGTATCTTGTAAATACCTGAATTGTACTTAATCTACCAAATGGATCGCTAGGTCTTAATAACTTTTTCAAAGTTTATACCAAAACCCAAATGTCAAATACATCACAATGTGGTCTACGGGTCACTAAATTACTGCATATCTACAAAGTTCAGTTGTAAAATTATGCCTGACTTTCCAGCTTACCTTTCACTCAGACTCGCCCTGTTTGTCATATTATGTTGTACTTTTTGTAAATGCCAATGTGTTTGATAGCACCCCAAAGAACCAAAGTCACTTACACTTCTACACAACTTCCTCTGTGGAAAGATGTATATTTTCACCTGTTTATTAAACCCTACGCATCTAAAACACCATTATTAAACAGTTATTAAACACTATTATTAAACCCCTATTAAACCTAATTATTAAACCCCTACCCCTAACAATTCTTTCAGGAATGGGAGCAAATAATGAGGAAGAAAAACGTTTCCTATAGTTACGTTTACAACAAAGCTAGTTTGGATAATGTAAATTTGGACAAGACGGATTATCTTCTGGGTAGGTAAAACATGTTTGAACCGATGTTTAAGGAAAATAAAGAATTATCCCTGGCATGTTTTTTAAGCTAAATATCCCAAATACAAATACATATTACATTATATGTGGCAATAGTTTTTGTCCTGGGATGTTATTATGAAAATATACACGTACGAGCCGGCCCGCGGCATAACATACGCCGCTATTTAGTTGTTTCTAATTTTCAATAATTCATAATTTGTGAATTCGACAGTACCAACGCTGACACTGAAAATATTTCTTTAAAACACTATAAGTAGCTCGTTAAGGACCATAACCCCCCCCTTCCTTCCCTCCCCCCCCTCCTCCCCCCCCCCCCCTACGTTTAAAATCGTTGGCTCTGCTTGTAAACATTTAGAGTGAACACAGCTCACTTAAACCATGTAGGGGTGGGGAGGTAGGGAGAGCGTTTGCAGCTTGTTTTCTAACGGCTCGAAGAAGAGAATTATATATATAGATAGATATACAAAATAGTTACGCCTATCATAATTTTTACACGTTTGTACAAAAGACACACGGGACAGTTGAAGTAGTGTGAATGCTTTTAATGAACTCAGCAGATGAAGAGATAGTGTGTTCAGCACACTGCCGAGTCGCCTTTACTTTCCCTAAAGTGAATTAGGTACCCATCAGAGCTGGATGGTTTCAGGAAAGTTCTACTGACTTCAGCCGGATACGAACTCGAGACTTTCAGTATAGCAGACTAGCGCTCTACCACTAGGCCACGCAGTCCCACTCCTAAAGCGTATATTAAATATTAAACACAATTTAAACACTCCAAATTCTAGGGTTGTTCAACCAAGACCATATGAATGACGAAAAAAGTAGAGATCCGACCAAAGAGCCGTCAATTGTCGACATGACAGAGAAGGCGATTAAAATCTTGCAGAAAAACAAGAAAGGGTTTTTTCTCTTTGTTGAAGGTAGGCTTGGTTTTAGTAGCATGTAGCACTGTGAGATAACGACCTCAGTAGTTGCAGCTTTTCTGTAGTGGGTTTATTTGTTATAAAGTACTAATATTCCGCACTATTATACACATATTGTTTGCCTTTCATTTGGTGCGTTATGTTTTTTTTTCCTACGAGATTCTAATCAATTTTTAAAAGTTTAAGTAATTAAAAATTGATTAAAAATCATGTTTGTATCCCGAGTTGCATTCCCCGTAGTGTTATATAAGAATATTCGATTAAGTTTATTCACGGCTATAATATGTCTATTATTTATGTCTATGAACTCCAAAATACAAGTAGCCTAGTTTTTTAACCTAGCTTGCAAGTTTTGAAATTTCTGACAATTTTAACACAACAACTACTCACATAACTAACAAGATGTTACCTTTTTATGACGTCTAGTGGGAAGAAGGGGGGGGGGGGGGTGTTAGAGGAGATCACTCCCGCTTTTGTGTTTGTGTTTATGGTTTAAGGCAGATCTTGTAACTTAACCAACTTTGAATGCCGTGCTATCGTTCCGATTTCCTGATACTTTCTTTCTTCGACGACAATGCAAGAATATATATTTATTTTTATCTAATCAGCAATTAAGTTAATCACTATTATTTAATTTTTTTAAAAATTACAATATATATTATAAAATGGGAGATAATATTAAATACTAGCGATCGCTCGATCACAGACGTGTATCAACTGTTTGTCACGGGCAGATGATTTCTAACTAGAGTCAACCGCGGACAAAAAAGGAACAGACAATTGTCTTTAAGGGATTGCCTAATTTTCTTTTGTATCTACTTTACAATACCATCTTGGCTACTTCCCCCTAGTAACTAACGTTTTTCATATTTCTTTAAAGTTTCGCGTATAATTTTCATGGCTGACTTTTTTTCCTTTTTTTTTCCTTTCTCGTATATACAAAGTATAGATAAAGTTTTGTAATCGTGCAAAAAAAAATCGAGATTTTTGCAAATCTCGACGTTTTATACCTCACTGATACGGAAAAACATAGATTTGAAATCTTGTCCGTATGTCTGTGTGTCTGTGTGTGTGTGTGTGTGTCTGTGTCTGTGTGTAAACACGATAACTTGAGTACCGTTACAGCTAGGTTGATGAAATTTCATATATAAGTATTTTATCAAAATCGTAGATCCCTATCAACTTTTGAGCGATTTCCGATAACCGGAAGTGGTACTTTTTCTACTTTATATTTTTCAAAAGCCTATAACTTGAGTACTATTTCAGATAGATAAATGAAATTTCACATGTAAGTAACAAATCTAATTCTCTACCTTCTGTCAAATTTTGAGTAATTTCCATTGACCGGAAGTAGTTATTTACGCTGTTTCCGTTTTCTCAAAAAACGCATGTAATTTTATAAAGTACTAATAATATTGCGCACTATTATGAACATCTCTATTTGGCGTTCGCTTGGTGCGCAATTCTTTTTTCTATGAGATTCTATTCTATTTTAAACAGTTTAAGTATTTAAAAAGGATTAAAAATCATAACTATATCCCGAGTTCCCATCAACTGTTGTTTTATATAAGAATTTTCGAGAAAGTTTAGGGGAGATCACTCCCGGTTTATAAATCTTACCACCTTGTCTTGTCTTTCTGAACCTTATCACTTTCAAAGGTGGGAAAATTGACCTCGGCCATCACAATTCCACGGCGGCAGTGGCACTGCATGAAACTGTTACCTTCTCCAAGGCCGTGGAGATATCTCTTCAAATGACCAACGCCTCAGAAACCCTGATTGTTGTCACAGCTGACCACTCCAACGTCATGTCCATGGGCGGGTCTGCAGCAAGAAATAACCCCATCCTAGGTAACTGTTGACAATTGTTAGCGGTAGATTTGACTCAATATGAAACAAACTTCAACTCAGATAATATCAGCTATAATCCTAATCCTAAATTTTAACCAAAACCTAAACAAAAAAACGAAGCCTAAAAATATGTCACACATTTTGCCACGCCTATGTCACACGTTAGTCAAACGTTTGTCATGCCTATGTCACGCGTTTGATAAGCGTTTATCATGCTTACGTCATGCCTATATCAAACGATTGTCACTTTCTGTTACGTCTATCTAACATCTGTGTCACGACTATGTCTCACGTTTGTCACATATTCGTAGCACCTTTGTCAAATGTTTTTATCACAATTTGTCACATTTCCTCCTATGTTCATCACGTTTATTGATTGTACAGCTTACAACTGACCACACATTCTCGTTCGTCTACAGGGGTTAGTGCTAATGCGAAACATCGGCCAGTTATAGAAGCCAAGGATAAATTAGCGTACACCACGATCTTGTACGCGAATGGACCAGGGTACAGGAGACCCCGACAAGACGTCACTAAAGTTGATACTAGTAAGTTATAGGCCTACTGACCACTGGTCACTGATGATGGTACAGTAAGCTAGTTAGTTAACCACTAGTCAATAAAGATGATGCAAATACGTTCATTAATTTGATTACTAACCACTTTACCACTAATGGTGTTAAAGTAAGGTAACAAAGTAACAGAGGGGTGGATTAAGCTTGAGTAGGGCCATGGGGAGAAAACTTTTGGAGTCCCTTGTATATGGGGTTGTCAGTCGTACTGGGTTGTGATCGATTGGTCAGTCATATATATGTGGTGTGGTCAGTCAGTCATACAATTGTGAGGTAATCAAAATTTCAAATATAGTAAAGAACTAGCCGTCCCGGCCAGGCCCTGCTCTGGCTTCTGTGAAAAACCTTCCTGTTAAAGACCATTACCTGTGTGTTTAGTAATCATCATAAACCCGGCATTGCCCACCCAAACCACAACCAACCAAAACCAAAACAACAAAACGCAAACATAACGCTAACACAATTACAAATACAAACGAAAACAAAAACCTAACAACAAACCCAACCACAAACACCAATACCAACAAAAAAAAAAAAAAACAACGAAAAAGCAAACGAAAACAAACCAAATTCAAACGCAAAACCAACCAAAAACACAAATACAAACCCACAAAAAAAAAACACAAACAAAAACGGAAAAAGAAAGAACAAAAACGAACCAAATCAAAACGCAACCACTAACGCAAACCCACCTAAACACACAGAAAACACTAACGCGAACATAAACGCCCGGGGCGGAATCACCTGTTTTAGCTTAATGAACGACTATAGTACCCCAACTTATTCATAGTCTTTTGCACTCACTTAAACGAACGCGCCTGTTTCAATTTGATGAACAATTTTAATACTCCAAGCTTATCCGTAAAATACCTACAACATTTGCACTTGATCAATCCCCGCTAATTATGTAATTATTTTTTTTTCCCAACACCAAAACAAAGTAATTAAAAAGTAAATACTTTTCCACAAAATGCAATAAAGGGAAGTAATTGTGTTTTTCCTAATTTATCAAAGGGAAGTAAGTGCTATAGGACTAAATAAATACATAATTAGAATTTTTGTAAAAGATGATATTTTTTTTAAAACTTGTGTTTGATGAACATGCCGACAATTATTACTATAATTTGAAAAATGAAAATTATTTCCCAACACTTTCAATAGTAATTTTTTAGCTCATAAATTTAGACAAATGCGCACGATAATTTTCTAACTTTTAAATTCGTACACTTCCAACGACATACAAATGCATTATATACAGAACTGAGCTTTATATATTAGATTATAAAAACTGCTAATTATTATGCTAAAAGTTAAAAATTTAATCAGTATACTACTGAAGAAAAATGATCTGCATAAATTGTCACAAAAAAAAAATAATTACTAATATTTACATCTAAATTTACATCTGTTCAACAAGATCGTGAAGTGTAATAGATATCATGACGTCTCGTCACTAGATTCACATTATAAATAATACGATCGACGTGATATTTGAGAATCTATAGACACTATACAATACTCCTGATGGGGAAAAACAACATGTTATTATATTACTTAGACCATAATCGTGCTATCACGTCTGGTTGTCTTGTAGGTAGCGCCACCTATGTTAGCCAGTCTGCTGTCCCCATGGCTAAAGAGACGCACGGTGGGGAAGATGTGGGCATATTTGCCACAGGTAATTAGATTAAATGAGTTTTTATTCTATTTTTAATTAGCCGTTCTAGTTAGGTTTTGTTCTGGCTATGTTATTATTTTGATTTAGCAGCCTAATTATAGCTTATCAACTTATATAAAAGTTAGTCTATATAAAAAAATAAAAACCCAGGCCATTCACATTTATGTATTCTAGTGTATTACTGTATTACGTGATGCATTGTATTTTTTATATAATTAAATTTATGTTTTAAATGATAACGTGTATTCTTTTATGTAATCTAGTGTGTTTTTAAGTTATGTAATTTATTGAATACGTTGTAAGTAATCTGATGCATTAATCTGTTATCTTACACCGTATATTAATTTATTAAAAATCCAGATCATTAATTTTTACTTTCTCGTATATACGAAGTATAGAGAAAGTATTGTAATCGTGCAAAAAAATCTCTTGAAATTTTAACAATTTTCACCGTATTACACCTCAGTCCTTCATCCCATCCGAAGTATAGAGGACTTATTTTAATCGGGCAAAAATTATCAATCCAGATTTATCAAAATTAAGAGGTTTTATGCGTAATCCATTCTGAAAAACTGGGCTTTGCAATCCTGTCCGTATGTCTGTGTGTCTGTCTGTGTGTCTGTGTGTGTGTAAACCGTTACAGCTAGGTTGATGAAATTTCATATATAAGTATTTTATCAAAATCGTAGATCCATATCAACTTTTGAGCGATTTCCGATAACCGGAAGTGGTACTTTTTCTACTTTGAATTTTTCAAAAGCCTATAACTTGAGTACTATTTCAGATAGATAAATGAAATTTCACATGTGAGTAAAAGATCTAATTTTCTACCATCTGTTAAATTTTGAGTAATTTCCGTTGACCGGAAGTAGTAATTTACGCTACTTCCGCTTTCTCAAAAAACTAATGTAAATTTTTAAAGTACTAATAATATTGCGCACTATTATAAACATCTTTATTTGGCGTTCGCTTGGTGCGCAATTGTTTTTTCTATGAGATTCTATTCTATTTTAAAAAGTTTAAGTATTTAAAATAGATTAAAAATCATGTCTATATCCCGAGTTCCCATCCCCAGTTGATTTATATAAGAATATTCGAGAAAGTTTAGGGGAGATCACTCCCGGTTTATTTATTTGGCGTTCACATTGTGTGCAATTCTTTTGTCTACGAGATTTTATTTTATTTTTTAAACTTTAAGTATTTAAAATGGATTAAAAATCATGTCTATAGCCCGAATTCCCATCCCCTGTTATTTTATACGAGAAAAATGGCCCGTTGAGGAAGGATACAACGGGCGCTAGGCTGATAGTGCTGTCTCTTTTCTCTAAACTAAAACCAACCCCCCACACACCACCCCCCCCACCCCCACCCCCAAACACACCGCACACCCCCACCCCCAGCCCCCCCCCCACCCCCACCCCACCCCCCAAAAAACATGTCTACCGTCCCATTCAACGAAATATAATTATATACTTTTTCCAGTGTCCGCCCCCTCCCCGAAAATTCTACCCCCGCCCCCGAAAATTTCAAGTACCCCCACTCCTCTCCGGGGAGGAAAAGTCTGAAAGAAACACTGGTGTCGCGCTTAGCCACTACCCGAAAAATTGCATTAAAGAAATTGCAAGAAAACCACTTTTTAGATTAGACACATTAATTAGGCGGTAATTTTATTATAGAGTATCGATGAGGAAATTTCTTTTGAGTTGGGGAGGGGGGGGGGGCTCAGACGTTCTTACGCGGGGATGGGGCTTCGCCCCTACTCGAAGAATTGTATGAAAGAAACTCTTCACGCAAACCACTTAGATTAGACAAAATTGCCTTTGTATTCAATGTTTACTCGAGAATCAATGACGTCATATTACTGTGTGCACTCTCCGGCTTGAGATACTGTGCTAAATGTGGCGACGCCATACTTCGTTTTTCGAATTACTATGCAGGTTTTTAATTTGCTTGTGTTTTCTCTAGAGCGTTCTTGTCAGACAGAGCGTTCTTGTCACATACACAGACAGCGAAACTATTAGTATTAATAAGAATATTCGAGAAAGTTTAGGGGAGATCACTCCAGTGTTTCTTCCAGACTTTTTTCTCCGGGGGGGGGGGGCAATTTAAATCTTCGGGGGGGCGGTAAACTTTCTTCGGGGGGGGGGGGGGGGGCAGACACTGTTAAAAGTATATATTTTCTATATAAATTATATAAATTTCATTTCGTTCGGGGGGGCGGTAAAAATTTTTCGGGGGGGGGGGCTTCGCCCCCCCGAAGAGATGCCTGGAAGAAACTCTGGATCACTCCCGGTTTATTATCTAGTGCGTTTATACATTATGTAATCTAGCTCTATGTTATATCATTCCATATAATAGTATTTTTCTCCCACCCCCACCCCCCTCCCCAGGTCCTCAGTCCTTCCTGTACACAGGCGTCCACGAGCAGAACTACATCCCTATGGTCATGGCCTACGCCTCATGTGTCGGGCCCTACGCCGAGGGGAAAAAACCATGCGCCAAATATGAACAACCATAACCGGCTTGAACATCGACATGTGTTCAACGACTTGGACAACTCTTACTAAAATTAAAAATGTGAAATTATTCCGTTGATTTGGTTGTGTTTCGGCAGGAAGCTCATTTCTCCTTGTTAGCATGTGATTTGTGCTGTTCTTGTATTTGATTTGTCAACCCATTAGATGGGAAAGTCATGTATTTGACAAAAACGCTTCGGAAAATTGCCATTAAAAAAACACAGAAACGTCTAGCTATTCGTTGTGATGACTTCTTTCTGAACCTTAAGACGTTGACATGCCACGTTAAGTGTAATATTTGCGATTTAATTACAACTCCATGCTGTTCAATTTGTATTGATCGTTTTTAGTTTAGCTGACAAGTTAAAGTAGTACTAGTTGAATCATTGTTGAGTACTGTCCCAAACTGGTCAGTACAGTCCCCTGATTGGTGAGTACAATCCCCTGACTTCCTGAGTACAGTCCCCTGTTTGGTGAGTACAGTCCCATGACTGGTGGTACGATCCCCTGACTAGTGAGTACAGTCCCCTTACTAGCTAGGTAAAAGCTACCTCACCGGTGTAATATATTGCCGATTATTGACTCAGGTATTTTCAAACTGGAAAAAAATTCATGCTTTAATTACAATACATTAGTTATAAGACCCAGACCAAAAACGGTTTAATTATACACGGTTATAACGTGCAAGCTAGTGTATTAAGTTCACCAAATAGTTCAGACGGATTAAAAGTTTGATTATAAATCTAAATCATAAAGTCGAGGGTTACAAAGTGAAAAAAAGAACAACTAATAAGTTAAGGGAAAGAAGGCACCCTAACTCTAGGCCGCAAGACACTTACACTCTAGGTAGAAAAGCACCCTCATCTCATGACACAAAGCACCCTTAATCTCATGACGCAAATCATTCTAATCTCATGACGCAACACATCCTAATTTCAAGACACAAAGCACCGTATCTTCAGGTCGCCGCTAGGCACCAATACTTTATGCAGGCTCTCTGCACGTTATAAAACATAAACCTGCCGCATCGATTTGAGAAAAACATATAAAAACAAAACTTTAATTAAAATAGTTTCAATGAATAAGAAATAGATTAACGCAATAATACAGCCTCTCATTATTTGATTACTTTCATGCATGTAAGTGAGAGAATATACTGCTGTGCTGAGAAATGTTAAAAAGTGTAAAGTGTGTGAAAAGTTATATTGAGTGGAATATTTCTGGTTTATTGGACAGGTTAAAATGGTTGGATGAAACACAGGGTAATAGCATTCTAATGTTTCATACTTTTATACTTAAGTACTTGTGGTAATTCGAAGGAAAATTTAATTTTAGGCATTCTGCTCTATGGGCCAGATTAGGTAAATTTCATGTGTTTCTGTTAACTATGCACGTGATTCGAACCCGACACATTCATATTCGAATAGAACACCAACTTACATACAGTAATGTAAATATTTTAAGATTTTTTTTAATTTTAATTTTTCTTGAGTCTCCGTACGTTATTTACAACCTGCGTACGTTTTTTTCAACCTGCGTACATTTTTATGAGCCTGCGTACACTTCTATCAACGTGCGTACACTTTAAAAAAACGCTTACAAAGCCCTTTAAATGAATCACTTAAGTTAAGTTGGCTCTTGGTTAGACAGTTCATTTGTTCTCCATTTTTAAACACTACAGTGGTTAAATAAACACAGAAGTAGTCGAAGATCAACGGGTATTTGGCGTTAGCCCAAACATTTTTAGCCAAAGGACGATTGCTTTGTTAGATAACTATCGAAATTAAAGATGGCACTAAGGCTGTTTGCCCGGAAAAAACGGTATTTATATAATTGTGTACACATTTATCTTGATTTCCCGGGCAGATGAGGCTCGCGAGCTGGGAACAGCAGCATATCTAGGAGGGAAAACTTCACAAATAACTGCGGATTAGCGAATAGTATTGTGGACAAAGGCAGTGGTAGCAAATCCAAAAAGAAAAGAAGTTGGAGTCAAGCGCCTATTTGGCGCATAACAAGTTGACACGTTTTATTTAATTTAATTATGTTGAAGGAAATACTCTGCAACATTACAACTGAAGACAGCACGGTATAAACGACAAATGTCCACTTTTTAAAAACATTTAAGTTATCGCCATGTTCATATAGTACTAGTATATATATATATATATATATATATATATATATATATATATATATATATATATATATATATATATATATATATATATATATATATATATATATATACATCACGTATAACAATATTAAAGCGTAATGCAGTCTCAATCCCCTCAATATTTATGATTTTAAAATCATGCCACAATGGAACAGCAAGATCTTTTAAACAAACTAAATCTAATTTTTCTCATAAGTAAAAAATGACAGTTTTTGTTTATCCCCTTCAATTAAGAAAGAAGAATACTTTTATATTGCCTGCTTTGTCTTATTAAATTTCCCCTTCCAAATCTGACGGTCTATGGGGCGAGTAAAGTAGAGTTCATCTGTTTCAGTGACCTCGTCTATAGGGCTGGTAAGTAGGTCACCAACCAGTTCTATGGCTCATGTAAGTTTTATTGAGCCGTAGAACTGGTTGGTGACCTACTTACCAGCCCTATTGAAGGTATTGTGTGATCAGCACTATGCCCAGCCGCCTTTACTTCCGCGAACGTGAGTTAGGTACCCATCAGTGTGCATGTTTTAGTGTCTTACCCCGGATGCGAACGCGAGACTTACGGGATAGCAGTTTAACTATCTACCTCTAGACCACTCCCTACCTTCCTTGTCTGATTGCTTTTATAAAAATCTCGTCGTATCTGGGAACTGTTAATGAAAAAGTGTGTGACCGCTGTACATTAGAAAGCTTATAGATTTGCGTCTGTTGATAAATAGATAAGAGAGGAGAGGGAACTGGCATGTGGTGGATAGTGCATCAGGTGCACTGAGTTCTATAGTGGTAGGAAGTCAGGAGTGATTGTTGGTTCTATAGTGGTAGGAAGTCAGGAGTGATTGTTGGTGGTTAGTTGATTCTTTTATAGGCTTACATGAGTGAGAATAGTGAGAGTAATGAGGGGGGGGGTCAGAATATGTTCGATAGATATGTGGATGGCCTGGTTGTGCAAATATATTTTATGCAGTGGTGTGATCGGTTAGTTAGTCATATTGTGTGTGTATGGGGGGTGGGGGGTCAGTCATACAGCGATGGGGTCAGTTATACAATGGTGGGGCGTCAGTCATTAAAAAAGTAGTGGGGGTGGGTTAGTCAAACAAACTGTGTTAGGGGGGTCAGTCATACAGTGGTGGGGGCGTCAGTTATACAGTGGTGGGGGTCAGTCAGTAATACAGTGCTGGATGGGGTCAGTCAGTCATACTGTGTTAGGGGGGTCAGTCAGTCATACAGTGGTGGGGGGTCAGTCAGTCATACAGTGGTGGGTTGGGGTCAGTCAGTCATAATGTGTTAGGGGGGTCAGTCATACTGTGGTAGGAGGGGGCAGGCATACAATGGTGGGGGGGGGGGGGTCAGTCAAACAGTGGTGGGGGGGGGGGGGGGGGTCAGTCATACAGTGGTGGGGGGTCAGTCAGTCATACAGTGGTGGGGGGTCAGTCAGTCATACAGTGGTGGGTGGGGGTCAGTCAGTCATAATGTGTTAGGGGGGTCAGTCATACAGTGGTAGGAGGGGGCAGGCATACAATGGTGGGGGGGGGGGTCAGTCAAACAGTGGTGGGGGGGGGGTCAGTCATACAATGGTGGGGGTCAGTCAAATAGTGGTGGGGGGGGGGTCAGTCATACAGTGGTGGGGTGGTCAGTTATACATTGACGGGTGAGTCAGTCATACACTGGTGGGGGGGTCAGTCATAAAGTGTCGGGGGGGGGGGGGGTCAGTCATACAGTGGTGGGGGGGGGGGTCAGTCAGTCATAATGTGTTAGGGGGGTCAGTCATACAGTGGTGGGGGTCATTCAGTCATACAGTGGTGGGTGGGGGTCAGTCAGTCATAATGTGTTAGGGGGGTCAGTCATACAGTGGTAGGAGGGGGCAGGCATACAATGGTGGGGGGGGGGTCAGTCAAACAGTGGTGGGGGGGGGTCAGTCATACAGTGGTGGGGTGGTCAGTTATACATTGACGGGTGAGTCAGTCATACACTGGTGGGGGGGGGGGTCAGTCAAACAGTGGTGGGGGGGGGTCAGTCATACAGTGGTGGGGTGGTCAGTTATACATTGACGGGTGAGTCAGTCATACACTGGTGGGGGGGGGGGTCAGTCATAAAGTGTCGGGGGGGGGGGGTCAGTCATACAGTGGTGGGTTGGGGTCAGTCAGTCATAATGTGTTAGGGGGGTCAGTCATACAGTTGTGGGGGGTCAGTCAGTCATACAGTGGTGGGGGGTTAGTCAGTCATAATGTGTTAGGGGGGTCAGTCATACAGTGGTGGGGGGGTCAGTCATACAATGGTGGGGGTCAGTCAAATAGTGGTGGGGGGTCAGTCATACAGTGGTGGGTTGGGGTCAGTCAGTCATAATGTGTTAGGGGGGTCAGTCATACAGTGGTAGGAGGGGGCAGGCATACAATGGTGGGGGGGGGGGGGTCAGTCAAACAGTGGTGGGGGGGGGGTCAGTCATACAATGGTGGGGGTCAGTCAAATAGTGGTGGGGGGGGGGGGTAAGTCATACAGTATTGGGGAGGGTCAGTCATACAGTGGTGGGGTGGTCAGTTATACATTGACGAGTGAGTCAGTCATACACTGGTGGGGGGGTCAGTCATAAAGTGTCGGGGGGGGGGGGGTCAGTCATACAGTGGTGGGGGGGGGGGGGTCAGTCATACATTGGTATTGTGTGGTTAGCCTTGTAGTTTTACCATAAACCGGTCAGCGCTGGTACAATAGTGTTTAAATATAATCTAAGCTAATGGTTTATCTCCTTTGTAAAATGTTTCCATTAAGAATCCATTTGACTGCGGACATTAAGTTTAAACTATGTGGTGTTGGAATTCTCAATTTACTTTTATCACTCATCAAAGAAACCGTTAATTAGTCATCATCACAGTCATTATCAGCCATCACTAATGAGAAAGTTTGACTGGAAGTGTCCACAGTAATAGACACATTGATTGGTCTTTAAGATAAGATAGTGTTTCAAGAAAGTTTTCTTATCTAAATAGATTTGACACACAATTCAACGGAGATTAGCTGGGAGACGGTAGGTTTTTTGGTGTTCATTGATTTTTTAAAATCTTTTTTTTTTGTATTTACATGTTAATTCATGAATTGTGTTTATTCATTACCCAACATTTATTTTTTAAAATCAGATGTTTTTATTATCTTCATAATAAAAATCTTTGAAACCGTATTTTTATTGTTTTCTAAAATGTTTATCTATAAAACAATATATTAACAGTACACAAATATTCAATAACAGCAAAGAAGTTCTAATTTTAGTAGATAAAATCTAATGGAATTTGATTTTTAGGGTTCAATCAATCGTCCCATAACCACTGGGATCGTTTTGACATCAGAATTGATTTTCTCAAAAATTTTTGCCATCTTTCGGACTGATTTTCCTGTTTTCTAAAAAATGTTCTGTAGAAAATACATATTAATAAAAAATAAACCGGTAGTGATCTCCCCTAAACTTTCTCGAATATTCTTATATAAAACAACAGGGGGTGGTAACTGGGGATATAGTTGTGATTTTTAATCCATTTTAAATACTTAAACTTTTAAAAATAGAATAGAATCTCATAAAAAAAAACATTGCGCACCAAGCAAACGCCGAATAAAAACGCGTATAATAGTGCGCAATATTATTAGTACTTTAAAAATTTACATTAGTTTTTTGAGAAATCGGAAGTAGCGTAAATTACTACTTCCAGTCAACGGAAATTACTCAAAATTTAACAGAAGGTAGAGAATTAGATCTTTTACTTACATGTGAAATTTCATTTATCTATCTGAAATAGTACTCAAGTTATAGGCTTTTGAAAAATTCAAAGTAGGAAAAGTACCACTTCCGGTTATCGGAAATCGCTCAAAAGTTGATACGGATCTACGATTTTGATAAAATACTTATATATGAAATTTCATCAACCTAGCTGTAACGGTACTCAAGTTATCGTGTTTACACACGGACAGACAGACAGACAGACAGACACACACACACACAGACATACGGACAAGATTGCAAAATTATGTTTTTCCGTATCAGTGAGGTGTAAAACGTCGAGATTTGTAAAAATCTCGATTTTTTTTTTTTGCACGATTACAATACTTTCTCTATACTACGTATATACGAGAAAGTAAAAATGTTTGAACATTACACACTATTCAATCAGTAACACAAAGAGAATTATTCACGTTTTAATTTTAAAAAAAAACAGAATTATTAGAATTGAATAATACTTTCAGAATTAATGTTACAAATTGGTTATAGTAAAGATGAATTGACCAATAGCCCTTTAATTATCTGTAGCTGCTAATGAATTAAAAGTATAAGCTTTAGTTAATACACTACAGAACTTCTTCTCTATTCTTACATCCCTCAGAGTTCGCGATGTTTGTCCTACCAGTGTTAGTGTCCACTCTTGTGGCTCTGGTCAGCTCCGCTGATTACAGCTATGAAAAAGGTAATTTAATTAAAGCTAATTAAACTGTTAATAATAATTTAATATTGTGATCGTCTCTAAAAAATCTTTGTCTATTCCTTTTCAAACTGTAATCAATGTTAAATTATCTTCAGTCACAGTCACTTGAACAATGCCCTACACCACAACACCCACACTTAAACTAAGCCCCACACAACACCCACACTTAAACTAAGCCCCACACAACACCCACACTTAAACTAAGCCCTACACAACACCCACACTTAAACTTAGCCTTACTACTCCAACTAGACGAGAAACATTATGTAAAATCTGTTAACAACTTTCCCAAAATCTCGGGACTTTAATTAAATAGCGTACGATTATTAATTTGTGTAAAATAAATTCAGCTAACTATCCAAACAATGACCTGTACTAAAACACCGTGTTTAACGTATCCCTCTTCCCCCCCCCCCCCCCCCCCCCTCACTCCCGCTCAACACAAATCTATGCCCGTCTGTTAAAACTATTCATTTTAATGTCTCATTTTTTACTGGTAACACATTAATATAAATCCTAATTATTGTTGTCTTAACTGACACCCTAATGAATGTCATCTCATTAATTCTAGATCCTAATTACTGGTACAACGTGGCTTTTGACGAGCTGGACCAGACCCTGGCCCCACAGCCCAAGGGCGTGGCAAAAAACGTCATCTTTTTCCTGGGGGACGGGATGGGGATCCCCACGGTGACGGCTGCAAGGATCCTGGCAGGGCAGATGGCAGGGAACAGTGGTGAGGAGTACAAACTCAGCTTCGACAAGTTCCCGTACACGGGTCTGTCTAGGGTAAGGTTCCCGTACACGGGTCTGTCTAGGGTAAGGTTCCCTACACGGGTCGGTCTAGGGTAAGGTTCCCTACACGGGTCGGTCTAGGGTAAGGTTCCCGTACACGGGTCTGTCTAGGGTAAGGTTCCCTACACGGGTCTGTCTAGGGTAAGGTTCCCTACACGGGTCGGTCTAGGGTAAGGTTCCCGTACACGGGTCTGTCTAGGGTAAGGTTCCCGTACACGGGTCTGTCTAGGGTAAGGTTCCCTACACGGGTCGGTCTAGGGTAAGGTTCCCTACACGGGTCGGTCTAGGGTAAGGTTCCCGTACACGGGTCTGTCTAGGGTAAGGTTCCCTACACGGGTCTGTCTAGGGTAAGGTTCCCTACACGGGTCGGTCTAGGGTAAGGTTCCCGTACACGGGTCTGTCTAGGGTAAGGTTCCCGTACACGGGTCTGTCTAGGGTAAGGTTCCCTACACGGGTCGGTCTAGGGTAAGGTTCCCGTACACGGGTCTGTCTAGGGTAAGGTTCCCTATACGGGTCTATCTAGGGTAAGGTTCCCTACACGGGTCGGTCTAGGGTAAGGTTCCCGTACACGGGTCTGTCTAGGGTAAGGTTCCCGTACACGGGTCTGTCTAGGGTAAGGTTCCCTACACGGGTCGGTCTAGGGTAAGGTTCCCGTACACGGGTCTGTCTAGGGTAAGGTTCCCTATACGGGTCTATCTAGGGTAAGGTTCCCTACACGGGTCGGTCTAGGGTAAGGTTCCCGTACACGGGTCTGTCTAGGGTAAGGTTCCCGTACACGGGTCTGTCTAGGGTAAGGTTCCCTATACGGGTCTATCTTGGGTAAGGCTCCACTACACGGGTCGGTCTAGGGTAAGGTTCCCGTACACGGGTCTGTCTAGGGTAAGACAATGTTTCCCTACACGGTCCATCTAAGCTAAGACAAGTTCCCTTACAGGGGTCTATCTAGGGTAAGGTTCCCATATACTGGTCCATCTAAGGTAGGACTAGTTCTCATGTACGGTTTTAAGTAGGGTAAGACTGGTTCCCCTAATGGGTCCTTCCTGAGAAAAAAAAAACTTCGGTTTGCAATCCTATTTTCTTTACGCTTTCATCCGGAGGGGATCGGGGACTTGTTTTTATGGGGGGGGGGGGGGGGGGGGTGTTGACCTAAAGAAACTCTGCTTAGTTTTGTTGACGTTTTGCACAGACGTATAACGTCGACCATCAAATCACGGACTCCGCTGCTTCCGGCACCGCCTACCTGACGGGCGTCAAGACGAACCAGGGGCTGCTCGGCCTCAGCGGGGCGGCCCAGCGGTACAACTGCAGCTCCTCCAAGGACACCCACGTGGATTCGATCGTGCGCTGGTCAATCAATGCAGGTCAGAGGTCACAGTTTTAGGTCGACCATATTACTGTTTTTATTTTTTTCATATAAATGAAGAAAAACAAAGTAAAGAACGGCTACTCTTTCAAATATATGTATTTTTCATGCTTATGTCCCTTATATTAAATTTCTGTGCAGAACGACGTTCAATATTTGTATGGCAATGTGTGCAAAGAATGTGTATATTCATGATTGTAAGTCATGTATTTGTGTGTATAGGCTATATGTGAATAAATATCTATGTAGGCTATGGGTGTGAATAAATGTATGTAGGCTATGGGTGTGAATAAATATGTATGTAGGCTATGGGTGTAAAGGCTAAGTGTGTAAGCTGTGTATAAGCCATGTGTGTTGGCTTTGTGTGTGGGCCATTTGGTTGGGAGATGTGTGTAGGCTATGCTTTTGTGGGCTATTTATTTGTATTAATATGCATGTAGGCTACGTGTGTTTTGGCTATGTATCTGTAGGCTGTGTGTATGTTGTGTGTGTACGCTATGTATGTATAGACTATGTATGAAGTTACATGTATGTTGGGTTTTTCTATTTGAATGTTTGTTTGTTTGTTCAGGCAAGTCCACAGGGGTGTTGACAACCACTCGGATCACTCACGCCACCCCAGGGGCGTCGTACTCACACACAGCTGAAAGGGACTGGGAGGTGGACAGGTGAGTCGGTCACTGGGTCAGGGGTGGGAGTCTATCAGGTCTAGTGGGGGGAGGGGGGGGGGGGACAGGTGAGTGGGTCACTAGGTCAGGGGTGGGAGTCTAGCAGGTCTAGTGTGTGTGGGGGGGGGGGGGGTGGACAGGTGAGTGGGTCACTGGGTCAGGGGTGGGAGTCTATCAGGTCTAGTGGGGGGGGGAGGGGGGACAGGTGAGTCGGTCACTAGGTCAGGGGTGGGAGTCTATCAGGTCTAGTGGGGGGAGGGGGGTGGCAGGTGAGTGGGTCACTAGGTCAGGGGTGGGAGTCTATCAGGTCTAGTGTGTGTGGGGGGGTGGACAGGTGAGTCGGTCACTGGGTCAGGGGTGGGAGTCTAGCAGGTCTAGTGTGTGTGGGGGGGTGGACAGGTGAGTCGGTCACTGGGTCAGGGGTGGGAGTCTAGCAGGTCTAGTGTGTGTGTGGGGGGGTGGACAGGTGAGTCGGTCACTGGGTCAGGGGTGGGAGTCTATCAGGCCTAGTGGGGGGGGGGGATGAGCGGTTAACTAGGTGAGGGATGGAAATCTGAATGGAGACAAAAACTAGGGTAGAGACAGGGGAATGAGCGACTAATTCGTGGTGAGAAGGGGAGGGGTCGGCATAGCACAACGACTGGTTGGTGCACGGGTGACTAGGTCACTAGACCAAGCAACATGAATTGTGTCATGGGATATGTAATTGGGTCAGTCTGAGCGACAGTCACTAGGTCCTGGGACAGAGTAAGCTATCAGTCAAAAGTGAAAAGATTGTATACAATCCAGTAGCCTTTAAACAAATCATCTGACAACAATCCGGTAGCCTTTAAACAAATCTTTATCTGGCAACAATCCAGTAGCCTTTAAACAAATCATCTGACAACAATTCGGTAGCCTTTAAACAAATCTTTATCTGGCAACAATCTAGTAGCCTTTAAACAAATCATCTGACAACAATCCGGTAGCCTTTAAACAAATCTTTATCTGACAACAATCCGGTAGCCTTTAAACAAATCTTCTGGCAACAATCTGGTAGCCTTTAAACAAATCATCTGGCAACAATCAGGTAGCCTTTAAACAAATCTCCATCTGGCTTTAAAAGTGTTGATGCGCCTTTAAAAACCTGCAAGAGTTTTATTTTTTGCAAAACTTATCATGTGACAACAAATGGACGATTAGATGTAGGTTTAACGCTGAGATAATCTCACCAGGTTTATCCCAACCGCCCAGAGGGATTGTGAGGACATCGCTTTACAGCTGATCACAAGAAACAATGACATCAACGTGAGTAGATTTACAGCAGTTGGTAGGTTTACAATTGTTAGATTTACAGCAGTGGGTAAGTTTATAACAATGGGCAGATTTACAATAATTGCTAGGTTTAGAACAGTGAGTAGATTTTATATAGATTTTCAACAGTAGATTTACAGTTTGAATAGATTTAAGGGAATACTAGATTAACGGTTAGTGTTGGTTTGCATATGGGGTAGTTTTGTGACGTGGTTGGAGTGTCATCGCTGATGTTAGCCGATCTAAAATTTGAAATTAATCCTAAATATATACGTTTTGGGTATAATTAGGGGTTTGTAACCAGAGGCGTATCCAGGTTTTCGTTGTAGGGGGAGCGAAATGAGCAAAAAAGGCGCCGAATATTTAACACGTTCTAACACGTGTATTATATACATTTATATATATATATATATATATATATATATATATATATATATATATATATATATATATATATATATATATAATTACTAGCTGTATGTCATTACTTTGCTATGATGTAAAATAAATTGTATGTAGCACTTGAAGAAATAAGACAAAAAACACACAATGTAGGCCGACAAAACAAAAAATGTATCAATGTAAACAATATATATATATATATATATATATATATATATATATATATATATATATATATATATATATATATATATATATATATATATATACACAACCAAAATCAATAAACGCAACACAATCTGTTTTGTAATTCTTGTAAAAGGTGCGCGGACCTTTGACCATAGCGGTGCTTTGACCATAGGGGGTTTGACCATAGGGGGTTTGACCATAGCGGTGCTTTGACCATAGGGGGTTTGACCATAGGGGGTTTGACCACAGCGGAGCTTTGACCATAGGGGCTTTAACCATAGGGGGTTTGACCACAGCGGGCCTTTGACCATAGCGGTGCTTTGACCATAGGGGGTTTGACCACAGCGGGCCTTTGACCATAGCGGTGCTTTGACCATAGGGGGTTTGACCATAGGGGGTTTGACCATAGGTGTTTTCTCAGCAGAGGGTCTTTGATCACAGGTGGTCTATCAACTGGTGTTTGATCACAAGCGCTGTGTCCGGCTTTGATCATAGGTGTGATACAATTAACACGATTTTATACATGTTTCCTGAGAGTACGTTAATAGAAATTAACTTGTATTTAAAAAAAAGACAAGAACTATAAAGGCTGGTGCTAGGCCTCATAGATTTATTTTAAATATAAATGAAACACAAATAATGCGACATATAACAAGTTTCACAAATAAATAATGTAGATGTACTTGAAAATACATAGCATATATAAAGGATAAAAAATGATGCAAAACTTGCCAACAATATAGTCAAAGATGTAATACATAAAACGGTTAACTAAATGACAGATGTGCTATAGCACGCAAATATGTCAGTACATCTGTTTGACCATATGTCTAGACAGCACGTTGTAATTTTCGTGCAGCATCTTGTATAGCTTCTCAGCTGGGTAGCTTGCCCCTGCGACACCTTGCAAGAAAGTTGTCTTTTGCCGTGTGCAGTCCATCTGTAGACCTTCAAGGAAACGCCACATTGTTGGGTGACTACATTGGAAGAGAGACTGAATACTGTAATGCCATCCTTCACAAATGTTATTTGTTCGTGCTACACCATCGCCAATCGCGTGCATTTGATTCCAAGTTTCAACTGGAAACAAAACACCTGAGATCAAAGACCCTATGTGGACAAAACACCTATGATCAAAGCCGGACACAGCGCTTGTGATCAAACACCCGTTGATAGACCACCTGTGATCAAAGACCCTCTGCTGAGAAAACACCTGTGGTCAAACCCCCTATGGTCAAACCCCCTATGGTCAAAGCACCGCTATGGTCAAAGGCCCGCTGTGGTCAAACCCCCTATGGTCAAAGCACCTGTGGTCAAAGGTCCTAGGACCTTGTAAACATTTTTTTACATAATAATACCTGGGACATTAATTAAGACAAGCGAAATAGGGGACATAATCACGCTCTTAATATAAATATTTATATATCTATATATTTAATTATAAATGTCAAAACAAATCAATAATTACTTTAGAATGTAATATAATTGTTTAACTGTATTCGTGTTTTCAATTTCGTTTTTGTCTACAATCAGAATTAAATAATTAAATATATCGTCATCATAAATGCTAAAGTATTACAGCATAATGAAAGTTTTTTAAATCAGAGTTGGTATAAAAACACGCTTTAAATATTATAGAAAAACATCCAGAATAATAGCTTACATTAAACTAAATTTTCGGTCTTTTAGTTCAGATCAAAGATCTTTTAATTAACTACTGCTTTTTGTGTTTTTTAAAGATAATTTTTTTAACATAGTGATCATATATGGGTTAGATCACTGTATTGATCACACACCTTTTTACTGGTAATTGCAAAAACAATATTCACAGAGTTTTACCTGATTCAAAATCTATGATTCTTGCGGCATGGTACTTTGGTACATCGTTACACGTTTTCCCAAATGTACTTAACAGATCAGTTCGCGGTGGGTTGGGGGGGGGGGAGAGGGAGGGGTTCAACTTCATTCACCACTGTCCGGTCACTTTAGGTCAATTATCCAACCCAGTGTATACCTAGGTGTGACATTAATGTCGCTCTACACAATTGTGGTGGTGGGGTGTGTGAGTGTGTGTGGTGAACAGAGTGAACATAGCGTCAGTTCTAAACATACATATTCAATTACTCATATATACTGATTCAGAAATAGATTTAAATAAGTAGCAGTGGTATTATGACACTATTTTTTTTACAGCTGTTTCATATAATTTGTAATCGTAATCACTATCGCCCAAACTGTCATAATACTACTACTTCATCGTGACGACGTTGTTGACCTTGTCAAAATGTCCCCACCACTACGCAGTTTGCCCATAAGTAAATTTAAATAGAGGTATAATATTTTCTAGATCAATTATTCTTAAGCAAATACATTATACAGTTGCCTTAAACTTAATACCCCTCTTGCCAAGTGGTACTACCCGTAAAGGTTTTTAAAAATTGCAATGCATCGTAATGGTTATTTTTAGACAAACATCATTGTTTAAAACTTTGAGTTTAAAAAGTTTTCAAAAAGGCGACACTTTGCTGAAAATGGCCAGAGGGGGAGCGGCCGCTCCCCCTGCTCCCCCCCCTGCGTACGCTACTGTTTGTAACGTTTACAACTAGTGTAGTTTTACAGTTTTGGTTCTAGGGCGTTTAGGTTCAGTCTAGCTGCAGACATTCCAAGAAAGGAAGTTTACACTGGTAAAGACGATTGTGATAAAATAAAATTCTACAAACAAATACTTGAGAATTTGAGTATATATATATATATATATATATATATATATATATATATATATATATATATATATATATATATATATATATATATATATATATATATATGTATATATATATGTATATATATTAACGAATGCACGGGCCTTGCACTCGCTTCTCTCGTCCCTAGGTCATCATGGGTGGAGGTCGGGCCTACTTCTACCCCTCGGGTTTTAATGACCCCGACCCTGACCCCACTTTCAGCACATCCAGGAACAGCAGAATTGACGGCAGGAATCTAATTCAGGTAGGCTTTGTTCAGATAAGTTTTGGTAGCTGGTTTACTTGTGAACACACGGTTCATTCACGTCAAAAATGTTCAGTGAACACCCAGGCATGATATGGTTTGGATGATTTTCAAGGTCATTTCCATTCTGTTTCAGCTTTACTGACGTCATTATTCTTGGTTTGTCAGATGTTTAAATAGTCTACTGAAATGAGCTTATCGTCATCTTTTCACATTCGTGCCAAAGACACATGGGAAAGATGGAGTAGAGTTCATCTGTTTCAAAGACTTCGGGGTATAAAGTGATAGTGTTGTCAGCTCTGTGCCCAGCCGGCTTTACTTTCCCTAAGGTGAGTTAGGTACCCATCAGAGTTCGATTCGAACTCGAGACTTACAGGTTAGCAGCCTAGAGCTCTAACACTAGGCCACATGAAAAGGGCTTTTAGTTTTCTCATTTTGTTTTGGTTACGGCGACTGAAACGATTGCCCAGGCCAACGTAGAAGCCCTGGGGAATTTTTAAACAAGTGTCCGATAATAGAATCTCCTTAAAAAATGGGTGTTAGGTTACTGGTGGTTAACTAAAATACACACACGTCTCGCTAATGTAAATGCTAACCGTATCCATTACCTTAACCCCAACCCTGGTCCTACCATACGCCTAACCCTAATTTCTAACCATAAAACTTGCCGAGGGTAAAATACTACTACCAACTTAACACACCTACTTTTGGTAGAGTCTATTATCGGACATCGGTAGCTTCAATCATCAGAAGCCCTATAATGAGTGCCCGTGTCTCTCCCCAGGAGTGGGAACGCATCATGACCAACAAAAACGTCTCACACAGCTACGTCTACAACAAAGCTGGTTTGGATCAGGTGGATTTGGATAAGACGGATTATCTTCTCGGTGGGTGAAACTTAGTTTATCAAGAAACATAATGCTCATTAATTACTTTCACATCATTACTGGATTTAGTTCTCATAAGTTTTGATTAATAGATTAACGATAGATTAACTGTACTCGAACTCAACATTTTAAAAACCTACCATAATTTACCCAAACCAGGTACACAACTGAAACTCTTTTCCTAATCCAGGGGTGATAAATTATCGTTATGGTCAACAATAAAAACCAAAGAGGATAAAAATAACCCTTAAGAACACAGTGAACAAAATCCTGGTTAAAAATAATCAATGTCAAAATGACAATCGAAATATAGCAAACAGATACTTCAATGATAAAAATAGTCCAAGACAAATTTCATCATGGTATTTCATGCTTTAAGAGTATACTGGTACAAGCAATCTCTACTCTATGTGAATCTAGGCTGTAAATATATAGTGGTACAACTAGTTTCTATTCGATTGGAATTTAGGCTTTATATATATATTGGTACAACTAGCCTCTACTCTGTGGGAATTTAGGCTTTAAATATATATTGGTACAACTAATCTATACGAGCCGTTACTGCTACAGCTACATCCAATAGGTTACCTCGCCTGTAACTTTAACCATCCGTGTGATTGCCCTCCACAAACCAGGTCTATTCACACAAAGTCACATGAGTTACGAGCAGGACAGAAACCCAGCTAAAGAACCGTCTCTAGCCGAGATGACAGAGAAGGCTATCAGGATCCTCAAGAGAAACGATAAAGGATTTTTCCTCTTTATTGAAGGTAGGCTGAGACACTTGTACCCCACGCGTTCACATTGTGTTGAATGTCTTTGTTTAAATTGGCTACTATTATGTCGTCAGTAGACTACATTTTAACAGTATCTTTTTTTTATTGCTAAAGATGGGTGAAGATAGGTAAAGGCTTTTTTTTTTTAAATTACGTTTAGCATTTTAAAAAAAATCTAATATTTTTGATACACACAAATATTACAATCCTTTTTAAACTCCCACACCCCGATTCCCCCACATTAAAAATAAACTCTAAAATCCCACCCCATCCTCATGGTAAAACTTAAAACCTAAAACTATTGTGTCTCTATCACGCCCCCCCCCCCACCCATCAGGTGGAAGGATCGACCATGGCCATCATGAGTCCCGGGCCTCCCAAGCCCTGCACGACGCCGTGGCCATGGCCCAGGCCGTCGATGTGGCCAACAGACTGACCAACGCCTCGGAAACTCTCATCGTGGTCACGGCTGACCACTCACACGTCATGAACATTGCTGGGTATGCAACGAGAGGCAACCCGATTCTAGGTAATTTCTTTTATAGTGGCAACCCTATTCTAGGTAATTCTTGATAGTGGCAACCCTATTGTAGGTAATTCTTGAGAGTGGCAACCTTATTCAAGATAATTCTTGATACAATTATATATATATAATATTATTTTTCCCCAACCTGAGCGAGGTACCAATATGAGCTGGGTGGACTCAGGTACGTTATACGGCATCAAGCCCAACAAGTCTTTCTGAACCTTTCATGTGGGTTAGATAACAGGGGAATCGTTGTTTTGTGATGCAAGAATCTCAAAGGATACTTTTGTTAAGTGCAGCTTTCGTTACAGTCTGTAGTACAGGGCAAGTTTTGTCGTCCATCCAGGTTAAACTGTGACGTCCACGTAGGTTAAACTGTGACGTCCACCCAGGTTAAACTCGACTTAGGTTAAACTGTGACATCCAGTTTGGTTAAACTTCCGTCAACTTAAGTTAAATCGTTAAGTCCACTTAGATTAAACTTGTTAAAATGTGATTTTCACTCGTAGTTAAAATCTGTGAATTCCCAGGGATAAGCGACAATGATAACAAACATCCCCAGGCTGCGTCGGATGGGAAGCCCTACACGACCATCCTGTATGCCGACGGTCCAGGGTACCACGTTCCTAGACCAATAGTCACTGATGTTGATACACGTAAGTTGTTGGTCTACTGATGTTGATACACGTAAGTTGTTGGTCTACTGACCAATAGTCACTGATGTTGATACAAGTAAGTTGTTAGTCTACTGACCACTGGTCATTGATGTTGATACACGTAAGTTGTTAGTCTACTGACCACTGGTCACTAATGTTGATACACGTAAGTTAGTGGTCTATTTATGTTGATACACGTATGTTAGTGGTCTACTGATGTTGATACACGTATGTTAGTGGTCTACTGATGTTGATACACGTATGTTAGTGGTCTACTGATGTTGATACACGTATGTTAGTGGTCTACTGATGTTGATACACGTATGTTAGTGGTCTACTGATGTTGATACACGTATGTTAGTGGTCTACTGATGTTGATACACGTATGTTAGTGGTCTACTGATGTTGATACACGTATGTTAGTGGTCTACTGATGTTGATACACGTATGTTAGTGGTCTACTGATGTTGATACACGTATGTTAGTGGTCTACTGATGTTGATACACGTAAGTTGTTGGTCTACTGATGTTGATACACGTATGTTAGTGGTCTACTGATGTTGATATACGTAAGTTAGTGGTCTACTGATCAATTTTCACTGATAGACGTAAGTTGTTGGTCTACTGACCACTAGTCACTGATATTGATACACGTAAGTTGTTGGTCTACTGACCACTAGTCACTGATATTGATACACGTAAGTTGTTGGTCCACTGATCACTTTTCACTGATAGACGTAAGTTGTTGGTCTACTGACCACTTTTCACTGATGTTGATACACGTAAGTTGTTGGTCCACTGATCACTTTTCACTGATAGACGTAAGTTGTCGGTCTACTGACCATTGACCACTGATACACGTGAGTTACTGGTCTACTGACCACTTGTCGCAAATTAGGTATACTCAAAACTTCTGAAAATTAAAATTAATTTAAATATGTATTGAACTAGCTGAAAAATAAGTGTATATGGCAGTTACGTCACCCACACACGATTGTTTTGCAGACGACAAGTCTTACATCAGCCAGTCTGGTGTTCCATTGTCTTCAGAGACCCACGGAGGGGAGGACGTTGCCATTTTTGCTCAAGGTAAATATACTTAAGGAGTGATTGTCGTAATGGTATCCTGGTGAATACATTGCAGTAGTGATTGTCTTAATGGTATCCTGGTGAATAAGCCTCACTACCCTTTACTTGATTACATATATTTTATTTATTACCTTTTTGGCAAAGTATTTCTCTACTGATTGTTCCGTTTGTTATTAATAATAATGTGGGATTGCTAACCTTAAAGTCTCGAGTTCTAATGCGGGTTCAAGTCAGTAGAACGTCCCAGAGTCCCCCCAACTCTGATGGGTACCTGACTCACGTTAGCGAAAGTAAAGCCGGCTGTCCGTGGCACTGACCATACTATCCCTTCATATGCCGAGGTCACAGAAACAGGCGAACTCTACTTCACTTGCCCCATAGACCATCAGGCTTGAAAGGGAAATTTACTTTACTTTTTATAAACAGCAATGATAAATTGACATTGTACATTGCTGTACATCATACTGCTAACCCGTAAGTTTCGAGTTCGAATCCGGGTTCAAGTCAGTAGACCGTCCCCCACCCCTGAAGGGTACCTAACTCACGTTAGGGAAAGTAAAGGCAGCTGGGCATAGTGCTGACCACTCTTTTTTTCATATTCCGATGTCACAGAAACAGGTGAAATATTCTTCACTTGCACCATAGACTTGAAAGGGAAATTTACTTTTTATAAATAACAATAATAAATTGACATTGTACATTGATGTACATTATTGTAACAATCTGATCTATGGTACAGCGTATTGATGATATAATGCCATCCGAGAACTCACATTTGATTCCCCCCCCCCCTCCCCAGGGCCTCAGTCCTTCCTGTACACAGGCGTCCACGAGCAGAACTACATCCCTATGGTCATGGCCTACGCCTCATGTGTCGGGCCCTACGCCGAGGGAAAAAAGCCGTGTGCGAAATATGAACAACCGTAACCTGACCACCCTCCATAAAACTGGCCCATGTTCCCTTACAACCAGCGCCTTAAAACATTAAAAAAACGATTTTTTTTTTACTTTTTTCTAGTATTGAGAAATAATTTTTATAGAATTATTGATACAATATTTTATAGAATGTGATAAAAATTTCTACTTTAAAACAGAAGCTATTCACCAAGGTTTAAAAAATATCAAATTCTAGCTATTTAAAAATTGCTTATCTGGTCGTTAAGCTCTTTTCCCCTTCAGTGGTGTGAGCCATTAAAGCTTTCAAGCTGTCAATAAAAGCGACATTTATATTAATGTATTCAGTGTTACGTCTCTATTATTTGTGTACATACAATGATAAAACTCATCGAATTTCCATACTCAATAAAAGATTTATCAAACTTGCGCCCCCTAGGGAACATCGGTTCTCAGATATATGCGCAAACGGAATACTTCTCAACGGAAACCTTCTCTTGAAGAAAAAAGTTCAAATACAAACCAATTATACAAACAAACTTGAATTTTGTCATATTTTGTTGAGATATATTTTATTAAGTTAAAGTGTACATGTGGTCAGTCTTTGTGCGCAGATTTTCGCTGCGCATGTTTCCGGTCACTCAAAAAATCAGATAATCAGACGACAAGAAAGTACTTCCGGTCACGCGAGCGTTTTTTTTTTGTTGAAAAATAATAAATGTTCTCGAACTGATTATTTTAATCCACCTTGATTAGTCTTTATTAATAAATGCAATTATTTAAAAAAAAAATTTTGTTGTTGTAAAATATTGTATTTAATCTTTCCCATGATTGGAACATAGGAAATTTAACTGACTTAGTTTTCTGTAAGAATTTTTTTTTATTTAGAGCAGTCAAAGGAAAAAAAATACAATATTTTATAATCATTAGTTTTAAAATACAAGTAGATATATTTTTCGCTTTATTGTTATCGCATATACGATGTTGACTTGTAATAGTCAGTTTCTACCGCCCCCCCCCCCCCCCCGGGAGAAAAATATCTGTTAGAAAAACTGGTAATAGCTAATTGTGTTTGAGGAAAATCGCTTTTAATGTTTTAATTTTAATTTAAGGAACAAAAAGAACAAAATAACATTTAAAGTAATGAAGTGATTAAACGTTTATTATAAAAATCAGTTATACAATTAAGTCGACAGTATAAACAGAGCAAAAGACATAACTTAATTAAAATTAATATTGAGTATTCGTTTGAAAAAAATGTCTTAAAAATTTAACAAAACAGAAAGAAAAGTAAACTTACTAGTCGGTTTTAAAAATGGGTGCGTTCCATTGACGAACATATTCATGTGTGAATCTATTAACAAAGTGATCTTATGGTGTCATGACTACTCTAATTTGTACACAGAGGTTATTTGTAAACTTGTACTGAACTAATTACATTGTACACACTACTAGAGATGATTTGTAAACTTGTACTGAACTAACTACATTGTACACATACTAGAGATGATTTGTAAACTTGTACTGAACTAACTACATTGTACACATACTAGAGATGATTTGTAAACTTGTACTGAACTAACTACATTGTACACATACTAGAGGTGTGCTGTATACTTGTACTGAACTACATATATAGTACACACTACTAGAGATCATTTGTAAACTTATACTGAACTAACTACATTGTACACACTACTAGAGGGGTGCTGTAAATTTGTACGGTGTCCTACATTGTATACACAGCTAGATGTTGAACTGAACTAACTCTACATGACACTGTACACACCACTGGAGGTATGTTGTGCGCATGACGTATCGCGCCAATATCCCGACTAAAAGACTTTGTTTATGAAGCTGCCATGGAAACTAAGATTCATCTTCATGTCCTGTGGAGTTGTCGCCCTTGCCAGCTCCGTGAAAGTTGCCGCGTCCAGCACCACTAGGTACGATGGGTGGTCGGTGGTCAGGGCAATTATGGGACACAGTACCACACCTGGAATGGTCCATGGGGGTGGGGTGGAAAAATTTAAGCTGAATGTAATCAAAATACAACCCGAGCAACCTCACTAATGAGACTAAGACGATAGTAAAGACAGGATAGAAAAACAAAAATAGTGTTACAGCACATTATGCAGTAGTTTTGCCATGTACACACATGTGAACGAAGAGGCTTAATACATTCAGTGTATGTAACAAAAGGTTTATCAAGTGCGTTTGCCTAAATATGTGTGTAAACTACATAGACCCTACTAAACTAGTTGTTGATGAAGAAATATTGTACGTTAAGATTCCCTTCAGTTCCTTTACTAATCCCTCCCCTCTCGAAAGATACTTACACAATTTTATTTTGTGCAATGGTTGTTAGATCATGGACGGCATGGTCCGATGGTACAAATATCTCGAGTTCGAATCCAAGACTGGGTTCCGTAGAACGTCGTCGAATCCACCCGGCTCTGATGGGTACCTGACTCACGTTAGGGAAAGTAGCGGCGACTGGGTATAGTGCTGACCACACTATCTCTTCATATGCCGAGTTCACCGAAACAGATGTACTGGTGGACTACTTCATCAGCAATATGGGCCAGGTTCGAAAAGAAATTTGACTGAAACAGCCACATTATGTAGTTTTTTTTCAAGCTTTTAAAAATCACCCTTGAAACTCCAGCGCTCGCACATCCAATATACTGTAAGCGTCGTCAATGTTGTCAGTTACTGGGTCTTTATCAGTTAAACCCAAGGTTTTACCTCAGTTACTCTCTCTACCTCTACCACTATGTAAATAGGGTGTGACGGGCGGGGGGGGGGGGGGGATCTTACCATCGTCTTCAGCAACGGCGCCCGGCCTTGACACGAAAACCGGCTCACCCGGGATGTGGTGCTCGTCACACGTGTACTCGTGAACCACCTTCTCAATGACGTCACACTTCATCAGCTGGGGGACAGATTATTTTTTTTAAATGGTTTTAATTTAGTCATGCAATTCAATTGTGTTAAAATCTCTAAAGTATTCACATTTAAAAAATAAAAACCGTTTTAATAGCAAGATTTTATATAATTATGCACTAAAAAGTAGAAAATGCATTATTTAAAAAAAAAAACTCACTACAATTTTAAATAACTTAAGAAAAGCGTAATTAATAGCGATGTAATTATTTTTTTTTTCTCCTAGGTTTACCTAAGGAAATAAGTAAAGTATGTATTTGTGGAAGATTTGCTTGATATTCATTTTCTTTTAACTGACCTTTCTTATGTTCGTATGGAAACCTGTAGTAGCGTAGAAATAGCGATATCTTTTGCCATTGAAGCTGTAGTTGATACGAGGTAGCTCCATAACATACGAGGCTGAAAGAACAACACTAAAATCAGTGGCGAACTCAGTGAAGGACTATTTGATTGCCTAAGTAATCAGCTTAAATTTAAAAAAAAAATTCTGTTGGTTACAAATTTTTAATTTTAGCGAATGACTTTCGGTCGAAATACTACTTTTAACGTATTTTATATGGAACTCTTCCTGTTTAATAAAGCTAGACCTAGTTAAACAACTATAGAGCTGGTAAGTAGGTCACCAACCAGTTCTATGGCTCATGCAGGTTTTATTGAGCCGTAGAACAGGTTGATGACCTACTTACCAGCCCTATAGCAAATGATCATTTCACAACAACAACAAAAACTAGATCTCACGATAATCTTAACCCTTACTTTAGTTAATAACAGATTGCTAACAGTCGTTTTTTGCATTGTGTCCAGGTATTTAACACAAATTCGAAATCAGAAAAAATTGTCAAAATGTATTTTGTCAAAAAGAAGAAAGTTGACAATTATTTTTACCATCAAACATCGGGTCACTTGTCAAATCTACGACAACTTCCTGTTTTGACCGGCTGGTTACCATGGCAGTGGCGGAAGTGTCCGGTAGCGTGATCAGGTCTTGTCCGATGTCGGCCTGAAATATTTGCCCGTTTTGCTTTTATTTACGTACATATATTTGTATTAGTTGTATGTTTTTCTGTAGAGGGGGAGGGGGGGGGGGAGAGATCGAAAATAATTCTGGCAATATCAAAAAGTGTATTGCTAAGGCTAGAACAAACCGCTGCAGAAACACAAAGATACTGATGTGTAAAGTAAATCAGTAAATTTACCGTTGCGGACCTGACGATTCATGGGACAGATGAAGTAGAGTTCACCTGTTTGTGTGACTTAGGCAAATGATGGGATAGTGTGGCTGATACTAGTCACAGGGTAATATGATACTGCCTCCTAAACGTTAGCTATCGTAAATCAGGTACCCCTTCAGAGCTGGGTGGACTCAGATCGAAACGTAATATGAAAACGCCTTTGCTTAAAACATGAACAGAACGCTCTGTAATACATGAACAGAGCCACAACTAAAAAATGGTGAGATCCCTAGTAATACAGAACCCTACAAAAATAAAGACAGACCCCTACTAAAACAAAGATAGACCTCTACTAAAACACAGACACACCCCAACTAAAACACGCACAGACCCATACTAAAACACAGACCCCAACATAAACACAGACCCCTACTAAAAGTTAAAGCACATACAGACCCCTACTAAAACACAGACAGACCACAACTTAAACACAGACCCATACTAAAACACAGACAGACCCCAACTTAAACACAGACCCCAACTAAAACACAGACCGACCCCTACCAAGCCCACCCCTCACCTCCAGTGGCGGATTAAGTGGGTTGCTGAAAGGGCTGCAGCAGGGGCCCCCAAATTTTGATTTCTCAAAACCGGATGAGACTCTATTTTAGGGCATGGCATCTACTCCCCCCCCCCCACAAACACACACACCCGACATGTCCCCCAACTGTCTACCCGCCCCGAAGTTTCACCCATTAAAACATTTGAGTTGTGAATTCCTTGGAATTTAGCGGTAGTGAATGTTTTCGTCTTGATAAGTAAAAAATAATTTTAGGGGGGAGGCTCCGGTAAAAACTTTTTTAATACTCATTAGAAAACAGTTATTTCTTTACAGCTTTATTGAAATACATCCGCATATGCATTTCCACTAAAAAAAAATTGTGGAAAAATCTTGGTAACTATGACAACGGCGGCCATCTTGAAAAATTAACCCCCTCGTAGGTTTTCCACCATTCACAAAATATTATTTTTTATGCACAATAAATAATGAATTCATAATATTCTTCCATATTGTCGGTTACTTAGCTAACAATTTTAAGTGTATATCTTCAAAATAAATTATTATTAATAGATTCAAGTGCATTCAGAGCTTTCCAAATGTGCACATTGCTCTTCGAATTTATCTGTGTATGATGACGTCTAACTGCAGCGGAGGGCGCTCATTTTCCAAAATAAAAAAGATTAAAAGCGATCTAAGAAGCACTTTGGGACAGAAGAGACTTAGTATGCTCTCACTTATGAGCATAGAAAATGACACTATAAGCTCACTGAATTATACAGAAATAATAGAAGAGGAAAGCTCGAGAATGTTCCCTATAAAAGTTACTTGTTCTTTAGTTCTAAGTAAAAAAAAAATGTAATAAATGTATGTATTCATAATTTATTTTGCATTAGTAAATAAATAATAGTTACTTTAAATGCTCTTATGTCTCAATGTAATTTAACATTACATTAAATAAATGTAACATTTTTTGTCTATGTTATGGCTTCTGTTAACCTTTAGTTTATTCCATTCGACCTTTATTTCTGGGAAGGCCCCTGTTTTGTGATATGTCATTATATAAACTACATGTATATATATATATATAAATATATATATATATATATATATATATATATATAAATATATATAAATATATATAAATATATATATATATATATATAAATATATATAAATATATAAAAATATATATCTTTATATATAAATGTATATCTATATATATAAATATATATAAATATATATATATATATATTTAAATATATACATATGTAAATATATATATATATATATATATATATATATATATATATATATATATATATATATATATATATATATATTTAAATATATACAAATATAAATATATATATATATATATATATATATATATATATATATATATATATATATATATATATATATATATAGATAGATAGATAGATAGATAGATAGATATATAGATAGATTTATATATATATAAAGTTAAAGGGGGCTCCGGAAGAAGTTTCAGGCAGGGGCCCCGCTGAAGCTTAATCCGCCCCTGCTCACCTCCTCCACTGACAGAGGTAACACAAAGCGCGCAAAGTGTGGGTGTGACTCCATCGTCTGTTCCTCGTTACACAGCGACTCCAGGTACAGCTCCTTGATGACTTTACCATCTTTATACAGGCAGACGTCACACACGATGAACCCGCCCTCCTCGTAACAGTTGATGAAATGGAAGACGAACCCGTGGGGTGCCCTGTAGGTGATGGGCACCTTCTGGCCCGTAGTTTTGTTTAACACGATGAAATTGAGCTGTGTGAGGAAAAACATTGAAAATTATTTACCTTTACATGTAACAAAGGAGGAGAAAAAAAACTAATACCATTCCTCCTATAGTGTTTATATTGAATTCATTTTACAAGCGATACAAAGAAATATGTGTAGGGCCTACACTAATGTTTAAAATGAAAAGGCTTGTAATTTGTTAAAACACAACACTGACCATCTCTACACATATACTGCAAAACAATACTAACCCTAGAAAAATATCTTAACACCTACCAAACGAGAATCCATAACAAAAGTAAAGTACCTTTAAAAAAACTGACGGCTCATGAGGCATGTGAAGTAGAGTTCACCTGTTTCAGTTACCTCGACATATACAGGTGCAGTATGGTCAGCCGCCTTTACGTTAGTCCGATACATATCACATCTGGGCTGACTCAACGACGTTTTATTGGAATGAACTCGGATTAGTACTCGAGACTTTATGGTTAGAAGTCGAAAGTTACATGATCCGACTACACCGTCCCATAAAAATCAACAGACACCTAGTTTAAGCTAAATTTAAATACCACACCTTAACACCTTATTAACATCCTCAAGAGATGTATCACCCTGACATCTAATCTAAACCTCAACTAAAATCTAAACACCCTCCCTCAATCGAGTTTGACCTCAAACGTAAAACTCACACCTCAACACAAACACACTTTAGGTTACCGAACAAATCAAATTATACCGTCTCGCCGGGAAAGCTGAGGATGGAATCTTCCAGACTGTTCCCAGCGATTTTCAAGGTCATCAGTTTGGTGACGTTCAATGCGACCGGCTGCTCGAGGTGGATGAAATAGTTCTCGGACATTCCAAAAGAATGTGTGTAACTGATGTTCATCTTCCACCTGCTGGCCGCGCTGGCCACGATCTCAGCTTGCTTGAACAGTTCTAGGAACATTGGGGGGGGGGGGGGGGGGGGGGGAGGGATATCAGGTACAGCACTGTATAGGTAGGTGATGCACGGCTGGTGTGGGGCCATACGGTGGTGTAGGTAATGTGTGGGGGCATACGGTGGTGTAGGTAATGTGTGGGGGCATACTGTGGTGTAGTTGATGTTGGGGCATACGGTGGTGTAGGTAATGTGTGGGGGCATACGGTGGTGTAGTTGATGTGTGGAGGGCATACGGTGGTGTAGGTAATGTGTGGGGGCATACGGTGGTGTAGGTAATGTGTGGGGGCATACGGTGGTTAGTTAATGTGTGGGGGCATACGGTGGTGTAGGTAATGTGTGGGGGCATACGGTGGTTAGTTAATGTGTGGGGGCATACGGTGGTGTAGGTAATGTGTGGGGGCATACGGTGGTGTAGGTAATGTGTGGGGGCATACGGTGGTGTAGTTGATGTGTGGGGGGGCATACGGTGGTGTAGTTGATGTGTGGGGGGCATACGGTGGTGTAAATAATGTGTAGTGGCATACAGTCGTGTACCCACACACTAAATGAATCTAGAAAAGTAATTACAATTCTACACTAGTGTATTTGTAATAGTTCTGACCTTTCTCCACTCCTCCCGGGGGTATCCGGATAAAGTTGTACGCCCTGGGGTAGGCCATGCAGGTTCCATAATAATACATGGTGCCATCTTCACCTGAGTGGGGATGTGCTGTGCCAATGTGAACTGCTACAAAACTACGAACATCAATCTAGAACGAACAGCAAACAAAACGAAAAAGTATTTGGTTGTTTTGAATGCATTTTAAAATTTAATCAACAAATTAAGAAACTTTAAGAAACAGACAGAAGATGAAATTAAAAGATACTATGAATTCGGTATAAAGACCACATCTAAATGACGTAATGGGTGACAGGGACTAATGGTCATAATTATGATCTGTCGCAAGTAGTAAAACAAATCAGCCTGCAGCAGAGTTTCTTTCGGACTTTTTTCTCCGTAGGTAGAGGGGAATTTGAAATTTAGGGGGGGGTGGAGGGGCGGAGACTGGTAAAAGTATATATTTTCTATATAAATTTTGTTTCGGTGAAGGGGGGGGGGGGGGCGGGATAGACGATCTTCGGAGGTCTGAACCCGCATGGACGTGCCTTAAACTCATTACAGCAGAAGTGATGAATGATGGATGATAGAGATGATTGGATGAATATGATGAAAAGGATATTTGTGATGACTGAAACATCACCAGACTACGGGATATACATAAATACGTCTCAACCGTTCCATGACAAATGATATTAGGACAGATAATATCAGGTCAAATTGTCTCAAGGACAAATGATCTCATAGATAAAAGATATCAGGACAAAGATATCCACTTTTCAACGTTAAGGCTCAATTCTGTATCACAATAACAACATACATTGAATTGATTTTTTTAAGCAAATTTAAAGTTATTTTAAGTGTTTTAAATTGAGTTTGAAGAAAGCTTATAAAAATATTTACTTGGTCTTTCTTCGAGAGTGTGTCCAGAGTCACCTCGTTGATCAAGGTTGATTCCGTCAGCGCAAAGATTCGATCCCCAAATTCCACGATATTGACTGCTGTATTGTCGTACTTGGCTGGAGGCCGTGGTATGAAGTAGCTGAACAATCTGAGGATCGATACTGTGATGTGAGAGGGAATATCGATACTGCATAGGGAGAGAGAACATAGTAATGTCATGTTATAGAGAGGATCAATTTAGTCGTGTGAGAGAGACAGTGTTGAGGGGTTAGAAGCAGGCGTTGTTACTAAAAATAGCAATATAAACACAGCGTGTTTTTTGAACGTTAATTAAGGGTAGTCACGGGTACAGAATATAGTCAAAGTAAAGACAGAGAATCTTTAACCAAGCGGGATCCGAACCTACCAATCTACGCGGCATCAAGAACGATAATGCAGTGTTATAGAGAATACTGATCCTGTCTTTAGTTAGAGGTGGCATAAGAGCTAAGGGATCTCCGACAGCGAAACTATCTTCTGAGACAGAGAGCGAATAGAGACTCCTCTATACTTTTTCTTCTTTATTTTAGTCTTGGAAGGGATCCCCCTCCAACACAATAAAGGATACGTGTCAACTGGTTATGTGCCATTGTGGCCACTGACTCCGATTTAAGGCAGCAGTTGTTTGATTTTGGAGTTGTCTCTCATTAAAGAGTGGCTGTCCACATCTAACGAGCCTCATCTGCCCGAGTTCGAACTCTAGATTTTTCGGTTTAGCAGCCATGAGCTTTGCCGACTCGAGCACACCGACCCCACTCCTCTATACAAAATGGGGGAACTTTTGACTCTTACCATGCACACATGGACTTAACTTCGAGTATAGTGTAGCCCCCCCCCCCCCCCCCCCCCCCAAACTTCCCAACGAACTGACCGGCTAAAAATACTTTTACACGGGTCTGGGAAGCTGGAGCCGAAGTTGTCCCCCACCAGCATGGACTTAACTTCGAGTATAGTGTAGCCCCCCCCCCCCCCCCCCCCCCCCCCCAACTTCCCAACGAACTGACCGGCTAAAAATACTTTTACACGGGTCTGGGAAGCTGGAGCCGAAGTTGTCCCCCACCAGCCGGTTGAACTTGACACACTTCTTGTACTGCTCCGTGTCCAAGATGGAGGACAGGTAGGTCACCTTGCCCTGGTGGATGGTCCACCTGTGGATGACGGCCAGACCGTCGAAGGCGTGGCTCCAGCGGGTGTCCCCCATCTTGTAGATGCCGCTGCCACACCTGTACAGGGACCCGTACAGCCAGTCTGGTAAACTTCCTGGAAATATTTTTGTTTCAATTTCTAGAATTCTTTTCTTATAAAAAAAAAGATTACAAAAGTTTACATGGAGTAATTAAACTTACGAAATGTTAATTTTTTGTTGTTTTAACTTTTCATCTATAATGTTATTGGCAAATTGAATTGTAAAATTAAAATCTCATAAAAATTTTAAAAAATCATAAAAAATGCATAGTTATATTTCGGCGTGGTCGAATGGTAGAGTTTTCGAAAGTATCGAGTTCGAATCCCTGGATTAAGTAGCACTTACGTGAGCTCACCTAATTCAAATGGTAACTGACTAGTCAAGGAAAGTAAAGGCTGCTGGGCATAGTGCTGACCCAAATATACCTTTATTATGCCACTAAAACAGGTGAACTCTACTACACCTGCCCATTCGCCCGCCTTGTTCGCTCTACTACACCTGCCCATTCGCCCGCCCTGTTCGCTCTACTACACCTGCCCATTCGCCCGCATGGTTCGAAAGTGAGCTACACTTACTTATCATAGTTCCTATTTTAAACTGTTCTTAAATTACCATTTTAATGTTTATTCTGACACGGTTTTCTTGTGGCATCAATAAAGGTAGTTATTTACGTTCCTGGTAGGTAGATCTTACCCTATATGTGGTATGATCATCAAAACGATTAACAGCAGAAGTTATTGTTTGGACCATGTACCTGACATGACGACGAAGGTATAACAGTGACTAACCTGTCAGCTGTGTGACCACTGGCTGGTCAAGATGGGCTGTCTGGTCCAGATCAAAGTACTGGGGGAGTTTCTTCTCCATTGTCTCCAGTCCCTGTCTGTTAAATGCCGAATATGTCTTAGCATCCAGTTACAAAAACTCTACACTCTCCACCATTCATATCTGTGTTGTTGTTTTTTAGCTCTCAACGCTTATGTTAAAACTTTCGTCAAAGAAACTCTAGTTAAATTGTTGCCCGTAAACAATGACATACTCATAGTTAGGAGGGTGGGGGGGGGGGGGGGAGTCAGATTTTTGTGACAACATGACGACTTCTATGAGATGGGGAGTCATGGGACGGGTGATTAGAAAGCGTGCCGACACACTATTGCAGTTTTAAAAAATATGTTAGAAACTGGATTTGTATCCGCTATTTTGCGTTTTAAAAATAATGTCTTTTAAAATCGTAATTACCATTGATCAATATACTGTCAGTTTTTGTGACGATGTGTGACGATGTGTGACGAAAGTAGGTGGAGGATAAAAATAGTTTTAAACACGTGACGTATGTTGTGGATGACCTCTAAACCGAGACAATTTGTAGACGTGTTAGATATAACTCGTAGTCTTTTCTATAATACCGTATACATTTAAACTTGGTTGTTTTATATATGACAAGAGGAGATTTACATATGACTTGGAGAGTTTATATGTAAGACAGGAATAGACATTTTGTAGGCTATATGATTAGTCGCTTTATATGCGACCACTAACGTTTTTCATGTGACTAGTAATGTTAATCTGTATCTATGTCATGTTATATGTGATCAGTGTTGTTTTATATGTGACTAATATAGTTTTATATGTGACCATTATAGTTTAATATGTGACCAGTGTTAGTTTATATGTGACCCGTACCAATTTGTATGTGACCAGTATAGTTTTATATGTGATCAGTACCGTTGTGTAAGCGACCGGTGTCATTGGAGCAGTGGTTATAAAACCAGCACGAGTGGCCAGGTAAGCCATACAACACGCCATATTGTTTCTTGTGACCGCATGACGATGACATGCCAGGGAGGGTTGGTCACGTGATGAACACCGGCTGTCACTTGTTCTGGTGACAGGGTCAAACTTGAGCTTATCACGTGGTCAGGATAGATGGACTGTCTAGCTTGTCCACCACCTCCCCCCCGCCCCACACAGTTAGCCTTCCACAAACTTTATTAACTATACGATGACCTATCTCGTATGTTCACATGGAGCAAGTATTTAACATAGGAGTGTATTTAGAGTAGTAGCATTAGGGGTCATCCATTTGTGACGTCCACACGGAAGGGGGGGGGGGTCGAAAAAATTAGACTTTTAATAGGGAATTATGTGGACTTTTGTGGACGGGGGGGGGGGGGGGGGGGGGGGGCCAAAATCCAAAAATAAATTGTGGACGTCATAAATGGATGACCCCTTGGACAATTTTACAGTATTTTCTTCATAAACTCAATTTTAAAATTATAGTTGTGTTATAAATGATATTCTTATAAAAAGAACAGAAGTAGTTATTATAATGTAACAATACCAGATGACGAATATATTTTGTAAAGCCTGGTTGAGACACAGGTTTAGAGATAAGTTGTAGAGGCGGAAAATTACAACTGGTCGGTATCGAGGCATTAAATCAGCATTTCTCTTGACAGACAGCGTGAGTCTGATGTGAAATTGTACTATCCAGACGGGTAATGAAAGAGTAAGGGTCAAGGTTGAGTCACAGTCAAACAATCACGAAACCACTTAATTACACAGTTTAATAATCACGTCGACAAGGTGGACTGGGGGTTGAGAGCGGCAGAGGCGTAGCGACCCTTTTCGATTTGCACCCCCCCCCCCTCATGATTTCGATTTGCACCCCCCCCCTCAAACTTTCGATTTGCACCCCCCCTAAGCCTTAAAATTTATTTTTCCAACCCATTTTGGCGCCCCCTAAGGTCGGCGCCCGAGACATATGTCCCCCCCCCCCGACCCCCCCCTCGCTACGCTACTGGAGAGGGGTAGGGGTGTAATCAAGTGATTGGAACCATCACGTGACACACATCATGTACATCTGCATGTGATATATTTATAACCATGTAAAACATCGCTTAATTGAACCAGAAATGTTATCTAAAATCTGCCGCCGTCTTCAACTAATTGAACACATATGTTTACAACACAAAGTACATTTGTTTTTGAGAAATTATAATTTCACAAAGTCTGAAAACACATTTGCTTCAGTGAATGGTCAACGACGTTGGTCAACGAGTTGGTCAATGCGCGAACTGGCCAGCCAATGCCCAAATTGGCCGCACTTCGAGCTTTGGCCGTAACATATTCAACAACAGCTGTATAAACTAAGCCTTAAACTTACAGCCCTCTCAATTCCTATAGATTGTGGGGAAAAGGGGTGAGTTATTCATTTCTGCCTCCTCACTTTCCAAATAACTATTATTATAAAGTGTACGGTTTATTAATTAGTTGATTACAGTTAATATCGTTTCAAGCAAAGAAGTTCATCATTTCTTTTAATTTTTCTCCATTTCATTTTCGGTAAAAACAATGCTAAAATGTTTTGTAAAACTAGGCTTATATATTGACTTTATGTAAGTTTGATCATTAAATTACATACATTTCTTATAAAAAAATTAAACAATTGGTAGTTATGATTGGCATAATTATGAGTAAAATAATTTGTCACAACACTATCCACATAAAAGACTTACTTTAAATATAAAGGTTCGGCCTCTCAGTTCTAGCAGAACAAAAATTAGAGCAGTCTTTTTATCAATCACCCAGCTAGTTCAGCACGTATGCACCGACTTCACGTTTTTTAAATGACGCGGCTTGCAAGCACACACATAGCTGCCTAATCAATACATTGTTAACAAACTTTGCGTGCAGATGTACGAACTTTATGCACCCATCGATTGTGTTATCAGGTAATTGTCGAAACACAATAGTGATACGACGGCTGTTGCTTCGTGTTTCATTTTATGCTGACGCTGAAAATAACTTGTGTTGTGATCGCGCAGGCATGCATGTATTATGATTAGTGTTTCGTTCAGACATTCGGGAAAGGTATTTGAAATCTATTTTCGAGTAAAGGGGGAGGTGCAGTCAGAATTTACGGAGAGGGGCGGATAATGTATGTGTGTGTGTGTGTGTGTGTGTGTGTGGGTGTGTGGGTGTGTCTGTGTGTGTCTGTGTGTGTCTGTCTTTTATACATTACTACACCTTTCGTCACATTGCCGTGCAACTTTGGGAAGTTGTTAACAATGTTCATGGGGAGGTTTCTGCGAAACAAATATCCAAATTCGCAGGGTGCAATTTTTTTGTCTATATGCGGTATATAAAAAAATAAAAGTCGGATGCGGTTCGACACCATTCATCTGATCGTCATAAAACTTTGGGGAGTAGATGAGAATACTCCTGAGGTTTCTGGTGAAAAAAAATTACTATTCCGCACGGGCGGCCCCCAGCAGGGTGCGATTTGGCGCACGGATCTTTAGTGTGAGCGCTATGGCGCCAACTTTCGTTTTAAACAGTGCAATATACTATGGATAGAATGGGGCACAATAGTCGTTTAATAAGGTGAATCAGGCGGCGCTGCGGCAGGGTGCAATTTTGCGCCGCGTGCTATCCCGTGAGCATTATGCGCCTACGTCCGTTTTAAACATTGATTACTATGCATACGATTGGGTTTTAGAGTCGTTCACTTTACATCATCAGGCGCGTCCGCCGGCGCCCCAGCAGGGTGCGATTTGGCGCCTATGGTTTTTTGGGCAGTGGCGTAGCGAGGTCGGGTGTCACTCGGTGCGGCACTTAATGGTGTCACCCCCCAGAGGGGTAACGACCCTTCCCGGGGACAAACTTTCAAACTTTCGATTTGCACCGCCCCCCCCCCCCCTCGAACTTTTGATTTGCACCCCCCCTCAAGTTTTTCTCTATATATTTTGCTCTTTTTGCCTTGGTGTCACCCCCCTAAATGGTGTCACCCGGTGCGCCCCCCCCCCCTCGCTACGCCTCTGAGTGTAGGTAAACCCGTGCCCCGATAAATATGATCCAAGTGCAGGTATTGTTTACATTTCAATAACTCAATTTTAGAAAACAAGGTCACGCGTCTAAGAATTTGGGATTGGTAACGCATTGATGAAACTGTTCTTATATTTTCGTCAGACGGGTATGTTAGTTTTCTATATAAACGATGTATTTTTATATTTCGTCGAGGTGGGAGGGGGTAGCGTTGGAGATGCACAGTAGGGCAATGCCCCCCCCCCCCTCCCCCTCGAAAGAGATATCTGAACGAAAATCTTATACATACCAACATCATACTCTCATAGTGATATATAGTATGGGCACGATTCCTTAAATGTTTGTTTATGGGCACGATTCCTTAAATGTTTGTCGTTGGTGATTTGCTGTATCGTTTCAAGAATTTATGGTATCTTATCAACAATTTATGGTATCGTATCGAGAAATGCTGGTATATTCTCACTAATGTACGGTATAGTATTAAGAATGTATGCTATAGTATTAAGAATGTATGCTATAGTATTAAGAATTTATGGTATAGTATTAAGAATGTATGTTAACGAATTGAGAAGATATGGTATCGTATCAAGAGCTCGTAATCGCCAACACAACTAAGTATTACAAGTCAGCCTTATGGACCGATAACTCAGATTCCAGCCTGCTTTTCTTTTTTTATTTTCTTCAAAGAACTAACTACAGGGCAAAAGTTGTATGATTTTTTTTTTGAGTTTTCTCCCTTAGATAGCGTGTTGTCCCTAAATATCGAGACTCGTCTGCTTAGATCATGGTGTGTGTTATTGTTGTATTTCGTCAAGGGATTTTTTTTCTCGTGTTCTCGCCTGTACGGGAAGGGAGGGGGAGTGTTTGAAAGTGAGTTCGGATCCATGAGGGCGTCCACATGTTAAATTAAACACCGGAGTTCTTACATTTTAAAACAAACATAAAAATGTTTATCCTGCACGTAAAATATAAAGTTAAGACTGTGGTTTTTTTAAAACGTTTTTATTAACTCAGCTTCGCGTGGATGTGTTTGTTGTTAAAATTGACATCGAAAATTGGCCCTCTTCTGATTGTTCTATAGTTCTGAAATTTGGCATGCAGGTTACTTTCGCCTAACAATTTCAGATGCAATCATAAAAACTAGCAATTAGAGACCGTAATTAGCTTAATTTAATTACGCCCCAAGGACCATAAAATTGAGGACATGATTTCTAAAGATACCGACAAGACTGGAGGCCTATAGACACAGTTACTTCGGCCCCAATCGATGTGAGCGCGCTGGCCGTGATCGTATAGTGGTTAGTACTTCGCGTTGTGGCCGCGACAACCCAGGTTCGAATCCTGGTCGCTCAAGATTTTTTTAGTCCGTGTATTTATAAACACTTTTTTAAAAACCACGTTTTTCATGTGTAGCAACGGACTAAAAAGGAGAAAATAAAATACTTAAAAAAAAACTTTTTAAAAAACCACGTTTTTCTTGTGGACTAAAAAGTAGAAAATAACTATTTACATACATTTGATGACAAAAAACGTGGGTAGGGCAGATGGGTCGGGAAATTTGATGGTGAACGTACCCACGTTTTTTGTCATCAAATGTATGTAAATAGTTATTTTCTACTTTTTAGTCCACAAGAAAAACGTGGTTTTTTAAAAAGTTTTTTTTTTAAGTATTTTATTTCTTTAAACACAGCTCAACACGTAAATAAAAACCGGTATTTTTACCTTACACTGGAGTTATCTGTATAATAAGCGACGTACGTGATTTTTTTTACCCTGTTTACCTCCCCTACTCCAAATAGCAAGTTCGCAAGTACTAAAACTTTACGACATACCTCACCCCATCACCTCTCTCAAAGCTGTAAACACAAAAAAAAAACTGTTTAAAAATATTTAGGCTTGTGAACTCGGTCGAACCTTTTCACCAACGCGAGGAAACAGCTTCAATTCAATTTTTAACATTGTTGCAAATGTTTGCCGTCACGCTTTCTGAATCCCAGCCGAGTGTGACGTCTTTATGGATGAAGACTAATATAAAAAAGCACCTTTTTTGATAACTTAGCTAGAGATGAATTAAAGTGAAATAGAGGTCATGAACTGGAGGAGGCCTTGCTACCTATAAATCTATAAAATACTTAGATTTAATTTAGTTATTACTATTATCCTACAAGTACGGAAAATAACAGTATTAGCACACCCCCCCCCCCCCCCCCACACTCACACACACAAACATACACACATACACGAACGCGCACTCACGCGTACACACACGCACACACACGCGTGCACACAGTTTCTAATACTTTGCATGAGTTTTTGGTTGGTAATAGAGAAATCCTTTCAATATAGACAATGACATTTAAAACATACTGTTTCCCTCTAAGCTCTAGATTATACTTTTTGATATTTAGACATAGCATTGAACATTAGCGAAAACATAAAATCCGTATAAAAACCAATACATACATGATAAAAGTTATTGAAATGGTAAATTGGTAGATTTTAAGAGGTCTACTAATTTTTTTGTGGACGTATACATTGGATGTGTGTGTGTGTGTGGGGGGGGGGGGGGGGTAGGAGGAAGGGGGGGGGGGGTCGTCCAAATTGGATGCGTGTGGACTGGGAAAGGGGTCTAAAACCCAATTTTTAAAAAAATCATAAATTGATGACCCCTTGCTACAATCTGTTTGAACTCTGACGTTTCCCTACATGAGTTAAATATAAAGAATAGGCCCTATACCAATATATTAAATTAATTATTCGACGTACAATACCGCATACTGAATAACTAACAGCAAAATAAAAAATAAAAAATTAGTTTCACGTATATTTTACGTATATTTACTTTTTAAAAGGCAAACCCAGTTTACAATAAATTAAGAAAACATACATGCTAAAATCAATCATTTTTCACTCACCTATTTATCCTTGTATAAAGAAATCGCCGGCCTGGACAACTGAAGTAACTAACTAAACGAATGTGCTGCATTTACATCAGTGTGTACACAGCCGGCTGGGGGAGGTAATGCTGATTTATTCTTTTTAATTATCGTTCCTAAGGGACAGTTCACTGTGTAAAAGAGTAAAACTTGACAACTTCCGCCTTTTTTTTTTTGACGACATAACTCGGCGGTAAATAGATCTAGTGTGGTAGGAGTTTTTGCCCCTTTTGTACGTGATATGGTTCAACGAGTAGCGCACTAATTTCCCTATTTTAAAATGGCGGCAGGATCGCTGTGTTTCGCCCTATTTGGAACCATTCCAAGCATTATTGATTAAACACGTGGCAGGCATTAGAAAAAAGTTCTGCTTTTTTATTAAACCTCCTGTTA